ATCTTGGTTTTTAGGAATTTCAGGCGTCAATCGGTTGCACACGCCGTGACTTGCGCTTATCCGAGCGACGCGCGCGCGGCGAGCGATCGAGGGCCGCGCGAAATGCCAGCGGGACAGAAGGCGGCCAGAACGAAAGGGCTCGCTTCGCCCTGTGCCATTTCGCTCCGCGAAAATTGCCGGAGACGCGCCGCGCGATTTCCATCCTGGCGCGCGCGAACCGATTCGCGTACATTACGGACGAGCATTTGACGGAGCGCCCGCGGAGAAGCGGCAGTCGAGAAGGGGGAGAACAATGCCCCGTGACGTAAACACGGATTTGTCTCTGTCTCGTAGCTTAGCACGCGCCCACGCTGCGGCGCAATTGATGCCAATCCAGTACGAGAACGTGATTCCCGGGCGTCCCGAGGAGATAACGAGGTCCGCGGCACTGGCTGAAAATAACGCTGCTCACCGTGTTGGACAAAGGCGAACCAAACCAAGTAGCACGGCTTGACTGATGCGCGGCAATAAAGCAAGCTCCCCCCCCCCCTCTTTCTCTCTCTCTCTGAGCAATGCGCCGGCTCGTCGAGCCGCGCAATCGGACCAAGTGGAAAAATTCGCTCGGCCGTGTCTGTCTCCTAGCGGCGATAAGGGCGAATTAATTCGAGCCGCTCGCCCGCCGGCGAACTATTTAGATAAGGACTCGGGCGAGGAATTCCGAATTCAAGCTCGTTAGCAAATGAGATTCGCCGTCGTCGGGCTTAAACTCCCGTGAGAGAGGAAAAACAGGAACGTTGCGGGAGGGGGGAGGGGCAAACGTTATATCCACCCTTGCGCGCACTTAGAACAAATATTCCCAGGCGGTGCGCACGAACGAGACTGCTTCTCCCTGCAAATCGTCTGTATCTATATATATATATATATGCTGTTTGTACTTACCGTCGGCGCAGATTCAAGTTAAACAAGAATGAATGAGTTTTCGGCAGACGCGAGGCTCAAATGTGTTGCCGGGACGCAAGGGAAAGTTTGTTTGATTCAATTTTTCTATTTGGCCTAATTGCGTTGGCCGATGTTTAATTTGATTCGTTAAGTCATCGTATTTTTACTCTTCAACTGGAATGCAAATCAAGATCAAAGATGCCCGACTCGGAATCGAATAGCCGAACTGCGAGAAAATCTTATCCGTAGTCCAGAGGTAAACATCTAGCTGGTTTTAAATACCGCAAGACGAAACAAATGCTTTTTTTGGCAAAAGTAATCTGTTCTTCGATAAAAATGAGTTTTCTTTCTCGAATCAATCGATCGAATATCGAGTGGAGCTCTCTAAAATGCACGACTATCGTTTCGCAAAGTTTTCCTCGAAAAATTCGTTTATGAGGAATATACATAGTGAAAAATTCTGGTTGCTGAAACAGTGGCTCGCGCCAAGAAAGTATATTCAGAAAAAAATTAAAATGCAAGCCCGAGTGTTAAAAAACCTAGTCCAAGAATAGACGAGCTAACAAACTCCGTAAACCTATCGGCTTCTTGGACAAAAAGAAAAGCTCGACCTAGGGGTCAGCAGGCACTAGGATCGATAGTTCGCGTTACAAAGTGCCAAGAAGAAAAAAAAGCAAGGGGGATCATTGAGAGAGAGAGAGAGAGAGAGAGAGAGAGAGAGAGAGAGAGAGAGAGTGAGAGGCAGAGAGAAAGCTTCGCGACGCCCCTCTGCGTAAAGTTCGGGAGTTTATTATAAAACTCGCTTTGTGGAGGCGAGAAAAAAAAGGAGCGAGAGAACGTGTTGGGCGTATTATTGAAGCTCGATATAGCCCCAGATTCATCATTCGGCTGCGAATATTACCTTCTATTGAAACACACTCTGCGCGTGAAATTCGAGCTTGAGATTACGTGCGGCGCACGTAACTTTTCGGAGGAAACAGCGCTGTTTTAGAACGTCGCCCGCGGGAGCAGTGAGAGGAAGATGTTAATCTTCGTATTATCGTTTGCATGAAACTTTTAATGAGAAATTTCGTGCTGCACTCTCACGCGTAACACGATAAATTATTTTGAATGACCCTACCCTAGTTTTGCGCACCGACTTGCCCAAATAATGTCTTATTTTAACGAGTCTACATGTACCCTCGATCATAATTACGCGATTGGTAATATGTGCAGTTTTATCTATGCTTACATTTGACCTATTTAAAAATTATCAATTCGCAACGCATTCAAGAGCCATATTAATTTTTTCCGTGACAGCAACCAAGTGTTAGATTGCGATATCATCAGAACATGAATCATTTTCCTACATAAAATGAACAATAGATGGCCTAATATTGTTTCTACACCAAATCTAGATCAACATTTTCACAGTTACTATATCTTTTCTAACTCGGCTGACTTGTGGCGATATAACTTAATGAAAGATCCAATATTATATGGTTCTTTAAAATTGACTTGTCAAAAATTGAAGACAATCTAAAAAAGAAAAAAATACCAAATTTACTCCACTAACTTTTCTTGATTACGTTTCGCTCATCTGTTGTCCAGCTTCTTCAGGTCTTTATTTTTAAAAAACAAACAAATATCATAAATAATCCAATATTATATGATCAACTATGTCAAAGGTTTTAGACAGATCTGGAAGTGTAACTATCGTCATTATTCTCTTTTCAATTGTTTTCATTTATTACACTAGTCAATTCTTTCTATTTGTCTTTGGTGATCACGGTTTTTATTAACTCGAAGAATAAATTAATTTCAACGTATAAGATAGTTGTCTCATAAACAGATTGAAGACTTTTTAGCCCTCTCCGCATTTCGAATATTGGTTTTATATATATATATATATATATATATATATATATATATATATATATTTTTGTTTTTCAATACTGATAGTCGGTTTCAATTCTTTAAAAATACGTGCTTTCGTTGAATAGCGCCTGAACAAATAACAAATAACTTTAATCTGAATATATCTGTAGAACTTGAAAGAAAATAGTTAATTCTCACAAACGATACCTCGTCTGTTTTGCTAGCGCATAAGCTATCGAACTGCCCATCATTTGTAAAAAGTGCCTCGAATACGGATATTCAGTTGCTAATTAATTGTTAAAGTTGAACCGCGCTCAAAACACTCAACAAAACATTCTAACTATTTGACCGACAAGATGTGCATTGCTTCGCGTAAAAAGAACTACTATGTCGGTTTTTTCGCAAAAGTAACAACATTAAAGGAAATAGCAAGACTTTGCCATGCTTTATACGGACGATGCTTTTTACAGCGATGCTGGCTTACACTAAGCTGATTAGTGCGGATTGTCTCTGTATCCCTGGATTTGTCGAGGAAGTGACGGTATACGGAAAAACTAACCGCAACATCGAATATCACCGTTGCGCACACGATTACGGACATCCCAATGGTTTTCGCTGATTGCTATGTTTTTTTTAAGAGGAAGATCATCAATGGTTCATATGGTTTTTTAGCTCACGAATTTCGGATTTTTGAAAAGTGTCCTTGTATCGAACGGCTAGAGCATATGAAAAATTCTTTTCATCTCCCAAAAGCTTGTAATTTACTACTAGTTCCTTCGTGTACAGTTCGTACTTAATGAAACTCGTAAAACAATTCTTCGAAGGTAAAAGATGTCCTATTTAATAACGCTCGCAAAAGAGCGCCTCGAAGGCTAAAGACTGAGGTTTGAAACAAAAATACTTTGGCGGCTTGTCGGATATTCGGGAAAGGTCCTCTTGCGCGTGATTTTTCAACTGTCTTTTTGCGAGCGCGACAATCACCGAGAACAAGTTGATCGGGCGAGTAAACATAGTGGACACGAAGTACGAGGGAGATTAGGCGTACAGATGAATTTTCAACGAGGGAGCAAAGGGTGCGTGCATTTTACGGTATCCGCCGAGTCGAGCGCATAATACGCCGCGATTGCGTGCATGGCTGGCGAGCCTTGAATATTCAGAGGGGTTGCTAAGCGTGCGTGCATATCGCGCGTCCCTCAGGTGTTGCCGTCGCTCCGCCAAAGCCTGCCGTGGAATCTACGCAGCCGTGTGAGAAGACACCACTCCTCCTCGCACCTTTCTTGCCTCCACGAACCGATTGCCAAATGGATGTTCTCTTGCTCCTCAAATCTCATCGCTTGGCGATTAACGATTATTCAAATGATGTATTGTCGAATTACACCGAAACAAGGAATTCCCAGCTGTGTATGCTAAAACCGATGCTCGATCGAGTGGAAATTTTCCTGTGAGCAACAACTTACGCATGATCACGACGAATGGGTTGTTATTGCCTGCGTTTATCTTGAAAATTAGTGTAAAAATACGATGGAAAAAATGATAATGCTAAAAGCGCTTTTGAAGCGTTAGTATAAGCAATCACAATATAAATCGAAATTTTCTCAAAATAAGAAGGATTTTGCGAGTGAACTGGTTTATGATGAACTTTTATTGATTATCTCAAGCCATTTGCATTTTGAAAGCAGAAATATGCCATACAAAAGAGATGAGAACGTTTGTTAGCTTTTTTAGAAAATTCCATTGGATTAAAATATATTAATGAATGTGCCAAAGTACAGAGACAGCTCGAATGCCGAAGCGACAAAATTGAATATTACATTGGATTCACCCCCTGGTTCATTAACATAACATCCAAACTAGTCGCAGACTATAATACGCCTCCTGTTGACAGTTGATATAGGTTTCATCAGATTTTCAAGTACTTTAGACCTACGCAGAAGGTGAAGTCTTGTTAGGCCACGTCGGTGCGCTGGACTGGCAGTCGGAGCCTGCACCAATAAAGCACGACAAATGCTACTTTAACGTCGAGGTGGAGGCTGCGCAATATAACGCAGACTACGCAAGAATGTTTCCCGGCGCGTCAGGTCCAGCGAGAGAATTTCCTTTTGTGCGACCGCGGTGCAGTTGATTCCTCTTACGCATTAACACACGAGTCGCGGGCGCGCGCGCGGTGATGAAAGATTGTCGCCCGTCAGACCTGTAATTAGCGCGCGCCGCACCGCTGCTTGCAGGGTCGCCGCCGAGAGCGAGCAGTTAGTGGGCAGCCAGCTCGGATGGGCGTATCGCGCACGATGTTCTCCAAATTCAAGAGCGGCTCGGCGGCGTCCGTGGCGCCCAACGTGCTCGAGTCCAATCCAATCTGGCATCTGTACGACGTTGGCAAGCAGCAGGGCACCGCCGGCCCCGAGAACGTCTGGAAGATACTCGAGGGCTTTCGCAAGAAGGACGGACAGGTAAATATTTCTGCGCGCGTTGCTCGTCAACGCTCCTTTTGGCTTTCTGGGTCCCTTTCGTCCGCCGCCGTGCGGTGTCGCGGTGCGGCCTCGTTGGCGCGAAAGAAAAAAGAACGTCGTGCCGCAGAGCGAACGCATCGTTTATTTATCTTTGAAAAAGAACAAGCTTTTCCCCCGTCTCTGTCTCTCTGCGATGAAGCTTCGGAGCAGTAAAATTTTCATCGCGATTCGGGGAGAGAAGCATGGTTTCCGTGAACGTGGAAAGCATTCCTATTTATATCCCTCTTCCTTCGCCGCCACCGTGATCCCACAATATAATCGCCGGTCCTCCCTTCCACAGTCTATGTGCTATTCCCTTTTGCGCTCGACGCGCTCGAGCGAGAAGAGTCGCGCGCAGCTTTGAAGGCGTCTGCTTATCCGCGGCAAACGCGAGCCGCGTCGGGGTAGCCCCGAAACGCACGCGTTGTGCGTAGCCGTTCGATGGATCGATCGCAGAACGAGCCGCGGTATTGAACGCCCGCGCCGGAATTAGCGTAATGCGATGCTGAATGCAGCAAGCACAGCCGAAATCACGATCCGCGGCGCGCAAATGGCGAAGTGGCGGAGGACGAGGGCGATCAACTTGAAAAATCCGAATCGTATTTCGACGCAACGTGTGCGCGACAACGCCGCGTACGCGCATTTTCGTAGGATCACATAGGGCCGATGTCAAAATACCTCGTGTTGTTGGCATTGATTATCATGCCAGCACGGATCGAATATCCCTTTTAACCAAATATTATCGTTCGTTTCCAATCTACAAGTTGTTAGCTGACATCAATTAAAAGTATGATCCTTCTTGGCATGGAACCGTGACGAAGAAAAAACGAGAAAACACGGTTGCGAAATTCAGAAGCTATAGGCGAAAGCGATTGATCTGTCGACGCGTGCATTTTCGCGACTCGCTTCGGCGCGTGTTTGAAAATTTCGCGGGCTCGAAATGAAGAGGGAAGAAAAAGAAGCCGAACAAATCATGCTCTGGCTCGGTCTCTCGCTCGCCCACAGTGCCACCGTCAGACGGCTATCAATCAAAAGGACAGTGACGCAACCGCAGATATTAAGCGTTCCCCCGTAATAATTCCCTCTCAATCAAAAGGGGAAATCCGAAGGATGAGTTAGGCGCGTTTTGTTAGTCAGACAGGTCATCCCCCGACAAAGTAACCTGTATAAATCTTCTATCGCTCTGCATCTCTCTCTCTTTCGCTGGGAAGTTTCGCTCCTGGGGAAAAAAATTATGAATTATTGATGAGGACGGAGATTTCGCCTTGTATAGTGCCGACAGAAAACACGCGCGTTTAAAATCTCGTGTAGCGATTCTCGCGACCAGAGCTTCTTTTGCACGACGCAACTTGGTTAATTAATTTAACCGGAGCTCAGCATTCGTAAAAAGTAATTATCTCGGCACTGCCGCGCCGCGCTCTTGACACTGTAATGCTCTTTTTCGGGTGAAACTTTGCGCGAAACAAGCGAATGCACCCTACCATAAAAAATGCCTGGTTTTCCTTGCCCCGTGGCCTCTCGGTTTTTAATCACCCTGCGGCTTAACTTTGTTTACGGTCGAGAGGGATCATCTTCGAATAAAAACATTGACATGAAGTGTTGTACAAAGGTGATTTATTATAACATTGAAAGACCAATAAACATCCGCTACATATCTTCTCTTTTCCATGTAAAACATTTTATCAACGGGCGTAATTCTCACTGTCTTACGTTAAAATATTTATCGTCATATATCAATGTCTACAAGCATAGGAAGCTGTAGTTGTAAATCTCACAGCGGATTTCTCGATATAGAAATTTGAAAGCCTTATGTTGTTAAATATCGATCTCTAGTAATATGATTTCCACGTAACGTAATAATAATTCCTTCGTTCAATATCCGCAAGTCAGTTTATTGTTATTGTTATTGTTATTGTTATTGTTACTTCAAGAAAGATGTGTTCATTTTGAACGCTGCATTAGTTTCAATTCTCTGTAGTCGTGAAGAGCATGTAACCAGCCTCCGTAAATGTCGATTTATTCCACGAATATTGATTACAAATTTATCACGAAATCTGAAACATAAATTGTCGGTACAGCGCAGCGGTAGCCGCCAAAAACGAATTTCACCATCACAGAATTCATTCATGCATATAAATTACCGACGATCTGATTATAGAGACGAATAATCAGTCGGAAAAGTTTGAACGCTTATGTAAACGAAATGCGCGAGACAGCGCGAAGCGGACAGGACGTCACAACTATGATATTTAAACAGAAACGAAAACCGCAGTTCTCGCGCAAATTTCTCGCTTGATCTTGATCAATGAATGAGTGGAATTCCGCTTTGTTTTTTATCAGCTCGTGACATTTGCTAATTAAAAAATCGCCGTTTCGATGAATCGAAAGTCCTTTACAGTGCAGAATAGATCAGCCGCGATGAAAAGAAAGGAACGTCACGTTCGCTGCAGCGTGTAATTAATCAATATAACCAGCCTCTCCCACGCGATCCTCCATCTTAGCTTTGGGTTTCTTGTATTTCATTTCTGTACTTTCCAATTAAAAATAAAAAAAAACGAAAAACTAATACGATAGATTCTACCCTCTTTTCGCAATCTCATGGGCATTCATCTCCACTCTGCTTTCTTTTTTTATTCTGCGCACAAATTTTTTCAAGTGCTATTATTTCTTTCATAGCTTGGCCTTGCCGATAATTGATTCACAAATTTCTTCTGATTGACTCTGCAGCAGATTGCAGAGACTTGGGATAACCGTTTCAGTAGATCAAAGTCAATGTAACAGTAGCAGTATTTTTTTATTTTTCAAAATGTTGCGCTTGTAATTTAACTGATAGCTACGTAATGTCTTATTACTTGTTAATTTCTTTCAATGACGGTTCGATATATTGAAAGACGTAATTTGCCGTTATATAATTCACGAACGACCTTGTATACAAAAAATTCAATACATTTTTTTTTCTTCCCCGACAATAAATGGAATAGCTATTTTTTGTAATCTCTGAAACTATTATACGTCGGAACTCAATTTCTTCGCTAAACAAAATGTTTACTGAATTTAATTTGTATACTATTCATGAAAGAGCGCAAAAAAAGAGCGAACTTCAGGGAATTCTTCTTTCAGTGAGGCGAGGATAAAAAACTCAATTTCAATTTTGCTTTATTTTCTTTCTTTCTTTTTCTTCTTTTTTTTTGTTTCAAATTGTGTTTCAGGAAGTATCGATCTTTCTATTTGAAAAAAGATCGGTCGAAAAGATCCACAAGCCTAAAAGGAAAGAAGCCGTCACGGAGATGCTTCGAGTTGGAGTAAAACATTTGGAACGTTTCCGACATCCGAAAATTCTAAAGGTAATGAATATCTTTTTTTTTTCTATTCCATTTTTTTTCCAGTACAATACACGCTCAAAATTCTGAATAAAAAAATCTCCATTACAAAGAAGCTTCACCCTTTTATTCAGCTGGAGAAAAGCGAACTTTTTTGCAAGGCAAACAAATCACGTATTTTAATTACATCTTATTGCTTCATCGATAGAGGTAAAACAAAAAGTGGTAACAACTCCATCGAGAAAAGCACTCGATATTCTTCGATACAGAATCCATGTACTTTCTTTTTATGAGGAAGAAAAATCCTCGATCGTAAAAAAGCTCAACGGAAAAGAAAAGAGAAGAGCGCGAGCTACGCAATAAACTTTATTTTGACTTTTATTCACGACAGCTGAAACTTTTTAATTTGACATTTTTAATTACTTTGCGCGCACGTAGCCAAGACAACTGCGAATCCTGCTGTCGGAGAGGAATGTCGCGGAAAAACGGTTTACGTTCGAATAATTTTCAGAGAAACTTATCTCGATAAGTGAAATTGCTCAAATTATAAAGTCGCTTTCGGCAAACTTTTCACTTAAGAGATCCGCTTCTCGGCAGTTTATAGTTTATCGAGCTTGCAACGCGCGTTGCGAGAGAGACCTCAACTCCATTCCCAATTGTATAGACGAAGGAGAGAGTAATTCACTGCTACTACCACGCGCTACACGCCGCGGCAGCGGCAAGTCTCTCTGCCCCCCCTCTCTCTCTCGGATAATTACTTTACTACGCTCGACGAGTAGCTCGCCGAAAGAAAAAACTTAATAAGATACAATTGAGCTTACCAACTTGGCGTTTTTGATCATTCATTTACTCACGGTCCTTTTTTTCTATTCTCTCTTATTAAAATCTTTGACAATCACTCGATTCATTGCGTATGTCGCGGCTGTGTGCATTGTAAAAAGTTAGATAAGAATGAAGATTAATTAGTTGCTTCTATTCCATTACGAAAGATTCGTTTGAAAATAATAACCCATTAGAGTTGCAAGTGAAAAATACATTTTCTCTTTAGACATGAAAGAACACCAAGCGTAATACACGATAAGAGAAAAAAATCTCTTTGCTCTACTTCTATCAACGTTAGTATGATTGACCTTTACATGACTATAAAGACACAGAAGGAATAAAAAGAGCAACTTTTCCATCAGTACTTTCTACTTTGGAACACAAAAGAGTCACTGGGGTTACGGTATTTGTTCTGTGCACGGAGTCGCGAAAAGAGCTTTCACTGGACATTGTTGAACTTCTGCAACATAAATTGAACTGTTTACGAGACTTCACGCATAGTTACAATGGGAACCGGACCAATCGTAAGGTTTCACGATATTCGGGTACTTTGAGCTTCAAAATGTTTATAAAGGATTATTAAATTATTAAATGCTAATAAACTTTGAATATTTTTATTCAACGAGTAATGCCGATGGATTCGAGATACTTTTTTTTATGACACGACATGAATTTGAAAGAGGGACAATATTATGTTATTTTTTATACATACTTTCCAATAAAATATAAAAAAAAATATCTGCAGGTGATTCACGCAGTAGAAGAATGCCAAGACACATTAGCCTTCGTCTCGGAACCAGTACTGGCAAGTCTAGCAAACGTGCTAGCAGCGGAAGAACAGCGTCACTTAACGGAGACATTGTCAGCTCAAACGACAGGCTCCAATGTCACCATGAATCATCATCATCAGCAGTCATCGAATCAGCAGACGAATCGTCCGATTTTCACCAAGGATTACGAATTTCTTAGCATTGAAATCAAGTACGGTTTGCTACAGTGCACTGAAGCACTTTATTTTCTCCACGCGAGCTGCCAGGTGATGCACCGTAATATCTGTCCGAGTAGCATCATCATCACCAAGAGGGGCACGTGGAAATTGTTTGGCTTCGAGTTCATCGGTAAGTCGTTGCGAGGCACAAATGACGCGCCCCGACGTCCACAATGTTGATGAATCGATGAAAAGTTAGTCGCAAACTCACGAAAGTTAATTGCAACGAAACGCGTCACTCCGAGATAAACTTAACATATCAAGTTAAAATATCGCGTCGTTTGACGTGGAGCGAAGCGCAGAATCGCGTCGCTGCAGCGCGACGCAGATATTTACTTTCGTCGTGCAATTAACTTCGACGGCGATCCAAAGCAAAACGACAAAGGGAAAGCTCGTTTGGCCGTGATGAGTTTCGTGCGGATTATTTGGCGCGCGCACGGTAACGGGAGCGCGGATTAACAGATATCATTAAGAAATAACTCGAGTGATTTCTCACGGGCGAGAATGCGCCAGTCATCCGGCGAATTGCCGATGATTGCGCTCGCGCGCACTGAGCTGACAAGCGTTTTTGCACGGCACGCCTCGCCACGATGAATACGACTAAACTCTCAACTCGATCCGATTTCTCGCGGATCTCTCCGTTGCACGGACCCACGATAAAATCGAGCTCTTCTTGTAGGCGAAGAAACACTGAACCTGGAATGCGACTTTGTTTGTTGTAGAAAGGGTAAACGAGCGAGACGGCATCGAGCAAGTGCCACTCCCCCAATGGACCAATCGTTTGTCCAAGATAACTCAGCCCAACCTCGATTATCTCGGTAAGCTCGCGTAGCATTCAAAGTGCTCATGCCTCGCGTGGCAGTCAACGATTTCTTGTGCACAACAGCTCCAGAGGTGCAGCAGAAGAAGGTGGGCTGCACCCTCAGCGACATGTACAGCATGGGCATGGTGATGTGCGCAATTTTCAACAACGGCAGGCCGCTGATCCAAGCCAATCACAGTGTGTCCGACTACTTAAAGCAACAGGAAACGGTATTTTTGCAGTATTGAACAGTCCACCCTTTATCAAACTTTGTATCATTCAATTCCGCTGAGCTGAGGCTTCCACGGCTTTGCCCATATTAGCCACCTTCCAAGGGGCTGGGTTTACCGGTTCAGTTCCGCTCGAATAGTCACAAGGGACTTGTCGTCCGTGTCGCGCGCCTTCCCACGGGAGGCGAATTTGCGCGGCTTCTTAATGAAAAGTCCATTCGTTCGCAGCTGGAAAACCACATACACCAGCTGTTACCTCGCGTGCCGTTGCCGCTTCAAGAGTCGGTCTCGAGGCTACTGCTCAAAGACATCAAGCAGCGACCGACCGCCCAGGTGATCACCTACATCAAGTACTTCAAGTAAGAGCTCTCTTCTTCTCGCCATCTCGCTCTCGCCAGCGGGGAGGCCGACTTGGACGCTCAAATGCCAAATTTGCATACGACGCGCGTGCTTTTGTATAGCCTTACGTCCGTAGAAGCGCGCCAGGTCGTTCGCCTCCGTTCTTATTTTCGGAGTTGATTACCTCGATAGCAGAGCGCCGCGAGATGGTATCGCTCTTATTACAGACTACGACAGCAGCGCGCTGCTCTGACTTCAAATGCTCACCACGGGAGACGGCTGTATAAAGTGGCATGCGCTTTTAAATCTCCAGTGCCGAAATTTTACTGTTTCATCGTCAAATGTATAGCGTTAAGAAAAACACATCAAGTTAAAAAAAAATACTATCTCAGGCAACGGCGTGACCACGGACACGCGGATTCGTCGATCGATGATCGTACAGCCTTTGGCCATCTCGCCCTTCACAGTCGATCAACAGCGCGGCGCCCTGCACATGTGGCATTCGTGCCTTTTGCTGACGTTCTCGTGCATTTTCGATTTATCGCCATTGCCGCTCAAAAGACCGACATTACATATGTGCGTGCGCGCGCGCGCGCCTTTGATTTTCTTCCAGTGATCCGTCGGTGCAAGCCTTTCAATTTCTAGACGTGATAAACATGAAGGATCCACCACAGAAGGTTCACTTTTACAGGACCACGCTCAAGGAAGTGCTGCCCTACGTGCCGAAAGTAAGTAGTACGAACGCGCGTCAAGTCAGACGTCGAAGCGAACAAACGTCGCCGCAAGCGCACTCCGTGCGTATTGACGTATTTTGTATAAGCGGATGCACGTGATTGCGCGCGATTGACCAATCCAGATTCGCAATTGCGAATTTTGCGAATGATTCGCAGAGCCATCTAGTTCTGCGGCTACTTTCATCGCATTAGTAGCTACACCGCGTGTATTCCTCGCCTCCCTCTCTATTTTAATGATTATTACTAGACTGAAAGTTCGATATTGGGCAACCCACGTGGCTCATAAGTAAACGTGAGAGGCGAGAAATTGATCCGACGCGATGGCAAAGTGGAAAATTGGCTGTTAATGGATGAAACTTGATATGTATATCTAAACTGTGAATAAGCTCAGTGCGTACGTCGCGATTCGCTTGCAGAATCAAAGACCATTTGATTGCCGACAAAGAACTCAGGGTTTTCGTAGTCTGGGGCGGGAGTGGGGAGTAAGAACCTTTTTTTGCTGTGCCTTCCACTGACGAAAGTCTGTGGCATCGACAGAAAATGTGGTACATGCATATCTGGCCGGTGCTGTACCAGGAGGCACTGGCGAGCGAGGTGCTGGCGGCGGTGCTGCAGCCGATATTCTACATCATTCAGAACGCCACGCCCCTGGAGTACGAGGAAATCCTATTGCCGACGTTCAGGCCGCTGTTCTCGGCGCCGCGCTCGATCCAAGGCACGGTGGCGCTGCTTGAGAATCTGCACTTCGCCCTGGAGAAGACGCCGCTGGACATCATCAACAAGGACATGCTGCCGATACTTTACAACTCGTTCGAGAGTGGCACCATCCAGATCCAGACGGCGGCGTTCGTGGCGCTACCTAACGTGAAGAACTACATGGACGACATGGCGATACGACGCACCGTGCTGCCCAAGGTGAAGATGGCCTTCCAGAACAGCACCACGGACCAGAGGATCCTCATGAACGCGCTCGCGAGCATACTCGATCGGCTTGAGAAGCAGCAGATCATCGACGAGGTGCTGCCGCTGCTCTGGGACGTGAAGCTTCAGGAACCCGAGATCATCCTTAGGATGGTAGGTAAGTGATCGACTCTCCGCAATTGACTTACTGGCTGCACGCGCGCGCGCCCCGCCTCTTACTCGAACCGCCACGGTCGCTGATCCTCGCTCGCAGGCATCTACAGGATAATGCTGAGCGACAAGAAATACGGACTGTCCGTCAATCTGATGGCGACGCGGGTGATGCCGCTGCTGCTCCCGCAAACGGTCAACCCGGCGCTCACCTTCGACGTCTTCACCGCCCTGCTGGAAGTACTGCAGGAGATGCTCAATCACATCGAGAGGTACGCCGACGTTTCGACGATCGGTTGAACTGCAAGATTGAGCGAGCTTTTTCTTTGCCCGTTGCCTTTTCAGAAACCAAAGGAACAAGCTGAAACTCGACAATCTGTCTCTTCCCAGTCTCGAGCGACACCGTCCCCTGCGCCACCAATACAGCACCGATAACATGCACGTCCCGCCCTTCAACATTCCTAATTTGCGCATCGAGCAGAGGAAGACATCGTCGGCCGAGGACATGGCCAGGAAAAATTCCATCGGTATGTGCATTTATTCCAATCGCTACGATCCGTTCTGCTTAATCGTGACTTCTCCTCGGTGTGACCGCAGGTTCCATGTCCATGACGGCCTCTGCGGAAAACATGACAGGCAGGAAGAACTCAATGGCGGGTAAGTGTAGCGAGGAGAAACGTGTCGCGTGGAAGGAAGCGTTGGCTGAGGGGAAACGGCGGATGCGCAGGTATGCTGGGCAGCTGGTGGTTCGGCTCGACGTCGTCGGCCAACGCCGACAGCAATTTCCTGCGCGTGGCCAACACCTTCACGAGCCGCCGGCTCAGCGACAACACACTGATGACCCCGAAGATCAGGATCGCGCCATCGTGCGCCAGCTCGCCCGGTGGCACGCCCGGTGGCGGTCTGCCCATACGCAGGCACTCGAGCACGGGGCCGCAGGAGCGCCGTGGCTCCAATATCAATCTGTCACCTCCCACGGTATGCACCATTATTAGCATTCCGCGAGTGCGCGCGAACATGCTTGCGTTTGGCGAGGGTCCTTCGGCTCCTCCTTGCGTCGCGCGCGCGAGCACCGCGGCTCGAGGCTCGGTACTCCACGGTGGCTCACGAGGACGGCATTTCGAGCGCGGTCGTTCGCTCGATGACGGGCAAGCGCAAGCTGCACGCTGTATTGTGGTATGTTGTTTGTGGGTCTGTTTCGACAGGGCGGCGGCATGCCGATAACGAGCAGCAGCGTGCCGTACCTCCTGTCATCGAGCATGAGCAGTATAAGAGGCTCGCGACGGCCGTCGGTCTCGTCCACGTCGTCGCAGCAGGGCTCTGGCCTGCTCCAGCAGTTTGGCTCCGGCATGGTAAGACAACTACCCCCCATCTGCCTCAACCTGAATGGACCACCACCACCAACACTCTCTCCATCACTCCTGCAGCCATCGGGACAACCTTCCCACTGACCCATGGTTACAGTGTAAGGATCTCAAGTGTTCCTTTGCCAACAACAACAAACAACTACCACAGCAAAACTTCTAAAGAGATCGAACGCGATTTTTTATCTTTCTCATTTCGGGCCATCGCGACACCTCGGTCAGCGGTGCGATGACTCTTGACTGGGTTCGCTTCCAATCGCGCGCTGGGTAAGAAAAAGGCGCTCGGGAAACGTCCGATCAAGTTTCGTCGTGTTCGCTGCACCGGCCGACCACACGTGTCCATTGATTCATTCCGTCAAGCTGATGAAGGAAGTATCAATCGAAATTTCATGGCTTTTCACGGTTCTGGCTATTTGATGCTTTCTCTCTCTCTCTCTCTCTTCGCGTCTAATTCAATATTTGAATATTCGCTGGACTGCGAGTAGCGGCATTGTGCTCGCAGGGCATAAATATCGGAAATCAGTATCTTGTTTCAAATTGTTACTATATCAGAGCTCCATTTCAATTGTATTTTCATCAATGGCTGATAATTTATACCGACCTTGCGCGAGAAATACGGCCATTTGTATTTACGCTGCCTCGATTATCAAGTGCACGTTAAAAAGTTTGATCTTAGAACTGCATCGTAACTCCTGGTCAACTTTAGTATGGCCTCAATTTATAACTTTGAACGTTTTGCTGTTATACTATCGAATCGATCTGAAAGCCAATCGAAATTTTCGCAATAACTTCCTTTTTACCAGCTTTAATATTAACATTCGGTATAGAGAGTTGACATTATCGCTCGCGTTTTCGCAAACGACACTTGTTCTATAAAATGCCTCTTGTGCTCTATCTTCGTTCTGCCATATTTGACATCGTGATTATTATTAGTTCACTTTGTGCTCCTGTAAACATTGTATTTTGTTTTATTTCTGACGTAAACTTTTGCGTTTCATGATTTCGAAATACAACATTTTCCAGCTTGAAATCATTGATACGAAAGATATAATTTTATGCCGCTTCATTATCTCCAGCGATTGATCGATTTTACATGCATTAGTCCGACACGCTGTGTTTAATCATGATTTGATTTTCCCATTTAAAAATTTTTTTCTTTTTCAAGAAAACAAAACAGTTTCATTGTCATGAAACGAATTAATTACTGGGGTAACGTGAGATTTCATAAGACACGGTATCAGAAAACTTTGTCGCGACTTCAAATAACCGAAAGAAGCAATCCCCCCATGTTGACTGAAGGATCGAGTTCAACGAACATATATATCTTGCGTTATGCTACCCGTGTGATTGCTATCCTTGCACAATGTACCCACGGCAAATAGAGTCAACAACGAATGACACTCTTTGATCGTGTGTACATAGAAATCTCCTCTCTCTCTCTCTCTCTCTCTCTCTCTCTCTCTCTATACCATAGTATCTGTCTGTATCATTCTGCCTGTGTCTCACTTCTGCCTCTGTGATAGCGAATATTATATAAAAGCATCGTTTTAATTGCATGTTGTTTAAAGTATGCCATGTGTATTTGATATACATAAAAAAAGACAACCAAAAAAACATCAGCACGACGCTGTATCAACGTCCAACATCGCCTGTGCTACTGTGGATGCAACGCTACTCATCTCTATTTATTTATCGCATATATATAAATAATCTTGCTTTTAGAAAAAGTGCATATATAATAACCATCATTGTCGTCCGCTGATACTCTGCTACTTCACTCAACTACTCATCACACGCTACGATACGCCGCATCTCTCCACAAAGCCTCTGCTACGGACATCCGAACTTTATATATTTTGAGATTTTGTAATTGCTATCATGATATATCTTCTTTTAATACGAAACATCGTAATTTCTACGCTTCTGTGCGCTTCGCAATTTTTCTCTCTCATTCGTTATATGCCCTTTTTTTCTTTCTTTTGATCTGTTGTGCAAGACTCGGATTCGATTTGGCTTCGCAGCTCTTTATTTACCCTCCTCGCGGCGTATAGCCAAGGGCTGTAAATGAAAAGTTGTAAACGTCAACTCTCGGCTCTGTTCCTCTTTAATTCGAATGATCAAACGCGTATAGGCGGAATCGCGTTTTACACGTGCGGAATCCTTGGCTTTTCAATGTAGCTAAGTGCAAGCTATCGAAAGCTTTAATTTCACTACTCGAGACGACAATGCAATCAAACGTGTCATTTTATCTCATTTTATGTCCTTCGTGCACTAAACGCGTATACACAAGTACTCAATTTGCGTTTCAGAAAACACTGCGTGAAGTAATGCTTTGCATGTATTACAGTGCAATTTGAAAAAAAAAATAAATAAAAAACAAAACTTTGCTTGTATATCAAAGCAACGAACGAGTTTTGCGTGGGAGGCCAATTTCAATGCTGTCCAATCCTTTATGTCTACCTCACAAAAAACGAGGCGGAAAAATGAGACGCTTGTCAGATTGGTCTCTCCCACGCGAAATTCTCCTTCTCTGTGATATTTTCTCTTGCGCACGTGTCGATCGAAAATTGCGAAGCGCAGACTGGCACATGTATTTTCTATAGTTATATAAATAACGATTTATTTGTAGAATAGCGAATTTCAGCAAACAAACTTTTTTTTTTCAACAATCAACTCGTCAAAAGAAAAAAAAAACTCTTTTCAAGTATTGAATATCTAAACTAAATAGACATATCTAATGAAATAAATGGCCACGCATGTGTCAGCCCTGCCGATTACGCTTTCTGTTACAGTACCAACTGTTCTCTGGACGGTCATAATCCGGTGGAGATACAGCTGGAGCACGAGAACTCGTCGATAATCCTGTGAGACGGGCAGTATATCGGCAGCAACGACGAGTATCGTGCGTTCAATTATTAATGATGTCACATCTCAGCTCTGCGTCGTCGTCTTTGCGAAAGGCACGTGTATCCTTCTTCCAGAAGAGAGTTTTGCGGTTAAAGAGCGTCGGACTTCTTCTCGTTCTCCTCACTTCGTACTTCTTCCACCCCGCCTCTGCGAATTTTTCGCGCTTATTCGGTATGCTGTATATTTTCCATTTCGTAAGCCAACACTCGACAAGTGTTTGCCATCTTTCCTGTCAACAGTAATATTACTTGCGTTCCATTGCATGTACATATTGTCAAACAAGAGCAAAAATAAGCATGTGTTGTATGTCGAAAATAAGTTGTAAATAAGTGCGATTTCAATTGAAAGTCCGACAGAGACAAATGCTGCGGCGACAGCAAAACACAAAAAAAAAACACTACGAAAGCCTAAAAAAGAGAGAATATGTATATTCTCAATTGTTCGTATCGTTTATATGTATAATAAGTATAATCTTAAAAGAGACAATCTATCAATTCAGCGCCTCGATAATGACAAGAAAAACTAAGTCGCGGGACGGCTCTTCAGACTATCAAACCGAATCAAAAGAAAAGAAAAAACAAAGAAAGAAAATAATAAAAAATATACCTTACCTTAGATAAATTATACACTTCCTTATCATTCGAGATAATTATATTCTAGAAAACTTAATTGTAAACTGTAATTTTATTATGGAGCAAGGACGCAACAAAAAAAAATTTAAAAAAAAAGCTGAAAGAGCGCTTAAGGAGAAAGAAAGACATATTTGACTATCAGCGAACTATATATATATATATATATATATATACACACACCCACATATATATATATACACGTGTTTCTTCTGTCAATTCTAATCATTGCATCAACAATCATTACTTGTTAAGGGTAGCTTTTATACGCGAAGGGGAATTAAGACGCGTTAACATGGCCCCAAGAAATGCTAATGCAGAAAGTAAATATCTCATTCGCGTAAAATGAAAATTTTGCTAAGGGGAGTTTTTTCGAGCAAGCAATGAGCTTCCGTGTGAGCTGCGTTCTTTGCTTAGTAGAATTATTGGTTCTAACGTGGAACTCAAAACCGCGCCACTTGGGACAGACGTCCTTCCTCTTTCTTCCTCTCTCTCTCTCTCCCTCTCTCTCTCTCTCTCTCTATCTCTCTCTCTCGAGCATCTTCTCGCGCTAATCAACATATCAGTATAATATGATGTATATCATCAGTGAAAAACAAGCTTTCGTGATGTTTGCCCTACTCGAACAATGAAAAATATTTAAAACAAGAAATAATAATAATAATAATAATAATAATAATAATAATAACAAAATCTCTAAAACTTCTGTATACTTTCTCTTTCTGTGATAAAAAAATGACGAACTTTGACGATAACCTTGTTTCCTTTGCCCCGTCCTACATAAAGTACTTATCGTATGTCCTGCGTGTGGAAGAGAGAGAAAAAAACCATTTGTTACCGTGTGTGTGAAACACAGGCGTACATCGCGTGCGTTGCGACGACGAGTAATAAAAACGAAAGAAGGAACAAAAAAAAGGGAATATTTTACTTCCATGATATAGATTTTAACCGGAAAATAAAACAAAAAAAATAAAGTCAGATTTATAGAAAAACAAAATGACTTTTTTACGCGGCTAATATGATAATACATAGAGCTATTTATTTATGTACTAGAACGACTTACAACTTTATCGAGACTGCGCGCGCAGGCGTCAAAGTGGAGGATACTTATTGAAGTTATATTATATAGTATATATACACGCATCGCACGGTTTCAGTTGGCCCACTGAAAGTTTATCTAAGAGAGTTTTAAAACAGATAGCAGAGTATATTTTTAACGCGAGACTGTTACATCTTTCGGCTGTCCATTGTATAGTCAACTTTCTACGCGGGCGTAGAATCTTCCAAGACAATTTATCCAAGATAACTAATAAGTGTTCTATTTTCCATTTTGACCATATATAATATACATATGACTACGATCTTATTAACTAGAGATTGCTATATTTCATAAATTTTCAATAACACATAATCTATCTTTATAAATGGTTGAAACAATAAACAAGTCGTAATATCTGACTGTTAGTTATGAATATTCCCTGTTGAACAAAGTAATACCAATTTTATTTGTCAGATTTTGGATAAGAAATAATCGTGTGAACAGTGGTTGCAACGTATATCAACAGAAGTAAACGAATTGATCATATTTTTCTTAGAATTAGCAAGTGTTAAAAGAAAAAAAAAGGGAAAATGAAAAACAAAACGGCAATGAAACACATACAAAACAAACTAATAATGTCAAATCCTCAAAGTAGAGATGCCGAATGTGTAAAGACAATGTAAATCAAATATAAAAAGTACATATTTACATATGAATAAATACGCGTGTAAAATAACAATTATATTGATTGTATAAAAAACAAAATAATTTGCCACCAATGGAGCAATATCGTGAGACGATAAATGAAAAAAAAGCCTTTCTAAAATATATTCTATCTTAATAATATTTTAAAGAAAAATCAGTGTAAAGTGGAAAGTCGTTGTCAGAATATAAACTAAAAAAAAAGGAATTGTGTCTGAGTGTACGTATGTATAAAAAAGTTATTTCCAAGCCAGAAACTTCAGATCACGATAATAATGATCAATAATTATAACTGTACATGTAAACGCAACATCAAATGATAATAATCATTATTAACGTGTGATTGTATGGTAGATTTTAGGTGAAATACTTTCGTCTTTTCAAACAAACTTCTTCAATACGTGGAAAATAATAATCTTCTTTTCCGTCAACTTATGAAAAGAAATTGTTCTTATCATTTTCCGTTGTAGATTTAGATCTTTGCTGGCATACTACACATTCGATGTAAACGTGAGATTTCATAATAGGATAGAACTTGAATTGTTTCAAAATTAAAAGTCAAGGTATATTATGATTATATAAAAACTATCATTAATAATTATTTTGCCATATTTTTTGATGTGACGACAACTGATAATTTGTATAATGACTGATTAAAAGTTAGTCTAATGTATGTACGATTAAATAAAATTTGATTAATATAATTATCATTCCTTTTGTCTACAAAAGCAAAATGTAACAAACGTTCTACAATAGAAATTTACTACGTATATTTTCAGTATTAATTTTACGTACTGCAAAAGCAATAATATCAAATAAGCCTTGCCAGTATTATGAATATAACTTATTTGGCTGAGAATGCAGAATAAATAATTAAATTTTTTTTAATGCTATTGAATTACATAAGAAAAATTAAAAAGACAATCTTACCTGACAACGCGTTGTAATGCTCGTGCAGAAAACAAGTTAGAACAAATGAATCGAGAACTTAATGTGATTAACGTATACAATCATTAACGTTAATGGGAAACCCCAATGAAGGACTTCAATATTTATAATTCAAATCGTTACTTTCATTTTTATAACGATTATCCATGAATCAGTTAAAAATTACTGATTGATCTTACTATCAATTTCAGGAGAGTGATTAAGTGTCCTTATTCTTAAAAATAATTGACGTAATTGGAAATGATATCAAACATTAATATAACTAAAATGAATTATTTATGATTTCTTTGAGAGTATTGTGATACATAAGTTTCATCATCGAACTGACAGAAACAATATTTCGTCAACCTAATTTTAAATTTGCCAGGCATGGCAATGAGTCACTTGTGAGAAAGAATAAAATGAAAAGAAAATCATGTAATAATGTTAAGATTCACTGTCTACGCAATTGACAATCGGTAGAATTGATGCAGGAAACTTCGCAACAAGAAAAGTCAATCGACGATAAAAAATTATTTTATTGCAATGTTTTGTTTGCGAGAAGCGTAATTTCGTCCATAAATAACAAATAAACGAAAGTTCACAGCCTGTGAAAGTAAAAGTCATGGAAATTTTTAATGTATTAAAAGAAAATTGATTACAACGTATAAATGGTTACTTTTTTCAAAGTAAAAGTGCCAATTTCTGAGATCTTATGAAAAATCTTTAAAATTGAAGGATTTTTTCAATTTCCAGTCATTACATACTAGTGACATCTTTAAATAATTATGCACGTATCGCTATAAATTACACTCTTTTGAATAATCTCAAGGTTGATGATTATTTTTCCTATCGGTAATTTTTTTATTCTTATGATAATACTAGGTTAATGAATTTTGGGCTGATCTTTTAAAGACTTATTATATATGAATGTGCGATTGTAGAATAGGGTGATAGACGTTAAATGACGAAGTCTTTCCTACTATATACATATTGTAATTTGCGCAGATTCTAAAGAAAGAAGTAGCCTAGGTTATTATTTGAGTAGAAACACTATTTGAAACCAGATTTTCACTAGCATTTTATTCCTACATTCAAAATTTAAATCATATCATTTTGATATATAAGTAGTTTTATAAAGTTCAAAATGTTTCTTCTTCTAAATTTCAAACAAATAATTGAAACAAATATTATCAAATCTTTTTGCAAGTTCGTTCCTTGTAATTTTATTTGTATTTTCAATTTAATATTATAATATATGTAATAACTATGTATAACTGTGAATCCTTTATAATTGTATAGAAAACAAAGAGATAAATGAAAATGAGGTTGCATAAAATGTACACATTGTTGGATGAAGCATTAATAAAACTGACGAAAGTCTACATTAGAGGGTGAATAACAAAAATTTTTTAAATTAGTAGATATACTTTAACTCTTGACATTTTTGTATTGAATATTGTATGTATGTACATTAGGTAAAGATCATTGAAGAAGCAAAGTATGTTGGTAAAAAGAACGCTAAGCAAATTAAGAAAATTACCTAAGAGATTTACATGTATATATAAATATTTTGCCTCTTGTGAATGAAAAATAGCCTTAAAGTATTGTATAATAAACATATGAAGTAATAGCCTTCAAAATTGAATACTGTAAGTGTATCTAATTATCAATGGATAAAAATGTTGTGAAAACAATGTGAATATTTTGAAAGAGAAGTAATCTAATCCGAAGGGCAAAGTGCGTTTATTTGTTTTTCACTACAAGCAAAGAAAAATCCTATATAAAAAAGCAACGCAATCAATAAGGATGCTTAAACAATAAATGACCTAATCTTTAATTGTTTCGCATCGCCTTAACATACAGAGCATAAAAAAAGTATGATGCTCGGAGAAAAGGTATATTTTATAAAACTAAATCGCATGCATAAAATAAAAGAAAAAGTTATTAAAAAACAGTTATCGAAAAAAAAAAAATGCAACAGTATCGTGTCTCCAGAATAAAAAAAATAAAAACATCACTCGACTATATTGTACACATATTTAGAATAACAAAAAAATGCAATGAATGTACGATATCTAATAAATGTGTTCTGCACCATTTTTCGGTTTGTACTAATATTTTTATTGTACCTCTCGTATTGAAATATCGTACATCGTAACCTCTTTCCAATTTCAGCGGGGAAAAGCTTGCGTTACCTTCTTGCCGCGATAGATGTCGCAAGGCATCGGGCAGTGTTATCGATGGAGGAAATACCGGGAGCTCTCAAATATAATGTAAGTAAAAGTGAGGTAAACATATGAAGACATTAATCGCGATATTCCACAACTTATATTTGTCTGCCAGTTTTTTCTCAAATCATTGCAGACATGAGTTTGATCAACGTGACAAATGAACGCTTGACACGAGATGACTATTTCTGAAAAGCAATTGCAACTATGTTATGATACAATAAATGCTATTTCAAAGTGCCAATTAATATTCATCATTGAATAATATTGAGAGGAAAAAAAACACGAAACAATGTATTCATCATTATCGAGCTGGCAACATCAATAGCTCGACGGCAATCGATAATCAATGAAAAACGAAGGCTCATGCAAATGGCACAAGTTTCTCAAGTCCAGCGCGCACAAGCCTGCATGTCCAACTGATCGAAAGGACAATGCGCGTACGTGTCCTTGCGGTCGGCGTATAAATCGATCCCTACCGCCGTCTCGTCTATCAATTACCCGCGTATGCTATCTAAATCATGCGAGTAGGCGCTCTTGCGCGTCGTCCATCGCGTGAGCGCGATAGACGAATTTTGGAAAAAGCCTGCTGCGAGCGCGCGCGATTCGACGAGCGCTCTCGCTTGGCGCGGACTCGGTTTTTCTTATCACGGCGGCAGCGCCCGAATCGTCGTCTGCTGCTGCTTTTGCGCGGCAGCATCGATCGCGAGCGTGCGGCCAAGGTCGAGTTCGCGCGTCCGTCCGCGGCTAAGCGAGCCGGCGGGTCGCGCGCGTCGCGGAGCCAGGCGATCCGCGGCCGCAGCTTCCGAGAAAAGCCGGGGCGCGTGCATCCCTCGTCGGCCACCTGCAGTCGAACGTCGGCCTCTCCCTACTCCCTGCCTCGCGAACCACGGCGCCCCCACCCGTCGCCGCCGCCGCCGCCGCCGTCCACGCTCGATCCGGCGCAGCGGCGGCGCGCTGCTTGCTGCTGCTGCTGCTGCGGCTCCGGTGGTAGTTGGCAGTCGGTCGCTGCCTGCAGTGAGACGCTGTGACGGTGCGCGCGCAACCCATCGGGGCCAGGGCGAAACCACGGACAAGCGGTCAGATTGGTTGGCGGAAAGCAAGCGAGAGCTGAGCTCGATTCATTGGCCATGGCCGACAAGGTTTACCAGCCGAGCAGCGAGCTCTCAAGGCAGGCCCACTGCGCGGGCATGGAGCAGTACAGGCACATGCACGAGAGGTGAGTGTCAAGGCGGCCGATCGATTTCTCGGAGCCGCGGACGGCCTCGGCCCAACTCGTCGACGCACGCCTATCCGAGTTATCGCGCGCGCCAATGCCTGGGCAAAACAATAATAAAGTCGGAGCGACGCGATCGACCCCATTTTCGGGAGGGAGGGGAAGGGGCGTTTACTGTTGTGGCGATATGCCGAAGGAGCGCGCACGAGCGCCGATTCCAAAATGCTAACGAGACGATGCCCGTGAGAGAGGAAGCAGTGACGCAGGCAACGATTGTCTATGCAGACGACCAATGGAGAGACCCGTATCGCAGTTTCATTCCACTTTGTTATCTCTCTCTCTCTCTCTCGCTCCCCCTTTTCGATTTGACTCTTTGAAAAAGAAAGAAAGTTTCACCGATCGATTGCGACACCTGCGCCCCGCGGCACTAGTACGAGCGCTGGCCTTCATTCGTATCGTCGAGGCTTGCGGATGCGCGTCGTTCCTTGAAGAACTCCATTGAGAATTTCATGATATCTCGTCGTACGACAATATGCAGACGATTCGGCGCCAGCTGGGGCGTTCGAGTACAAATGCGCTCGCTCGCCCTCGTATTTCGCGGGGTGATGGGGAGGGGCAGAATTGTCGATGGACAACGGATGACGATGATCTCTTTCGCGCTGCGAGTGCGCGCACGATTCGTCCCTTGCACCGTCGAGCCTCCGGCAGCAGTTCACGAAGCGGGTGTACAGCTCGCACGACCGCAACTTACTCGGTTCGCGCGCGGGGCCGAGGATGTCGCGCGAGAAGCTCGGTGGCTGCATCGACGAGTGATCGCGCTTACGTGTTCGCAGATCGATCAAGCATCCGGCCCAGTTCTGGGGCGAGATAGCCAAAGAGTTCTACTGGGAGACGCACACCACCGAGGACAAGTTCTTCTCCTACAATTTCGACCTGAGCGAGGGCGACATCTACATCAAGTGGATGGAGGGCGCAAGTACCAACCTCAGCTTCAATCTGCTCGACAAGAATGTTAAAAGCGGCAAGGCTGATCAAATTGCATTCTTCTGGTAAATCCGTTTCCGCGTTGCCGTGGCCAAGTGTCATCGCACGCGGTCTAACGGCGACATTGCTTTTTATCTCTCTCTCTCTCTCTCTCTCTCTCTCTCTCTCTCTCTCTCTATCATTACGAAAGCCGTGAATTTTCAATAGGGTGATATTTGAATAGTAGGTTACTTGCTTCATTCCTTATTGATTTATTCGCATAATTTTCCTCGCAAAATAAAAGCAATTTATACACCCGCTGCAGTTTAACGGAAAACAACGAAATGGAGATTCCGCGATAAGACATTAAATGAGCGCGAGACTCTAATCAAGCGGTCATTCACATATTTCTTCATCAGGACACTTCGGTGATCTTCCGTCGCGTGCAATGATTTTTCGTAATTTCTGTTATTTTTTTTTTTTCTTTTTTATCGCTGTCTCTCGACCGCGGAAGCAGTTGCCTGTCGAAAAAAACGCGAACGCGCGTCGCAATCGTCGCGAAGGAAAAATGCAACGTGCTGCATCGTGCGTTCCCACGTCGATTTGATTTGGAGGTAACAGTGACCCGCGCGAGCGCAAGTTCATTGTGCATGCAAATGCCATCGTCGCGAAGTTGGGAGCGCGTGCGTCGGTTGGCTCGTATACACGCGCGCAAGTCATTCGCGCGTGGCACGCGCTAATCGCTCCTCGTCTCTCGTGCCCTTTTCCACCCCCGTACGTTGCTACGCCCACTGGCCTGGCCGAGAAGTGTGTGCGCTCGTGAATCGCGTCAATGTCTAAATATACATGCTGGCACTGGGCAAAATGTAAATGGCTGTTTGTCTAGTTCGAATGCCGATATTCCAAATGTACTCGTTGCACTTAAGCAAGCCCGCACGCGCAAGTCTTTCTCTATCTCTCTCTCTCTCTCTTTCGCGCGCGCGCGAGCAAATTAAATATTCACGTATACTCTTTGTCGTCGAGGTTAAAGCTGTAAATTTTCCGCTTGCTAACGCAAGAAAGGCCGAAGCTACGTAGTGGGAGCTGAACGACGAAAACGCACGTGAAAAACCGAGAGAGATCACGGCGTGATTGTATCATCGCATCTCGAAACCGAAGGCCGCGTCAGTGGTGGCGCGATGTAGTACCTCGTGCGGGAGTGCACCGAGAGGGGGATTCACCGACAGTGTAACGCACTTGAAAAAGAGATGCTTGTGTGACCGCCCGTACTTCGCACAACGGAGCGCGTGTACTCACGCGACAGACACATTTCGCCGGCACAGCTTTATCTCTCGGGCAGCTTCGTTATACCGGGATCTTATCTGTCGCTCTCACGTGTATGCTTTGACCAATTGTCGGATTACGCGATAGCTGATTTTAAATATCTTTTTTTTTGGTCTGGAATAATGCTGTTTAAGCAAATTTTTTTTGCCGTACGATTGAATGAATTTTTTCGGGAACATATCTTGAATACCGCATTTCAGATGAAAAGCAAACCATTTCGGTAATGTTATTATTACTCTATAATTAACTCCCACCGTCAAAATAAATTGCTGTGATTAAGTCAGAAAAAAAATTGCCTATTATTTCAGACGCAAATTCTAGATTATTGCACGATTGTAATTTTATTTACAAGTCTAATTTGGATAGCCCTTGGATATAATCTGCTCGATAGGTCCAGTATTATCAAAAGTAAGAATATTTCGCGGAGTGCATACGTACACGGATTTCGACTAAATTAATGTATATGTAATATACATTGTCTTACTTCAAATTGGCTAACGAATTGAATAAACATACAGTCAAATTTCCAAAGTTTTCGAACTTTTTTCGAGCAACCAGTATAGCGCTCAGATAAGAAAGATGGCAACACATCTTTTATCATTGTTGTTAGAATTTCAATATGTTAAATCTCGTGTGAAATCGACTGGCGCAATTTCACGTATGTTTCCACTGTCGATCAAACGCCTTACGGCATTTCAATTTCGCTGGCAATTTCGTCTCTGAAAGTGATTCTTTTCCATGTGAGATTCGCGCAGACCACAAGGAAAGACTAATAACCCTACTCTTTCACGCAAACGAGGTCGAGGCCGCGCGCGAGATTGAATTTTACAAACCAGAAATTTCGAATTTGTCCTGTATAGTGAATCGCGTTTTTTTCGAACATCCAGTTCTTTTGTATCGACGACAAAAGGAGCGCTTATCATGGAAATCAACGCGTCTCATCGACAACGAAAGAAAAAAAAAATCGGCTCGTCGAAAAACATCGCAGTGTCTCGCGAACGTCGTCTCGCGCGTGAGTTCGGATTCAACGCGAAAGGGAAATCTTTATCTGGATTCGTGGAGCACGCGAGAAGCATCGGACGAGCGAGTGTATTTTGGTGCGTAAGAAAATCGCGCGTCGACGCCTCATTCCCGTCCGTTGCGCGCGCCGCGCGCGAGCTGTCGACGCGTGTATCGTCAAGTTCATCGACGTCGCGCCACGCTTATCGCCCGAGAAAATTAGCCGGCTCGCGCGATTACATTTGCCAACGCGTGCGCCAATATTTGCCTCGCGAGTTTATGCAACCAGGAAAACTCTTACTCGACGTAGGAATTTCACCGGAAAAACAGTTTGGTGCGACGTCACGGGCTCGCGTTCCTTTTTTTCGCTATCTCTCACTTTTTGTTTTTTTTTTTCGTGCGTGGACTGCGAAACATTATGAAAATCACAGTTTGACTTTTGACACCGACAGCTAGAAATTTAAAATGTCCGTGTGACTTATGCACATGTTTTCTCCACATATAATAATTATTAGCGGAGATTCGTGAATTTAAGGAAAAAGATTGTACCGTACAATTTTTTTGCCACCCGATCATCAGTGTTCGGGTAACAGGGATAAACTTTTTAAGAAAAATAGAAAATACCCGAGTACTTGAACTTGCATTTTCTCGAAGCTATATTATCGCATCGAATTGGACTAATTTGCCATCGACGCGTGTGTAAAACACCAGTTGCGATCGATATACATTAGCCTGTCAATTTTCGCCGCAATGAGGAAGTTATTACGCGCTCGCGACACTGCGACGGGCCATTATCTTTCGAGAGTCGCTTACTCTGCGAAGATAATTTGACATTTCGGTTCCGTAGTTTGCCCGAGGTCCGAGGCGACGAATCCATTACGGCGATATTTCCAAAGACACGCGCGCTTGAAGAATTTTCACGGAAAAACAGGTCTGACGATCGATTCCGCGGAGCGCGTTCTCAAGGAACGACGACAATTGCAGGGAGGGAAACGATCCCGACGATTATTCCCGCCTGACGTACCGCAAACTGCTCGAAGAGGTGTGTCGCTTCGCCAACGTGCTGAAATCGAAAGGCGTGCAGAAAGGCGACCGCGTGGCGATCTACATGCCGATGATCCTGGAGCTGCCGATAGCCATGCTCGCGTGCACGAGGATCGGCGCGGTGCACAGCGTGGTGGTGAGTGTCGGTGACTCGATGCGCTCGGCCCGGGCCTCGGCTGAACCGCTCGCCTCAGTTCGCAGGCTACTCCGCGGACTCGCTGGCCGAGCGCATGCACGACTCGAGGGCCAAGGTGCTGATCACGGCCGACGGCGTGTGGCGCGGCAACAAGCTGCTGATGCTGAAGAGCATCTGCGACGAGGCCCTCGACAAAGTCAAGAGGCAGGGCCACACGGTCGACAGCTGCATCGTGGTGTCGCACCTCAGGCGGCTCTCGGCGCCCCACGGCAAGAACGACGCCGGTTAGCCACTTCGCCTTTCTCGGCCCCGTTCACGCTGTCGGATGCTCGAACGATCCTGTTTGCGGCGTTTCAGGTCGCGCGAACGGCACGGCGAACGGCAACTCGAACGACCAAGTGCCGCAGGTACCGTGGGACGACGACAGGGACGCCTGGTGGCACGACGAGATGGAGGACGCCGAGCCGAGCTGCTACCCCGTCTGGATGAACGCCGAGGACCCGCTCTTCATTCTTTACACGAGGTTCGTTCGGCGTGCGCCCACTCCTGGATGTTGCAGGCCATTCATTCGAGCTCTCTCTCACTCTCACTCTCACTCTCACTCTCACTCTCACTCTCACTCTCTCTCTCTCTCTCGTGTTCTCGATTACAGCGGCTCAACGGGCAAGCCGAAGGGCGTTCTGCACACAACGGCCGGCTACTTGATTTATGCGGCCACGACCTTCAAGTACGTCTTCGACTATCATCCCAACGACATTTACTGGTGCACCGCCGATATTGGCTGGATCACGGGACACACTTATGTCGTTTACGGTCCACTTGCCAATGGCGCTACTTCCGTATTGGTCTGCCAATATATCATCTTTCATTCGCGCATTCGCCTACTTTCCGAGACTAAATTTCCACGTCTTCATTGCAGTTCGAAGGCACTCCATTCCATCCAACTAACGACAGGTATTGGTCGGTTATCGACAAGTATCAAGTCAGCCAGTTCTATACTGCGCCCACCGCCATACGCTCTCTCATGAAGTTCGGTGACGATCTCGTCAAAAAGCACGATCTCAGCACTCTCAAGGTGACAAACAGTCCGAGACCTTCGAATGCTTGTCATTTAATCGTGACAGTGGCTTTTACAATTTTTTTCGTTTGCGTCGCGTAGGTTTTAGGCTCGGTCGGCGAGCCGATAAACGCGGAGGCCTGGCTCTGGTTTTACAATCTTGTCGGTCATGGTAAATGCAGTATTGCCGATACGTTCTGGCAGACGGAGACTGGTGGCCATGTGATTACTCCTCTGCCTGGTGCCACCCCCATGAAGCCAGGCTCAGCCGTGAGTTCGCACTGCTTTTCCGATCAATCTTCCAATTTTGTTGCTCGTTAATTTTTCCTGCCGAAATGAAGAGTGGTTTCGTACTGATCGAAGATTCAAAGAAAAAAAAACTTTTTCACGAGCGAACGAAATAGCCAAGGACCCTTTGCTTATCCAGCAGCAGGCAAAAGAAAGAAAGAAAGAAAGAAAGAAAGAACGAAAGCAAAAAAGCGAATCCACTCTATCGGAAGTTTGCCCAGTAAGCCCCATCTCGACGCCAGCTTTTCCCCCAGCAATAACAACGTTTTTATCTGTCATCCGTCATCCATCACACCCGCGCACCTGCCATTTGCCTAGCAATCAAACCCACTCATCCGTCGACCATTCAACACTCAAGCAAACACACTCAACGCAAATGGGAATTCAACAGACATTCCCGTTCTTCGGAGTGCAGCCGGAGCTATTGGACGAGGACGGCCACGTGATCGAGGGCGAAGGCGAAGGGTACTTGGTGTTTCGCAGGCCGTGGCCCGGCATGATGCGCACTCTGTATGGCAATCACGAGCGCTTCCAGAGCACGTACTTCGACCGCTTCCACGGCTTCTACTGCACCGGCGACGGTGAGTGTGTGGCCCTTCGTTCAGCCGGCCAGCGGTTGACGAAACCTTTCGCCGGCATATTTGGCGCTTTGGCCGAGCTCCTCCTCGATCCTCAGCACTTGGTTGTACTTGGCGACTCGCTCGCCCCGACACGGCGCGCCGGCTTTTATCTGGCCGGCCGAGACGCCGACCGCAAAATCCGCGACGAAGGTCTCTTCCGTTTCGCACTGACCTGCGTGTGCCCGGTGCCTCAGTATTCGCGAGAACCCCAGGCGAGACCCGAGCAAACTTACCGGCGCTGATCAGACAGCCCCAACCGGCGTCCCTGGCCATTTTAACGCAGTCGAGCGCCTCGCTTATCGTGCCAGCCTGCCCGGGTCTGACGACCAAGCAATTGGCAGCTTGTTTCTCAATGGCCTCTTCCAATCTCTCGGCACTCGTCACCGTCAGCTCATCCGCGACTATTTGCACTGCAGGCTGCGCCGTGGTCAGAGCTGTCCAACTGTCCCAGTCTTCCCGATCGAATGGATCTTCGAGGGACACGATGCTCGGGAATTCGGTCAGCAGTTCGGCGTACTGCTCGCGAAACGCATCAGGCTCGAGATGATTCTCCGGGTCGGATTCACCGGTTTTGTACTCGAGGTCGTATTTGCCTTGTCAACGGAAAAGATAAATAAATCCGACGGCCGTAGAGCAGAGACGGTCGCGGCTTGTTGAATCGATAAGAGCGACGGGCGCGTATAACTGGCAATTATCTTCGATCGACAAGCGAGCTTCTACGTAGGCGTTCACGCGCGCGTCGTAAAGATAGCCGCGCGTTGAAATATGAATGCGCCGTTCGGATATCGCACATGGAAACGCAAGCGCCTGTCCTCGAGAGGCTCAGCCACGCTGATCGACGCGCCCATCCTTATAATTACCGTCCTGGCAGAACGTCGTAGCAGCGACATCCAAGCCGATCTTGACTTTGCCTTCGTAGCCGGCCTCCTTGATCGCCTCGTCTAGCGTCGCCAGTGCCTCTTTGTCGTCCTCCAACTGTGGCACGAAGCTACCCCTGTCGCCTACCCCGAGCGGAGGCTGCAACTCTTGCATTTCCGCGAGTTTCAACTCGAGCACGCGGTAGATCTCCGAACCCACGCGCAATGCTTCGGCGAAGCTGTTAGCGCCTGCGAAGACAGTGAAATTTATAGCTTCTTTTTCCTCTTGTCTCTTCCTCTTTTTCTTTAAAAGCAGCATTGAAGGAAAGAGCATTAGAATTTTTTAATAAAGAACCAAGTTTCGCGACTTGCGCAAAATTAAGGTCGCAGAGTTATGGCATACCAGTGGGCATTATCAAGAATTCTCGGTAAACGAGGGTATTCCCAGCAGAGTGACCGCCACTTATAAGGCTGAACTGCGGCACCGGCAAGCAGATATCCTGGTTTTCGCTCAACACCGCAATGTACCTTCGAAAAATTCAGCGGCGTTACTTCGCCGCCCCAACTTTTCGCTCGCCAATCAGCGCAAACCTGTAGAGTGGTAAGCCACGCTTGGCAGCGGCAGCTTTACAGCAAGCGACAGACACGCCGAGCATAGCATTCCTGCCGAGTTTCGACTTGTCGGGTGTGCCGTCGAGGCTCTGCAGCAGCAGATCGATTTCGCGCTGTTGGTTCACCTCGAGCTTCGACTTGAGCAGTTCCGGGGCGATCGTATTGTTGATCGAGTCCACGACTACGACATAGTCTTTGATCACTCACAATCGCGTTGCTCACTCGCGATCGAACGACAACATCACACTAGTCGACTTTTAACGAGCCAAGATACTCGAGTTCGCAGTGAAAATAACCCAGCCAACTTCTAATAATACCCCTTAGTTTGCAATCCAGCTTTCTCTCTCTCTCTCTCTCTCTCTCTCTCTCTCTCTCTCTCTCAACTATTTCTCCGCTAATTGGAAAATCGAACTGCCAATCGATTTGCAACTTTCTCGCGCGCGTACCTTTGGTAACGGCATGTCCAGCGTAAACCGCCTGGTCGCCGTCACGAATCTCTTTGGCCTCGTTCTCAACGAAGACAAGCGCACTCGGCACGCTGCTTCTCAGCAAACCGATGTCCGTTATCAAATCTACCTCCACTGTCGGCCGCCCACACGCGTCCAAAATCTGTCGAGCCTTCAATTTGCGGATGGGCATTGTTTGCCTTTACGCTGACTAATTTTTTTAACGATGAATCTAGGCCGAAAGATTGGAGTTGAGTTTGCTTGCGAATAAAAAGAAAGTTACGCAGGGGTTATGATTTTTAAAGTCTGAAGTGGGTTGAGATTCGCTTGTCGAGTCGAACGATAAGGCAAGAGTTATTAGAAGGGCAGCTTGCTCGAGGCGAGGCATAAATCTTGATCTTCGCGAAACAGACCGTTTCGAGGGTAGCGCTTGAGCGAATCAGCATGGCACGTAAATGCTCGCGAGAATCGATAATTGCGTCGGGACACGTTGATAGCAGAGCACGGCTAATTATATGCACATTGCACAATCATGTCGTTTTTTGTTGCATGTGCACGCAGGCGCACGACGAGACAAGGACGGCTACCTATGGGTAACCGGGCGTATCGACGACATGCTCAACGTATCCGGCCACTTGATGTCGACCGCGGAAGTGGAAAGCTGCCTGGCCGAGCACACCTCCGTTGCCGAAGCTGCTGTCGTCAGCAAGCCGCATCCGGTCAAAGGCCAGTGTCTCTACTGCTTCGTCACTCCCAACGAAGGCAAGATCTTCGACAAGAAGCTGCAGGACGAGCTCAAGAAGAAAGGTAATTCTGTTAGCTTTTTTTAGGTTTTTTTTTGGTGGGGAGAAGGGCGTTCGGGCTGTTTAATTAAACTTCATTTCGTGTCCAACAGTGCGCGAAAAGATCGGACCGTTCGCCCAACCAGATGTGATTCAACATGCGCCGGGACTGCCGAAAACACGATCGGGCAAGATTATGCGCCGAGTCCTGCGAAAGATTGCCATCGGCGATCGAAACGTCGGCGACGTGTCTACTTTGGCCGACGAAGGAGTCGTCGACTTGTTGTTCTCTCTAAGACCACAAACCGTTTAAGCGTACATATCTTTCGAAGAAAGAAAAACGACAAGCGAGTCTAACTATTTGTTGATTTTCTTTTCTTTTGCAACAGTGTCCTTTCAAATTTTGTTGTAACAAAAACTCGTAACTGTTTTCTTTATTTTTTATCGCTTTTTATCAGCGCGTCATGTTCCTTGATTTATATAGTATATGGGTCTTCCGATGCGGTGCGCCACCCTCTCGAGAAAAGGCTTCGAGTGGCTTTTTTTGCACGTACCTCAGCGCACACGTACATACACAAGATAGATTTAAAGTTAGCGAATGAAGCAAAAAGAAAAAAAACGCAAAAAAAAAACTTGAGAAAGATATATTTAGTTATGAAGAACGTCGCTTGTTCGATTTGCTGCACCCACGTACACTTGCCGAGCTTGATGAAGTGTAGATTACTATATTATATACTAATATAATTGTGAGAAAAACGAAGTGTGAGCATGAGAGGGGCATAACGATATCTAACTGTACTTTCTTTTATGTTTTTTTAGTCAATTTTTTTTAATGATAGAAGTGAGCTTTTGTTTGTTACATCGCTTATCGTTAAGGCAATTGTTGTTCATTTCCAAACGAAAAATGTTGTCTCGTACAAGAGTCTGAGTTCTTTTTAAGAAAAAACCTTGTATATTAAACTATTACTTTGTACCATCGTTTATATATTGAGAATTTTTATAAGGAGAAATTTCACGTATAAATTTCCGATGGCTCACTTCTGCAGAGAAAAAGAAAAAAAATCCCAAAAAACACAAGAGTCGATCCTACTGGTTAGGCATCATTGTTGGTGCATCTGGTAATGCACAATATAGCCTGTACGTAACGCACCACTTTTTTTCGTCAGAGTTGGAACTTATATATTTTTGTTGTCACACGTGGAAGCAGCCGACGAAAGCAATCATATATACAAATATACATATATTTTTCAGAAAGCGAAAGTTTGCACGCCTGTAATTTTTAGAATGAAACTACTACATTCGAGACTATATACACGAAAACAAAAAAAAACACGTAATTCATCGAACTGCTATTTTGAAAGTATATTATAAAGAAAGTGTAATTTATTGATTTTAAGTTTAATGGAACGTCGTTGACGAGTTTGGTTAAATGCATATTCTATTGAGCGAAAGTAAGTCTAGACTCGAAATTCTTTTTTAGGGTGAATTTTACTCGAGTCCAACCAGTAAACAATTGTATGCACTGGATATTTATATTCCGAGTAGAAATTAAAATACATATTATATATTTTAAGATATATTCGAGAAATTATGCTATACCTTATAAGTGTTATACAACGTAAAAGAAAAAGGATTTTTTTCGTTTCGGTGTGATAAGCAGCCTCGACAACAAAAAATAAACTTATTTACTACCTGATGATTGGAGCACAAAAACACAAGATTTTAAAAACACGATGAAAGTTATACGTACATAAAGAGTGAAGTCTATGGATTAAGTGTAGATGTGAAATTGGATGAAACGACAATGTTTTATTCCGAATAAAGAAAAACCACGTAGCTTCTACAGCCTTGAAGCTATGTTGCATACATATCATTCTGCGCGGAACAAACTAATTCTAGGTGTGATATAAATATATTATATTTAATGAAAAAAGTAAATAAAAATGCAGAAATTATATCTATTATATGAATGTATATATACGTTGAGACATACATTTATCGTTACATTAAAAAAACAGATGTGTTGAATGTTTTTTTAACCTTCCTAATTGGGATTTGGATTTCATCGTAAAAGATATAAAAAATTAAGTGAGCTTTACTTTATTTTCAAATTCCTCAATCAATTGTTATAGTTTAGTTCTACTTTGTCTAGTGATAGTGTAACTCTCGAAATATTTTAATTTGTTAAAGAAACATACGATTTTAAAGTTTCATCGTGGTTCTTGTGTTGTTTAGCTTTTTTTACATTTGAACTTCGCTTACATTCTAACCTGCCGTTTGCGTATAATTAGTCATTTAAAACGAATGTAAAATTGAAGGAAGAAAACTGAATTCTTGTGCGCGCTGTTCTAATTAGAAAAAAAACAGGCTACTCAAACCCAATAAAACATGCGTATCCATTGTGTCCGCATAAATTAGTTTTTCGCCGCAAGACACATGACTCTGAAAAAAATCTCGGAACTTTCTCCGAAAGCTCGTTAGCGTAGCAGAAGAGCAAATCCGTCAAAATTTCGCCAAGGCGGCTGTACGACGATTCTTCATACCTCTTGCATATCTTCTGAAGTTGTAGTTTCCTTCGCTTTATTTTTACAAATAGACCTGTAATTCAACAAGTTAAGCACGCTAATATTTATCGCGCATAAAAAATACATTTAAAGTGATTTTTTTGATAGAAACGCGTGTACATGCGCGTATTGAATTTTGTATTACTGCGACTGAAAAAAAAATGTTGATGCAACGCCTGACAAAAGGCACCCCGCGAAACCAAGCGAGCTTTATAATCGCCGCGCAGCGATGGGGTGGGGAGTCGATCAGCTGACCAGTCGGTTGGCGCGGCGGAGCAAACGGAGCAAGCAGTTGTCGGTTATCCGTGGACGCGAATATTACCACGGATCGAGCAGTGACCTTGGCGTAGTCAAGAGACAAGCTACACGTGGAAGATGTCCGAGCTCGACCAATATTACGAGGTCGTCCTCGAGCTTGTCAAGCGGGGTGGCAAAGTAAGTGTTTCAAGGTTATTTTTCCAAGACAACAGTTTTGCCGTTTGAACGCGTGTTTCTCTTTTTTATTTTTGTTAGTAGGTGGGGTCAGCAGAAATTTGTTTCGATAACGACTGGTAGCGAGGCTTTTTTACCTTGTATTTTTTTTTCTATCGACAATTCGGGTCACGCTGAGCTTTCTTATTACACAATCAATTTTGCTGCGATAGATTTTCATTGCAACTTTTCCTTGCGAATAAACACGAGCTTACATCTACTGCTATTTTTGTCGTAAACAAAGTTACATTTTGAATGTAAAAAGTGAGCGAAGCTAGATTGCTAACCGAAGGTCAATTGCTATAAAAAATCGAAGCTTGCAAGCTTTCGTTCGAAAACTATGCAAGATCACGTCATTGTTTTTGAAACTCCATTAAAGAAGCTTAGATTTGAGAAGATGGGGTGGAGAGTCCGAGCAACGCGTACGTAACAGCAAATTTTATCAAATTAACCATTAGAAAGAATCATTCGTGCCCGTGATGCAATCAAACAATCGCGCAATTGAACGTCCTCGTACCTCTGCTTGGGCGACAATCGACACATAGAAAAAAAAAAGGAATCATGCTCGTCTCCCGCAGTTTACGTAATGTACGTTCGCGCGCGCAAAACGGCCTCGCCAAACGAAAGTAGACCTGTCGGATTATGAGCGCAAGTTCTGTCTCTGGGCGGGCTATCGATTTTGCCGCGCCTGACGCGTGCGTGCCTCGTATACACACCTGCCGCGAAGAGGCAATGTCTTGTCGCTCGCTCGTATCTGTTGCCGTACACGCGGATACGGCTGGTATAGATTCTTTTATTTTCATTTCTTTTTCGACAAGCGTGTCGAGTGCTTTCGATCGAACTTATTGTTACCAAAGTTCTACTCAACGCTCCCTCGTCTAATCTCCGATCGACGATAACGCTGCTTCCAGTTTTACCTTGCGATTTGTCGTTGCGATTATATTATTACATATCCTAACGTGTATCCAGCAATACGTATCTAAGATATTTTATGTAACTTTGAGAAACAAGACAATGTCATTTCTTGTTCCACGTAGTTTTTGTAAATGTCGATTAGATTACATCCAGCGATTTATCACTTCTAATGCAGTTCAGTCACAGAAATAAGGCGAGCATTGTTTTCCAGCTTATCAGGGAAAACATTACGAGGCAAAAGACGATATCCGTGAAATCTTGCGACGTCGACCTCGTCACCGAGACGGACCAGATGGTCGAGAAACTGCTGATGGACGGCATTTCCGCCAAATTCCCCGATCACAAGTAAGTTTGAAGGCCGATTTCCTTCGCGAGGAGCGCGCCGCGCGCACCGAGGAACCCGCTACGCCTCTGGTGGTCGTTCCATTCGCGGATGTTACCAGTAATAGATTGCGCACGAGTGTCTATAAGGATATTAGATTTTACTTTCTTTCAATATAATATTTCTTGCGTAATAGTAAAAGCGTGATTAATACAAACAACAGATATGCATACAACTCGTATAATTGAATATTACACAAGTTGAATGCAATAATATATTATATCAGTTCAAATGATTGCCAGTCGTGGCGCTGAAGCTAGTCACGTATAAACATAGATTTTCGTCGTTGATGCAGTACGATAAACAAAACAATGTCAGACAATTATATATATATATAATTTCTTGGTACCGAGTAAGTAACTACACACTGAAAGTTAATATGTTAGTTTGGAACAACAGCTACGGGTGTGGATTTGACTTTATCGACAAAGGACGCGAAACATCTGTGCAAATGGTAAAAAAACAGACGGCGTTCGAATTGAAAGCGAAGTACTAAGTGAAAATCAGCCACACGACTGGCGGTGATTGTTCGGATCATACAGCTTGACACGAATTGAACATTAGTTAAAGACTGATCGTCGAAAAATCACGGTAATATTGAGAGAAGAAAAATCTCAGATGAGGCCCAAGCTCTTCGATCGCAAGTAGTATCGGGTCAAGTTGCCTAGTTCTCAGGAGGAGCAGCTAAACGCGTAACGCCCAAGAGCTGCCTTCGGGCAGCGCGTCGACGTCAACGGACCCATTAAAGATTCTAACGAACAGCAAGATTCTGCGCAGTCAGAGACTTCACCTTGGAGTTTATAACAAATAAATAATATAAATAATATATCTATAACAAACAATCAACGTTTATTAGCCATACCAGGGCAGGTTTTCACAACTCTATACACGAAGCGTGTTACTATAACGTGACTGCTACACTTATTAGACTTCGAACTTTGATGTTAAACAACCTCCATTATTTCGCGAATACTTACAACGAACGATAAACCGTAGATTTATTGGCGAGGAAACCTCATCGGAGTCTAATAAAAGAGTGGAACTGACAGATGCGCCAACATGGATAATCGACCCGGTGGACGGCACGATGAACTTCGTGCACAGCATGCCTCACACTTGTATATCCATCGGCTGCTACGTTAACAAGGTCTGCGAGATCGGCATCGTCTATAATCCGGTGATCGAGCAATTTTTCACTGCCCGACGTGGTCTCGGAGCTTACCTTAATGGAGCGCCTATTCGGGTTTCGGGAGAGACGAGTACGTATGACATTTTTTTTTTATCTTGGCCGGTATTACGATCAAGTAGAAGTAGGCAAATTTGGTCAGACGCCGACTCATCCATTCGACGCTTACTTTCTTACGATCAAAGACTATTAGCTTTTTAAAATAACCTTTGATCGTGCATTTTTTCAAATATCTCGGTACTTAAATATAATTTTTATCCTCTGTACAATAAATAAATGAATGAATCTCGCGCAAAGGAGAACGTATGATCTATCTACATCTGTCAAAACGGTATGCGAGGCAATAATAATAATAATAATAATAATAATCCCTTCCAGAATTGAATAAATCGCTAATGATGATGGAGACGGGAACGAGCAGAGATCCAGAAAAGATGAAGGTCGTCATGGATAACATCCAGACATTGACACCTCTAATCCACGGGTATGGCTATTCCCGATATTTTCGCAAGCTAGATTATTAATCACGTGTGTTTCACTAATTTTTCAGCTCACGGGCATTAGGCTCGTGCGCACTAAATATGTGCATGGTGGCGATGGGAGCTGCTGATGTAATGTGGGAGTTCGGTATCCACATCTGGGACGTTGCCGCTGCTGATCTCATTGTTCGAGAAGCTGGCGGAGTCTGCATTGATCCCGCTGGTAAAACGTCCACTTGGATTTGTCTCAATTGGATTTGTCAAGTTTGAATGCTCGGAAGAAATTATTTAACAGAGGGATGTGCTTTTTAGGCAATGACTTCGATCCTTTGAGTAGAAGAGTCCTGGTGGCCTCGTCGATGGAACTAGCTCAGCAGCTGGCAAAGCATCTAACTCAGTATTATCCTGACCGTGATTAAATCCCAATTTGAAGTCCAAAGGGCAGCATTTGAAAAAAAAAACACTAACATTCCAATTAAATGGTTCATCCGCTAATTCGGGATGAAATTTTGCTGTGAGCGCGTTTTGTTGGAAACACGCACGAAGAATTACACTTTTAGAGATCCTAAAAAGAGATTCTATTAATTTTTTTCTTGTGCCGAAATAAATTTAAGTGAATAAATAAATTATTATATTACATTTGAATCCAAGTTCAAATTCAAATTTATCCTATCTTTTTTTATTCTACGAAGATATAACGGTATAGCACACTATAATCCTCTATTATACTCGTAAACACATTTTTGTAAACACTTAGCACTTTTTGAAGAACGTCTAAATCAATATGTTTAGAAAAAACCTATTTTGATCTCTCTCTGAAGCTTAATATTAAGGTTTTGCGGTATAATCTTGAGTTGTAGATGTTTATTTGCATCTATTGCTCCCAGCGCGTAGAAATGTTCTTTTTTCTATTCTCGTGCCGCGTAGTCAGAGGGTTCGCAGCATTAGTCTAATACAAACTATATCGTTTATTGAGGACAGTCGTTCTTTCATTTGCAAATTCGAACATTGGAGCGCGGTAAGTCGCCAATGAAAAAACCTTCACTGCGAAACTCGAGGGGACGCGAAGGAAATGCGGAATATTTATACGAAGTGAGCAATGAAAAAACGAGCGCGCATTCATACGGACACTGCCGAATTGAGCGATCGAGGGACAACGAACGCACTTAGGAGGCCGAGGCGGATAACAGTCGGCGGTAAGCCTAGGTAGCCGAGAGGACACGACACTCGAGCATTGACATCGATAAGCCAACCCAACCCATCAAGAGATCCCGAACAACGTATAGCAGTCGTCGACTGAAGTGGCTGAATCGCGAGCTCAAACACAACCTGTCGAGGATAATTTTACGTAATATAACTTCACCGTCAGTCAGATAAATTGAAAACAATCGAGGCAATCTTGCAGTTTGTTTATAATTGCCAGTGTTATTGCACACAGAGTGATTAATGCTTCTTATGCGAGTTTTTTGTGAATAAAAGCTTACAACACTCCCAAACAATCACGTAAAACACTGCGAATCATGATCGAGCAATTTTTCCAATGCGTGATGTAACTAGTATAGATGTGCTGAATTGCGTTTGAAATTTTTCTGGAAAACTTAATAGTTCATTAACGAATTTTATTAAAACATCACGAGTTAAATTATTAATAAGATATCACAAATTAAAAACAAACGAAAATCTTATAACATATAAAATAACAAAAATTATATTACAAGAATTGATAGTTAAATTATACCATAAATGAGAAAATATCAATCAAAGCTTCGTGATTCTTAAGTATAAGCCACTTTTTGGCGCGATCAGAATGAGCCCAGTTTGTTTTTCATACTGCTTGCAAGTTTTTTCGCAAACTTCGAGTTTGAAATGTCGAATAACGGTTGCTAGACCCAACTTCGTTTGAATATGCGCGAATCGTTCACCTAGTAAATATAAAATTTCAAACCAGCGCTGTATGTATCTTTTTTTTAAGAATGCAGAGTAAATGTTTTCAAAGTGCTAAGATATAGCTTACCTATGCAAATCCTTGGTCCATCTCCAAAAGGCAAATAAGTCATGTGTGGTCTCGATTCAACGGCATCTTCTTCAAATCTCTCTGGGTCGAACTTGTTGGGATCGGGATAAATGTTTGGATCGTAGTGTATAGCATAGACAGGAACGAATATCTTCGTGCCTTTGGTAATCGAAATATTGCTGTCGGCAAATATGTGATCGCTCACTGCTTCTCTTTGTAACATACCCACTGGTGGATATTTACGAAGGGTTTCTAAAATTCAACTAAATAGTCATCTGATTCGAGCTCACGTTGTAGCCAAATAAAAAAAAAAACATTTTTTGATTACCTCGGAACACTTTATCGAGATATTTCATATTTTTGATGACGTCGTAACTCAATTTTCCATTGTTCTCTTGAAACGCAACTTTAACTTCCTGGCGTAAATTATCTTGAATATCGGGATTCAAGGCCAATTCGTACATGGCGTTGCTGATTGTTGTTGACGACGTTTCGAATCCAGCCAAAAAGAAAACGAACGCTTGGGCGGTTAATATTACATCGGAAATTTCTGTAATGCATAATTCTTTTGTGCTGCATGAGCAAATAAAAAGAAAAAGTTAACGTGATTCCCGAACCCTCTTCGCCAACTTGCTCAGGATGGTCGCGTATGTCCATCAGAAGATCGATGAAATCATGTCGTCGGATGTTATTTTTCTTTCTATATTCCATTGTGGATGTGACAGTATTAATGAAAAATATGTCGGTATGTTCATCTTGTAAAAACGATTTGAATGGAACTACGGCCCAGTGTGGTAAAAATCTGCTCAGAAGCTTCAACCTAGTGAACCAACTGTCGGCGAAAATGCGTCGACCAATTTTTCGAAACTCGCTATCCTCGTCCGCCAACGCATTCATGTTCAAGCCAAAAACGCATACTCCGATTACGTCAGTCGTAAATTTAGCAGTAAGCTCGCGGCATTCAATTGGCTCGTTCTTAGACGCTGTACGAAACACATCGTAACAATTCACATTTCGTTTTACCAACAAGCTGAAACTTACGGATATTTACCTAGATTCTCGAGATAGTCGGCAAAGTGGTCGGCGCATTCGTTGACCAAATAGAACATTTCCTTTAATTTACCGGAGGTGAACGTGGGCGCAAGCTTCCTGCGCATCGGCTTCCATCGTTCGTATTCCAAGAATAACAGATGCTGCGCGAGCGGCTCGATGTCAACGTGGATTTTGACACCGCGATCCGGGAACGTCACGAAGCTCTTGACGAGTGCGTCTTTAATCATGTCAAGATCTTTGATCAACAGCGCTGGCTCGGTGCCTGCAAACAGACCGACTGCCGGCTCATCCGGATACGAATCGTAGACTGACTTTGTGTAATCGGCAATGTGCACTTTGCTTAGGCGCACATCCTTCATCGTCCCGAACAACGCGACGGGCTCCGGTCCCGGAACTCGCCGTTTCTTCCAATAGTCATAGTTCCTCGTTACGTAGTAGCGAACGGCCAATAATAAGGCAACCAGGCCTATCAACACTTCGATCGACGGCATCTTCGTGAAACGTGGCGACGACCGCCTCGGTCGACGATTAAGCGAACACTAACTAATTCCATTGTGCGCGCTCTCAGCCTGACCACACGGCTATATTAATGACGCTAGATCGCCTTGGATCGTGACAATTAGCATTAGCGTCGGCGCGCTTGGAGCGAGCGCGATCACCGTCACTTTTGTCGGAATAGCATCTGTCACGCTCACCGGCACATATGTCATCGCGTTATATGTTAAGCTTATTAGTATGAGCTGATATTGTAATCCCATTCGCTTCTGTGAGAGGAAGGGAAGGATGTTTCGACTTTTTTTATGACGACTATACCTACAAAGGCGTGAAAGGCCTAGACCTAGGATCTCAGGACCCCGACTAATCTATAGATGAATCATTTTTGTTGAAAAATATAAAATGTTTAAAAAGCATATTTTAGAAAACACTGATTACAAACTAAAAATAATTTGATTCTACGAAAAATGTATGAAGGTGCCATGTGACGAAAGATACGTTAGATATCCCCTTAGCACTTTAAGGTATACGTAGTAAGTAGGAAGAATTACTCGTGAAATCCTTCGGATGACATTTTTATGTACATTACGGCTCATCGATCTAGTAGCTTTCTTTGCAACGCGTATTCTTATTAAAATATTTTTAAGCCGAATCTGCTGCCTCCCTTTGTACGAGCTAGCATGGAGTTTTAATTGCAAAATAAATCTAACGTCCGATCGCAGGAAAGCAAATGCTGTGAACTTTCGGAATTTATTCGAATCCGAATGAAACAGTGAAAGAGAAACTGCTTTGCAGCTGCGCGCCCTTTCAATGAAAACAGGCAAATTTGGTCAAACGCGCGAGGTTTTCGTTTCGCAAGTTATTTATCGCAACGACACGTTAGAAGGAAACTTTTCAATTCCAAAGACTTACGAACACTGCGCGCTCAACTCGAACGCTTTATCTTTATTGCAGAAGAGCATTAGGTTTTGTTGATACAGGCAGTCGCTTCTTTGTGTATAACCAGCCTCTTCTCGAAAACTCTCGAGACCGCCTGCTGAGAACAGACATTTGCGGGGCCCTGAGCCGCGGGAGCTCTCACGCAGCTGGATACTTCATTGTAGCCGGTTGACGATGCGCTCGCGAAGCTCAGTCGCGCTCTTTCGTAGCAAGCTTCGGCTGCTCCAGTGCCTTTCGCATTCACCTCGCTCTGCACGTGCCAACGCGTTTCTTAATTGCGTGAACTTTGGTCTTGCGATTGGAATATAGAAAACGGTTTAAGATCTTACTCGAATCTGAGCCAGAGCTGGGTTGACAATACTGTTGATTTGTTGCCAATAGTTAATCTTGGTGTCACTTCTCCAATCGCGGGCAGCTTCAATCTACAAAGCGTCGAACGTTCGATCGGATTACGACTCCACGAGATATTCTTTTATTTGCGTGAGAAGTAATTTTTTTAATGACAAACTTAAAAATACTAAATTTACATTATACAACAATTTTTACATATCACAAAGAAAAGATATAAAACATGAGGTAAATGAGTTCTAGATTTTTCGATGGCGGGATCGTGCAAACATTTCATAATTTCAAATAACATTTTATTGCATTATTAAATTCTACTTGGTTTTATGATTCGGTGAATATGTGAATTAATTAGAATAGCAAAAGCTCAACATTAAATAAATGCAAATGCCTTGAACTTACTTCGAACAAACAAACGGTGAATAAAAAGGCGAGTGCGTAAAGTTTCATTTTAACTCGAGTGATTTTGGGATGTAGTCACGACAACGTTACTTCTAATAGCGAAGAAGACACTGTCGCACAGCTATTTATCAGAGCTTTCTTATCATTATAATGTTTACGTTTGAGGGGAATACCTACCTCCAATTAAATATCTTTAAACTCGTAAGACGCGATAATTAGCACGGTTATTTTTATCTTCTGTACAATCAAAAGATTAAGAACGTTTACCCAAGAGATAATGAAACGCATTTTCCCTGTGAATAATAAAAAACATAAAAAATAACTTTTACACTCAAATCGATATTAGCTATAAAGCTAAGTTTAATTATACATCACGATTCCTTAATTTTTTCTTCGTCGTCATTGCAATTGTTGGCCGCTAGTAATCATGTGTATTTGCTGACGTTGAACAACGAACGAGTTCTGTATGCTCTTCATCCTTTTAAGCAAATTAGAAATTACAATACTGGAGTTCCAATCAATTATGCAGTTAATAAACGTTTGCGAATAGATATTTTGTTCACTTGAGACAAGAAATATTTTATCAATTATTGGTACTCAAACATTTTTCAATTATTTGCACGAAAACATCTAATGAATAACTACTTTTTATTCCTTTTTTAATAACAGCAAGTTTAATGATACCCTTAATATTTCAATTTTAACCACCTTTTCCAAAGAAATCTGCTTCGTCCGTGGCAGATATTAATTCAGTTTTATTCTAGTTTATTTTAGTTCTTTAAGCTGCATTATTTAATTAAAATATTTCGACGATTTAATCTCATTATTTTTTGTAACTCTGACAATAGAACGTTCAAAGATTTTTGAAAAATGTATAGTGCGTGATAATCAATTGATTTATTTTTCAGCAGCAATTGATTTAAGAAAATATTTATTTTTATTCCATTCAAATAACAGAATTAAAGATAGGAAATCAGGTTTAGAAGGTGAGAAAAGTATGCATTTTGTAGTATGTCTTGAAAAAGTCTTCGTTTATTTATGGAAAAAAAAATTACAGTTTACCTTTCGTCCACTCGCTTCAACCCAAATGACAATAAAAAGTTTTACAAAAAAAAAAAGACTTTAACTCGAGTTTCATTAGCTGAATATATGAAACGTACTAATTTAAAAGTAAGCCTATCGATCGACGCCTGAAAAAGACGATTCCTTAATGCAATTATCAAGAAGTTCGGTGTAGCTGTAATTATTCAAGACACCTTACCTGTTCTCCGCAATATACTTACGAAATATGTATTTTGGCGAACATTTGACTTTTTTTGCCGATTGACAGTAGTGTCATTTAAATTTGAATCGATTCCTGTCATCTCTCATGGCATTTCTTTCTCTTTCTCTCTCTCTCTCTCTCTTTCTCTCATTGTGCCATTGTCTTCCCTCCGCTCAGGGAGGGCTACAAGTGAAATTACCAAATTGCTAATTAGAATATTAATTAACTTTTTTATTTTGTTTGTATTAATCTAAATTCACGGCTTCGTGATATTTATAAGATAATAGGAATTTCATGGGTGTTTTTACATGCAAGAAAATAAAAAAAGTTATGATGAATTTTCACTTGACGTTGATGGAAACAAAAATGGAAATAATAACCAGATAGTTTTTGTTTGTTATGTGATTGAGTAAAGGTAATTTAACAAATAACAAGTACTGATAAAATATCTCCCAAGGCAGTCCCCATGAATACCTTGCAACGGGAACAGCAATGGCCTCGCAAAAAAGGTCCGGTTGTGATTTAACCAATGATTCATAGTCGTGATGACCGATCTGAAACATAAGCAGCTTCGTAGAATCTGATCGTTCAACAACAGCTGTATTTTTTGTTGATTCTTTACGACAACAAGGTATATTATTTTTTTAAGCCACTAAAAAATAAAATAGTTAAATTATAAACTCTCAAAAAAACAAATCAACCATTGTGCGTTGACAATTGGAACTTTATTACATGAAAATAAATTAATAGAGACAATCACTTGAGTAACTATTAGATTATTATAACTCAACACGGTAAAAGCATGGTAATACTTAAAAAAATTAAAGTTTATCACATGATAAAAAAAATAGACCATCGGATAAACTTGAAAAACAAGCGCGCAAGTTGATTCAGCTTGTTTGAAAAGGAAAAAAGAAAAAAAAGAAAGATTTCGTTGAAGAAAAACCATGATTGATCGGCATCAAAAGTCGTGTGAAGTATACAGAAGAGTGAAGGCACTTTTGAGGCCGACGTGCGAAGTGGAACATCTTCTCTTTATTGCTTATAAATTAACACAAGATAACATAGGATGATCATTATATCATTATCTAATCGTGTATCTCTGTACTCGTGTTTATGTGTGCCTCTCTTTCATTTCTTTGATAGATATATATCATCTTTGCATATCTAAACGCAATTTCATTCACAATAATCGTCAGTACAATTTGAGAAGTTCTATTTATATATAGGTGTCTTTTTTGTTTTTAAGTCCCTCGCGTGCTAGGCGACCCAGTTCGAAATGTAACCAGACTTATTGAGCGTGTGTCTGCAATTAATTAACCGTTACTACATAATCTACACGTCGTTGGAATTTTATTAATTATAATATACAATTTTCTTCGTTTTTTCTATATTTTCGTCAAATAACTATAGTGAAAATTTATTCGCAGACACGTTTATACCACTGATATATAAAGGTGCTCACGCAAGGGCAGCTCTGCGAATTTCTTTAAAAATGTTACTCAAATAAAAGGACAAAAGAAAAAAAAAAGAAAAAAAGAAAAGTCAGTACCCTTTACCCTTACGCGCGTCTATGACAATGGTTTCTCTCTTAGGTGAAAACAAACGAGAGAAAACTGGGGGTAGGAAACGGCGACGGCGCAGCGAGATAAAAATGTACAAACTCGGTGGTTTTCTCGATATATATGCAACGTATATGTATATATACACGTTCAATTATCCGTCGTTGCCCAGCTGCGCGCTGGTGGGTTACCTAGATCTTCTCTTGTATGAAGGGATGAGCCAATGCATGGTTCACCGTTATCCTCTTGCCAGCGTCCAACATAAGCGTACGCTCTAGTAAGTCCTTCAGCTGGCCGACTTTGCGCGCCTGCTCTGGTGGCAATGTGTTGCCTCCCAGTTCCACTGCGAGGTCGCGTGTAGCTGGCAATGTTGACATTGATACAATTTTTTCCTGTAGATTGAATTTGAACTTTAATTTTGAAAAGTAAGTGTTTACATAGTTGTAGACTAATAGTTCGTGAATAAGCAGATAAAATATAGTAATTGAAAAATAATCTTACAAATGAATAAAATATATTTCAAGATTTGCGAAACTTACCCTCTCAGTAACTCTATCGACCTCGTGATACAAAAAATTGCAGTTAGAATCGAAGTGTTGATCTTTGAATTGTCCCTTTCTGATGAGTTTATTTGGCATCTTGCCTTTCAAGTCCATAAAGAACTTCAGCATTTGATTGTTTGTTTTCCCAGAAAACATAATTTTACCAGTGTAAAGTTCGTAAATTGTGCAACCAACAGACCACATGTCAATGCCAAAATCATAAGGTATACCGAGAACTAAAAAGGCAAACGATTAATTGTCATTCTAATTTAAAAAACATTGCATCAAGTTTTTTTTTATATTTACTACCATGTTTACAAATAAATCTTCATAAGTACTGTGATTTAGATGGTATATGCATTCAAGTTGTATGAACACTGAGCATCTTTAAAAAAAAGTTTCATATCCTCGAAAATTCATACTTCATACTAAAAATTACTGAATATTCTACTGACTGTAAAAAGTAGGAATAATTTGAAAACAATACTTACTGACTTCAGGTGCTCGATAGAATCTCGATACTAGGTATGGAGTGATCTCATTCTCATGAGCGTAGGATGCAGAACCGAAATCACAAAGTTTCAATACTAATTTGCTCTCACTGACTAGAATATTGTCTGGTTTTATATCGGCGTGTAAAATATTTGTCTTCTTGAGTAGCTTCAATGCTAAAAACAATTGTTGCGTGTATGATCTAACGGCTTTGACATGTAAGCCTACATCCTTTCCATACTTTTTTAATACCTGAATAAAATAAATTTATAAATTATAATGCAATATTTTGCGTTTCATTACATAAATATACAATGGTAATATTTACCTCTCTCAAATTCATGGCTAAAGATTCAAACACCATACACAAGTGATTTCTGTGAAAGAAATGTCTGAACAATCGTAAACAATGAAATCTATCTTCTGGATCTTGATCATTGAGCTTTCTAAGGACCTCCAACTCTTTAAGCCCAGTTCTATGCCTGTAAATGAATTTCATGTTCAGAAACATACATCTTCGGCTAAATAATGAAGAACAAAATGTTTAACAACTCACATAATTTCATTATTTCTAATAATTTTAACAGCAACCTCCATATTGCCTCTAGCACTGTCTCTTGCCCTAACAACATTACTGAAAACACCTTGGCCGGTATAACCATATACAGTATATCGTGAATCTAAAGTCTCACCAACACGAACTCTGTAATAACCTTCAGCATCATCCCAATTATCCGTCAAACTTGGATTGTCTGGTCCACCTATACGTTTGCCACCATCAACTGTAGGGCTCTATAATACAATAAAAAATATTAATAATTAAACGACTGAATATTAAAAAAAACTACTAAAACTCACATTGAAATTATCATGGTCGGCTTCGGCAAACATATCCCACTTTTCGCCAGATTTCAATTTTATATTTTGTTTCTCATCCTTCTTTTCATTAACTTTAATATCCTCTTTCTCTTCTTTAGATTTTCTTCTTCTCTCGGACAGAGGTGGTGTATGACTTTCCGACGCGGAATCATCATTCTGATTATCTCTCGATGTACTCGATTGCGCTTCAGAAAGTGGCGACCTCGTCACATTCATATCAGATGAGAAGTTTGAGTCCTCATTTGGTGCACCAAGTCTCTGCAATAAAAAAGAAAAATACGCAAGTAAGAACGATATTGACGCACATACAAATACACAAATCTTACTTTTAGTAATTCTTCTCGTTGCTTCCTACGACGTTCGATAATGGCCTCCTCGTCTTCGTCCTCCTCGATGTCAATGTCCTTGATATCTTCTTCGCTCGAACTGTCGGACCGTTCAATTTTCAAACCTTCGGATAGCGAATCTTTGAATTTGTCATTCCTTTCACGTTTGCCATTCTTCTCACGATCCTTGTCGTGATCTCTACCGTATCTGTCTCGATCTCTATCGCGACCACCGGCAATACCACCACCACCAGCACCGCGATCTCTCGATCGCGATCGTGATCTTCGGAAACGATCCCTTCCTCGACTTCGCGACCTTCTTCGCTCGAGATTTCTTCGTGAATCTAATCGATCTCGGCTCCTGTCACGTGGTCGGTCGCGGCTATCTCGGCTTCGGTGTTCATGGTTCAAATGTCGATCACGACTACTGTCACGACGTTCTCTAGGACGAGTTTCTTGCGTCTTCGAGTCGTGCTGACGAATACTACTGCTACGTCTGCTCTTCTCGGCTTCGCGCCTTCGCTCTTCTTCTCGACTAATAAGACATTTTATCAGTAAGCAACCAATTTTACAAGTATTTTATGTTCTAACCTACCTCTTTTCAAGTTCTCTCCTTCGCTGTTCTTCCTTCTTCAAAGCATCCCTTCGCTTCTCCTCCTCGAGTTTTTTCCTAGCAGCTTCCTCCTTTCTGGCATCATCTTTTGCTTTTTCAGCAACTTTCTTAGCGTGTCTTTCGTGTTCTCTCCTCGCTTCGTCTTTAATCCTCTGTTTTTCTGCTTCACGTTTCTTGTCCAATTCTCGACGTCTTTCAGACTCATCTCGTCTTCTTTCTAATTCATCTCGTCGTCTTTCGGACTCTTCTCGTCTTCTTTCCAACTCTTCTCGACTTCTTCTTTCACTTCTACTCATGTCAACGACAACACGTCGATCGGTCTTAATAACTTTTCTTCGTTCTCTACTCGTTGAACCACTTCGACGACGTTTCTTTAATGGCTGGGATTCATCTCCACTATCCTCCACAAGTATCACATCTGGTAATGATGACCTTTTTACCACTCTTCTGCAAACTATATTCTTCTCAGAGTCATCTGATAAATATTGTACTAAACGTGCTTGTAGCCGTTCCTGCCAATTAAACATGATTATTAAAATAACGACATATGATTTAATAATACAAGAGTATATATCGGTGTAATTTTCACCTTCTGTTTCATTAATTCCTCCAGGTCCATCTCATCATCCTCTACGATATGACAATCCACATCGTCGGAATCTAAGTCTACTAACTTTTCTTCTTCGCTGTCTTCAGTCTCTCCGATTTCCATTGCCGAGTTATTGATTTTACCATTATTCTCCTTGTTAACAATTTGGGTAACAATTTTATCAATAACAGCTCCATTTCCATTCTCCACTGCCATTCTCCTTTTGGACTTTTTGTGTTTTTTGTGCTTCTTTTTGCTATGAACCCAATAGACACGCAACACTTAAAAATAGCAATCACACTTATACCCTAACCTATGTAAGACATGACATACCTTTCTTTATCATCCTTATCTCCCAACTTATCCTTTTTGTGCTTGTGATGTTTGTGTTTTCTCTTCTTCTTTTTACTGATTTTTTTCTCCTCCTCGACGGGACTATCGGTGTCTGTAATTTCCCCAGGATCTTTTTTATCATCCACATATTCAACATCTGAACTCCTGCAAAATAAATATTAAGTTCAATCCACATATGTCAAGGTTATAATCTCACGTAGTAAACAAACGAATCACTTGTCTTATCGAGACACGTAAAGAAAAAAGCAGTGAACAAACATTTTTTAACAAGATGCCCCTCGCGTGCCTGTGCGCGTGTGTCTTGGCAACGGAGTACACAAATATTTAAGCAAGCAATCCACGTATATGAAAAAACGTTTAGTGCACTCGTGTATAGAAGGAACATACACCAACCACCATTAGCTAGCAAGGTTGGCGTATTGAAAGAAAAGAGATCGTATAAAACCGTCTATAAAGGTAACTATCATTTATCGATAACTGATGGTATTTCTCGTACTTACCCCATAATTGTCCAAGCAGTTTAAGGGCCAACGTTAGCAGCGTTTACTTATGGTCGTCCCGTGTATAAGTCGTGGTGCAATGACGCGAGCCATTCAGAGATTACGCCGACGCAGTACAGACCAGGGGACTGTACGGACTGCGGACTGTGGAGCTCGCTGCGCCGACCACGGCGCAGCGGCGCCACTGTCGTGTGTTCGCAAAGTATCCTGCTTCGTTTTCGAAATACTTGATAATCTAGATTTTTGTTTAAATATAATTATTTCATTGAATTTTCAAAAACATAATATTTTCTTCGCGTAATAGCTATTTAAAAATAAATCTGATTGTTATTGAATAACGACTGATTAATTGTGCTTTAGTTGATATTCATTGCTTACCACTCCAATTATATTATATTAATTTTTAGAACAAATTGATTTTAAATCTTTTTTGAAATTCGATAAATGTGTAAAAAAAAGCTCGTCTTGAAATCTACCTTCGTAATGACATTGTTAATACACTGTATAAATAATCATAAAACAAACAAAAATAATCGCGACTGGTATTTATCAACTCGACAAACATCATAGTTGACGAATCTCCAATAAAAGAAATAAAAAAAAAGCAGGAAAGAAGCAAAGAAATAAGTGTCCGCTGCTACAAATCAGCGGGAAAATTTCGCTGTGAAAAAAAGATTACGCAAAAGTGTCATCATCATTGCAATTGCCAATCAGTTCGATAAAGGAAAAAAAGCAAAGAAAAGGCCTGGCGCGGCAGAGCGCGCTTATATGTTATTTTAGCGCCTCGCAAAAAAAAAAAAAAAAAAAAGTGAAAAAGAGTCTCGCACAGCCACGCGCGCGCCCCGCTAGTAGTGTTCTCGTGGTCGCGCGGTGGCCGACTCCCCGCTCCGTCGTCGCGCGATGGGTTTCGTCGGCACGCGCGCGTGGTGCGGCAAACCGAAGTGAACGCTCGCGCGAGAGGCTTGACTCGCGTCCGAAGCGGCGATCTGCATTTTCCGCGGGAGGAAAAACTGGATCGGGAAGGGACCGAGCGAGCGACGGAACGAAGCAGAAATCCGCACAAAAGCATGGCTTGTCCCCTGGGAAACGGATCGTAAGTAATTGTTGCGACGACTTGCGATATTTACAAACGTACTGTTAATTCGCGCTGATTAAAGACCCGTTCTTTTCATTATCTCCCCGCTCTTCTACTTTGTTGTTCGTTCGCGCAATCAATTTCTCGTTTGTTTCCAATTAGCGCTGTCGACGTTCTTCCCGTAAAACTTGCTTCCAAGTGGAAACGAAAAGTCGTGATTTTTCGTCCCTGTCCGTGATGAGAAAGGACGAATGCGCACGATACGTCGTTCGACGCGACGATAGCTTTCGCAACGCCACGCGTGTTTTCAGCTCCGGTTTCACCCGTAAGATCGCTGCGTTGTTGTTGCTGTTTTTTTCTCTTATTTTTTGGCTTGCAAAGCTCGCGTGCTATCGGTCATGCGAGTATCGCTAAGAGAGAGAGAGATAACGCCCGCAGGACCGACTCAAGTGAAACTGGCGCGTGTCTGAAGGAGAGACCAGGATTGCTGTACAGCGAGTACCTTCGCCTCGACAAAATTCTGTCGGCTCAGAGGCTGCTGAGCAGCGAGTACGACAAGACCGTGCACGACGAACACCTGTTCATCATCACGCACCAAGGTAACGGGGAGCCATCCACGATCGTCCGGCAAAAGCAATTGCAGCCTCGTTCTTTTGCAGCTTACGAATTGTGGTTCAAGCAGATCATATACGAGCTGGACACGGTGCGCGCGTTGTTCAGCAATGACGAGCAGCCGCACGGTAACCACGCGCATCACGACTTCCACGATCATCGCTCGCACGACACCGAGGCGATCGACGAGTCCAAGACCCTCGAGATCCTCAAGCGCCTCAATCGCATCGTGCTGATACTGAAGGTACGGCCAGCGCGTCGAGTAAAGGGCAGTCTTATCGATCAGCGGGCTGTGCGCGCGGGTGAACAACCTCCTTTCGAAGCCGATTAACGCCCAGGGGGGAGTCCTAATTGAATTTCCCACCGCGGCCAGCAAGCGCGCGCTCGAGTTTTATCTATCGGCGCGCTGTTTATGCAACACCCTCGACGAGCGATAAGAAATCGCGATTCGCCGCATTATTTTTACGCTCTTTTATCCTCGACTCTTTCTCGCTGCTTTCGCGGCGTCCGATTCGTCGCACCGAGTCTTATGGGGCATCCGGCGGCTACGGTATTGCTTGTCAAAACGAAATCAGCGCTGCCGATTGCTACGCGCCCGATCGATGAAAGTGAAAAAGAAAAGAAAAGCTGGAACCCCCAGAACGTCGGCTTGCTACGTTGAGCTGCCGAAAAGAGGTGCGCGCGGCCCCGTCGACTCGATCTTCGGTAAGCGACCGCAAGTGAGTCAAGGTACTTTTGACGGGCGAACAAACGGCAGCCGGTAAGCCGATATCCGGCAATCGACACGCGACACCCTTTGCGCCTTTGCGTAACGCGAAAACGCCACTCGCGGAAAATCGATCGTCGCGCGCTCGGCGCGGTCTCGCTTTGATTATTTCATACCGCGAGACGCGACACTGATGAAATTTATCATCGGCGCTCGTGACGCAATTTGTCCGGGAGCCAATTTATCAGCTGGCTCGTATACGCGCTTCATTGCGCGCAACTCCTATCTACCCTCCAAATACGCTTATTCAATGTCAAATCAGCCTCATGATCAGCGTGGGAGCGCGTCGTCATATAGCTATGGCGCGCGTCTCTACGCGCACACCAACAGCGCTTCGGGCGCACGCGCAGCCGTATAAATGTAATACGACTCTTTCGCGCGCGCCACAATAAATGCTATATATTACGACATTCCGCCGCATTGCAATGAAATTATTCCGCAACGAAAGATCTAAAGGTTATCTAAAGATGCCGGTGCAGCGAGCAATTCAACGAGAAACGAATGTGTCGTGTAACGAGTACTCGTACAAAGTCGTCGGGAACGTTTCGTCGAGCCGTTCTCGAAAACGTCGCAGGGGGAGAACTAATGTGCTTTTCATAATAGCATATGCATTACTTGTAACTAGCGCGGGAAAGTAGATTCTTGTCTCGAAGCGAAAATCTCATTGACGAACGCGTTAGATGCAGGTCTTTTTTTTTCAAAACAACGCGTAAAAAGCACGAGTTTGTTCGCGCGCTTTTCGCCGAGCTTGCGACAAAGTCGTACTTTTCGAACAACGCGTTGAAAAAGTTATATCACTTTTATGCGCGGGAACGTATCTTTGCACGCTGTATTCAATAACGAAAACCAAAGTGATCGCAATTTTTTTTGTTTTTTCCACACTGTGCGTAAAGTAATGACTGTCCGCCCCCTTAGCAGAGAGCACAATCACCACTTTACGAGGGTGTGCGGAAACTGGTACGCTACGCTACAAGGTGTACAAGTAGGCAATCATGCACTATGTGAAAGCCGACCTCGCTTCGCTCGAGCGGCGACATCATGTGTGTATGTACTTTAGCTTACTGTACTATAACGTTCCACAACTTGTTAGCTTATTTAGCGTGATAACAGATATTTTCACGCATAAATTACGAGAAATATTGACTTTTAAAAATAGACACCACGAGGCTAGATAAGTAAATTATGCCTTGTCAGTTCGATAGACTGCGATCTTTAAAAAACGAATTTCTGATTTCAAGTATATTAAAATTGAAAAAAATAAGGAAGACAAAATAAAACAAATAGAAAATATGGGAAGAATATGGGAAGAATATTAGATTTTTAGGATAAAAATTTAAAAAAAAAACTGAAAAAAAAATGTTTCTTACCAAATTTCACATTAAATTACTACGTTAAATACGTTTTCACTTTATAACTGGTTAGTCTAGACTGAAATGTTACTGATAGTTAAAAATAGACTGGATAATTGACTACAAAAGAAACTTACTTTATACTAAAAAAAACTACATAACTAAAAAAAACTACATTTCAGCTTCTCGTCGACCAAGTATCGATCCTTGAGACGATGACTCCTTTGGATTTTATGGCATTCCGCGATTACCTGTGCCCAGCCTCGGGTTTCCAATCGCTTCAGTTTCGTCTGCTGGAGAACAAACTGGGCGTGAAGCAAGAGCACCGAGTGAAGTACAGCCAGAGCTACACGCGTGTATTCGGTCGCGATCCCGATGCCGTCGAGGAGATCAGACGCAGCGAGGAGGAGCCGAGTTTGAGCCACTTGGTGCAAAAGTGGCTTGCGCGCACTCCTGGATTGGAGGCGGACGATTTTGACTTCTGGAGCAAGTATCACAGAGCCGTGGACAAGATGCTGGGTCAACAGCAGGAGGAAGCAGAGGTAAAGCGTCACCCGGAGCGGAAAAACAAAACACCTTTACGCCTCGAGCCATATTTGTTTTCAGGCTCAGACAAAGGAGGAATTTCGCAAACACCTGCTGAGCAACGTAGCGGCCCGTCAAGCGGTGTTCGACTCGATATTTAACGAAAATCTGCATAACGCGCTGGTCTCGCGAGGCGAACGCCGTTTTTCGCACAGCGCGCTTCAAGGCGCAATCATGATAACGCTCTACAGGGACGAACCGCGGTTTAGTCAACCTCATCAGATACTCACTGCTCTCATGGACATTGATTCTCTCATTACAAAGTGGAGATGTAAGCTGATTGTTCGATGATTGCCGTCGTAGCTAGCAAATTAATTTTTCATTTGACTTTTATGGTAGATAATCATGTACTGATGGTTCAACGGATGATCGGCTCACAACAGCTTGGCACCGGTGGCTCTTCGGGTTACCAATACTTGAAAACTACTCTAAGGTATTTTGTTGAAATTTAACAATAAGAAATATTCTCCAATCATAGTATCAGTATTATCCAAATAACATTTACATGCCCTTTTGTTTTGTAGCGATCGTTACAAAGTCTTTGTCGACCTGTTCAACCTTTCCACGTACTTGGTTCCCCGCCAACTGATCCCGCCGCTAACCAAACGCATGAAGATTAAGTTGTCGATAGCTTGGGGTTGCTGGGGTCTTAGTGAGGAAGTCGTTAATTTGGAAAACTCGTTATCCGAGTCACTGAACTCTTCGTCGGAAAAAAAGAAAAAAGAAAAGTATAAAAAAAGAAACGGAAGCGCCGACAATGGGGAATCGAACAATGCCGACTGGAGTGATGGATCTTATGACTTGATGGAATAGAATGCAAGATCTATTGTAGACTAATCAACTACCAATCAACATTTTGTGGGCAAATTTTATTAACAAGATTTGGTTGCAACATTACAAAGTTTATACTTTAACAAAAAAACGTTATAAAGTTTATATAAAATGTACAAAATTTTTTAGAATTGGCTGAATTCGTTTTACATCTAATTAAATCGAATCATTGTTTACAAATAATATATACAATTAAGTGTAAAACTTCAAGTTAAGTAAATACTCCAACTAAGCAATTGTTTCCGCTAACATACAAGAGTAAGTAACAAGTTCAATTCGTTTTGCGTAATAAGGATTTCAAATAGCCCTGTAAACGGCGTATAAATGTCAAATATCACAATTTCGCTGCTGTTTATAAATTTCATTGTTTTTAAAAATAGTTTTCAATCTAAACTAATACACGACGTCGAGCGAAGAAACTTGATTCGCTATTCCTGCAAATGACAAAATGTCCATTAAAAGATGATGAAATCTCAAAAGATTTTTCAATCGATGTACATACCACAAAGATTATTCCCAATGGCAATATACAAATAGCCTTTGTCACCAAACGATGGTCCCCAAGAATTTCTAACGATGTAATAAGGCGTTGCGGCAGTTTTGTCGTATCCAACAATTTGTACTGCGTGATTGAGACTCGTAAACGAGCCATCGCAATGGAACTGGATCACTCCGCCCAAATAATTTTGCCACGAAAGCGCATTTACGGCTGCCGCCACTGGACCCTTCGTTGCTAGCTGTTTTACTAACGCATCCTCCGCGCTAACGAAACTGAAATTATACAATACAACGCATTTAGATTATAAGATACCGATATGTGTTCGACATTGTTGGTATTTCACACGATAATTATTTGTTAATTTGTAAATGAATTGTTGTATTACTTTTGTTTATTTTTTTTCAATAAATAGATTGAAAAGTATTTTTTTTTATTACCTGTAACAACTTTTATGTTTTTATTACTAAGCTTGTTGATGTTAATTATAATTATATATGAAATTTTACTTTTTTAAACTTTACACAACAGATGTATATCTTATTCTTTTAGTTTCCAAGGCCAACCACTATTTCACCTTTAAATAATAATCAAGTAGTTGTCTTATATAATAAACTGGCATATAAAATAGTGTTGGACTAATATTCATTGCTACTGTGCTGTAACCACACAGTACACCCAAGATATATTTACAATTGTTTCTTTATTAAATACTCACTTATCACATGTAAAGTCTGATACACGAATGCCTTCTTGAGACTTTGGCGATATCCTGTTGGCAAAATAGATGTGAATTTTGTGTTAAAATAAAAATGGTTATTCAAATTGTCTGATGTAATTTACTTTGTCAATTTGCAAACATCAGTTTTTCTAGTTAGAGGATATTCTACTTCGGGTAGTAGTTTTGTTTTTGATAAAACAAGCCACTCTAGTAAACTACAAATATCTCCTCCTTCGCAACCAAAATTACTGTTTTTGGCACAATCAATCATCTGAAATATTCAACTTAATTTATATAAAAATATTCCAATGCAATTAAAAATGTATTATAATAATTACCTCTTGAACACTAAAAGCACGAAGTGTCTTATTAGATATGGCAAACATAGTTTCAGCAGTTTCTACTGCACTAAATGCCCAACAAGCCCCACAAGTGCCTTGGCTTTTAACTGCAGTAACAACTCCTTTTGTTCTCCAGTCAAATTTACTTGGTAATACTACTGGTGCTCTTTTTGATCGATCATGTGAATGAATATGATGATAATTGCACTTGTGGTGACGTTCACTTCTTGTGGAAAGATCTGGACGGAGGTGCAATGCAAGGAATTCTTCCTCTGTCATGTCTGAGAAATTGGTCAACCCATAGCGTGCACTGTGTTCTGAGCTTCTCAGTTTGTTCAAAGTTTCAATCCTTCTAAGAGATTGCTATAATACATTTAAAACTTTATAATATTATTCTGGTTCAATTATGATCAGTAAATAAAAGCCTCAAGATTATTTTGTTTTTAATGCTAAATAAATCATATTCAGAGACTGATTTGTCGTTAGTATTTGTTACTTTTCAATTATATAAATTATGACTCACTGTGAAGATATTTTAATTCAATCGCTTATAACCTTTGATAAATATGGAAGTCTTACTTTAAAACGTTGATATCTTCTTTCATATTCTTCCGGATTTGATTTGTATGATTTATTATAATCGGCGACGTAAGCTTCAAACAACTTTGCATCCTGAACTTCCGTGTCCGGCTCGTATCTGATTGGAATCGCCAAAAACAATAAACTCAATATGCCTATAGTCAACAAAATCGTTTTCCACTCCATCACGAAGATCTAATCATATTGTCCATAACTATTACTGATTCCTACTTTGGTATTTTTCACTCTGAAGTGGATTGGCTGAAATCACCTTAAGAGTACATTCAAACGTCTTATGCATTACAGCGAGAGTGAGAAAGAGAGAGAGAAGAAAAAAGCTTTGATCCGACCCATCAGAAGGACGCACAACATACACGATTAGATAAAGCCACTCAAGTGCAGGGGCGTCGATAAATGAATTAGAACCCCCATTAATTATATAGTAAGTAATTTACGATTCTGGTACAGTAAGTAATATAATTTACATTCAGTAATTTAATAGGGAAATTAAAAAAAATTAGCTATGGCGTGGATGTTGATTAAATAATTAAGAACTGTTTTTAGAGATTTTTTTTTAATTTTATTGTAAACTTATTAATCCATTGCAAGCTTATGCAACAGCAATGGGAGCTGGTGCTGGTAGGTCTTTATTTACTTTAACTTCCGACGCAGGCGTGGTGTAGATGAAATCTTCCTTTGGTTCCTGAACAATAACATTGTCAGGCAGTGGTTTTTTGGGTCCATTCTTGCCATTGGGATCCCATGGCAACATAATTTTGACTTTGATACCCAACACACCTTAATAGAAACATTACAATCAATGTCAATTAAAAATGAAAATACAAATTTTTTTAAAACAAGTGAATTTTTTTTAATTACCTTGTCTGAGAAGAACGTGACGCGTCGCCGTGTTGACGTAGTCATTTGTTGGCTCACCAGAGTGAATCATCAATCCATCAACAAACTTCATGGATTTGGCTCTCTGACCACGGAGCTTGCCACTAACAACAACTTCGCAACCCTTAGCACCAGATTCCATGATAAACCTAAGTACACCGTAGCAAGCTCTACAAAATAAAAATAAGAAATTAATTTCATGTAACATGTTGCATTTAAAGTAGTTATTTTTGAAAAGGATTTTTGTTAACTTATTAATATATTGAAGTTAAAATATTTATGTAAATAAAGTTCTTTTAATTAAAATTACCTTCGCACAGCCAATCCACAAATCAACTTATATCTGAGAGACTCAGCCTGTGCAATGGCACAAAGTCCTCTTGTGGCAACTTTCTCAGCGTACAATTCTACGCTATGGTCTTTAAAGTTGAACCTCTTTTGGACAACGGAGGTCAACTCCCTGATTCTCCTCCCCTTTTCACCTAATACATTTTGTGTATGAGTGGCCATGAGGATAATCTCTGTCTTCTGGGGAGTAACACGAATCTCCACACCAGAGTAACCATCTTCAGCTAACTCACGAGTCAAGAACTCATTAAGCTCAGCCTTGAAAACTCCATCTCCAACAAACTGTAAATATAAAAAATATTACATTGAGATAAATTTCTCTGGTTAGAAAGTCATTACAATAGCGGTTCAAAAAATATTGATGACAAATTACATTATTTACATAAACCTACAACAAACCCTGTAAATAAACTTTATCATTCAAAAACATCCACTCTTCACATTTGAGAAAAAGAAAGTGCAATTTTATTTAACTTCTTTTACATGTAGTTGTTCAAGTTCACCTCAAAAATAATTTCAACTATTAGTTACCTGAGGCTAATATTTCTATATAATATAATTGAGAACTAAATAAAAATTAAATAAATTTTACGAGATAAAAAGAAAACAATTTTTTACATAAATAAAAAACAATATTAAAAATTTCACAGTTAATTTAAATTGAAAAAAAATTAATTTGGAATAATAACATAATCGTTATTGATTAAAACTACATAGTAGAAAATTGAAACTTCAATTTTGAAAAGATGATTTCAATAAAATGACAAATACTATTGCTATAATAATACTATAATAAATGAAATAAAAACATTGGTTGGTTAACATATCGAACAAGGTTATGTACACTTCACTTTGTAAACACTAATAATACACTAACACTGTAAAAAGTTTAATGAAATTGAAAACTCTAGGTACACTTAAATTGCTTGAAATGATCAAAATTGAAAAATAATTTATAAAATTTTTCAAAATTGACGTTTATAGCAAGCATGAAAACCGTGTATTGTCAAGCGTCGAAGAATCCATTTAATCCGACAGTTTTTCAACTAGCCGACATTGTCAAAGCACGGAAATATTATTGGACAGAGTTTGAACCTTTCGGCAATTGACATATTTTTTCACTAAATTGTTGCAAATCTTATAAATATTAAACAAACCTTTCGCTTTTTCGATATTGTTGCGACAGACATGTTTGCAGCTGATGGCAGAAAGATCAGAAAGAAAAAGAGACCCAAAAATCACGTTCTACTGCTGTTTCAGGCTGGTCAAGCGAGCGTTTCCTAAGAGTAATACGTAATTCAAATATAAGCTTTTCTATTTAAATTTAATTCAACAACATCCTACATTTCAAACATTTTAATTATCATAATTAGTATTTACTAAAATCATTACCTAATTTATTTATAGTAGAAAATTTATTTAAAAAATTAGACTAGAATATATTTTTTTCAATTTAGATAAAATTACAATGTGAAAGTAAAACCTTAGAATGTGATAATCATAAAAATAAAGCTACGTATATATATCGATCTCGAAAGCACAATCGACTAAACAAACCAACGAAGATATAATATATATAAATTTACGAGCGCAAGAATGAAAAAATCTCACCGAGTTTCCATTTTGTTTTATTTAAACCTTTAGTCGTACACCGCTAAAAGTCCATTGAACGAGTATCGCTGAACCTAAGTTAATTCAAATAATCAAGAACCAAGCTTACCTAAAGATGTCCATAATAATTCATGACTTTAGTTATTTTAAAATAAAATATAAATAACATGTTTAATAGTAAAAAAGAATGCAACGAACGACTGAACGTGGTTATTCTAATCTGAACTTGGTCAGTAACGCTTATTTGGCAGATGTCCGACTTTCAAATGTTAATGAATTAACTTAATTAGATACACACATCAAATGATATTTAATTAAATCGAGTTAAAATTTTATTATTTTTCAATTATGTAGGAAAACTTTAATAAAGAATCATCTCATTTAGTTAAGTTATAACATTACGATTAAAAATAGTGTGTTGTATTATTAGTGAGAATTAAAATTCACGCTATAACAAAGAAATTGCTCAACCATTCTTTTATTTCATTCAATTTTTTTTATTTAATTAGTTTTATTTAATTCGAAAAAAATAACCGCAAATCATAACATACTGCCATAGATATATAAATACTTACATCAGATTGCTGTATATTCGCAAAACCTTGTAATGCATTACTATATTTTATTGATCAATCATAACATTGATAAAAGTGCTTCATTCTTAAGATTCTATGATTTTATTTCACAATTATTTATTATTTTATCTTATAAAAATCAAGAAACCGCAAAAATCGATACAAAGATATAATTATAGACTTCATATAGTTAGTGTAATTATTCGTTTTACAATGTGAGAACGGTAATAATTAAACGTAGACGATATTTATTTATACAGGTTAAAGTATCACGAAAGAAATCAATTTACAATGGAAATCATTTTTACACTTTGTCACAATACAAATTTACACAAATGCTTGATCAAGCTGCTATAAGATATTTTTGAATATTTAGACCATTTCATTAAAGTAGGCGAACACGTTTGGATAATATTAACACTGAAAAAATAATTAGACAATCTTATATTAAATATCTAGCTAGCACGAAAAAAACATCAAACGGAATATCTATAAACATTTTTTTATTTTCTTCTAATTATCGTAGAAAAACTCGCACTACATTTAAACTAATAGCTTTTAATTTGGACCATCATACCACAGTTAAGAAATGTTAAAATATGCCAAGTTATTGATTTTCTATTCACAACGTAATTTTTATTGCATGTACAACGTTATAGAATACCATTACTGTTACATCTTTAATTGTTATAATAAAAAAATTTTATCGCAATAATTCCTTGCACCTTATTGATTTTTTCATTTAATAATCCAATGTAAATATAATTAATAAACTTTTTTACTAAGTGTATTGCATGAGTGAAAAAAGAAATTCGTAAACAATGATAGACAAATGTATACATAAATAACCTTCATAAGGGTAATCCATCAATTATGTCATTATTCATTGATAATACAGAAAGTTTTAAAATCTTCATGACATTCAACGTCCCAAATGTATCAGTCACCGAAACTTATTTTTCCGTTAGAGTTTTTGATACCACGTTAATTGTAATTTATTCATATCACGAAATTACTGATGCATAGTCGTCATTCTGCGCATAATGTCAACGAGACTTCCAATGACTCTCCGCAAGAATTCAGGTACGCTCGGCTTCATGGCAATATTACTGAAACCATTTGTAATTTCGATGAACACATTGCGCGTGAATGGATTTCTCCTCGAGGCTAGACGTAATTGTAAGAACTGATAGTAGAGTACTGGCGTCAAAAAACTAGCTCTTCCACTGCGAATTAAATTTAATATCAACGGTTAAATCTTAATTTTTTTATAAATTACATGAATACCTACGTGAAAATAAGGATAAGACTCAGTGGCAAGACAAATATTTCACAAAATGCGCAGAGTCTCAAAATGTTTTGAGACTGAAATTCAACAAGTGAAATCAATAATCTAGCTCCCCACCAACTGTTTTGACCTAAACACTAGAAAAAAGGTATCTACTAAGTTATCTACTTTGTATTCTCTAATGCACAATACATAGGTAACACCAAATTCAGTTAGTTGCTCATATTTCAGAGCCAGATGACTTTCAGATTTGTCATCTAGTATAGAATTACATAAGAATGACAGGAGTCTATTACTAATTATACATGTGTACTTACATCAAGAAGCGTCAAAGAGTAGCTAGCAAAATGCAACAGAGCAAAAAGAAATACTGGAATTATCACCACTGCAAAAAAATAAAAAAATTTGATATTGCATCTCTTGAAAATTTTGAACTATCATCATGAAACAAAACTTACATGTAACTGGAGCTGCATACTGAAAAACAAATGAGTAGAATAAATAATGAAATGAATCCTCCAAGAATAATGTGATCATAAATTCTCTAGTAAAAGATATTCTTGGTATCCGTTGGTGTAAACGTAAAATATTTGTGGCCATACAACTAAGTAATACTTTATAGTAGGCATCATAGGGGTTTCTAAAAATATAATACATGAGCATTGATATCAATAATGGATCATAATATTAGTAATTCAAAAGAATAATCAGTTCAATCTTTACCCAAATATTGGAAGTAAATAAGCAAAGGTAAATAAAATTGTAACAAGCCTAATTGACCATTGTGCTACTTTAATTTTATCTTGGATAATCTGTTGCTTTAATGCTGGCCATCCCTTCTCTACAGTTGGAGCAGAACCCTCAGAACTTGTAGTATCTGCCATTTTCTAAATAAGAGAAAAAAGATGTTATGAATTTGCTTATAAAATGATAACATTAATTATAAAATAAATTATTTACTATTGAAAATAGATTACAGAAACAAGCTGATATGAAACCAATTCAACATTAAAATTTACATTATCATGTTAACACAATTAGTACCTTATTGTGGCAATTACTTTTCCTACAACTGATACTTGGCAATCAATTAACACCAATAGTGACTCTAATAGATCAATAAAAAAACATTTTCACTTAACTTTTTATGTATTGTCGAACCATATTTCTTTCAACATTGCAATCACAAACTTATATAAATGAAAGTTTTTACAGATTTTGGTTTTGGCTAACCTAATATATTATGCATAACTTTCTAAAAATGAAGTCTTTCATGAAGAAGGAAAATATCAATATTGAAGTCGTTTAACTGCAATGAAATCGAAAGTTAACTCTCAAAGCCACCTTACAAAATATTTACCTCAAAAATTCCCGAATTTTTTTTATTTATAAACGGTAAAGATAAACGTGGCTTATTCGAAAGTCTATACAGACCGTGAACGTTTTTAACGTATCTCGTTTAATAATCTAAAGTTTTACTACAATCATCGATAAAAACAATACATGAAACTAATTTATCACCACGGGAGTAGAATACTTACAGAAAATAATATTCACAGGATTATCGAGAAAATAATAATTATACGCTAGCCGCTTAGTCGCCAATAAACATTTACGTGCGTGTAACTTGGCCAGGTGGAAGTCTGATACTGTGAATACTGTAATAGTGTGATAAAGCGCTTTTATGACATCGACAAGTTTTTTCGACTCTCGATCATCGACAATCGACATCTAGTTTTTTTTTCGACGCCTCGATCAATTTTCGAGATATCGAACTTTACTTGAAAGTTGAAAACCATTTGCGAAATGTGGTCGGAAAATGTAAATGGTAAGTTTACACTTGCTAAAATATTTCCTGGCAACTTGATTACTTCACAAATATTATTAATTATTTCTTACTCTGTGCATGCAAAAATGACATCTGTCAATTCGTCCGCCCAATAGAAATACTATATACGTACAAAACAATTATCTAGGTTAAGTCTTGACATCATAAATGTGATTCTAAATTTCAAATATAAATAAGTAGGTATCTTCTACGCTTCAACTGAAGCATTGCAGAGAATTGCGTAATGCAGTTCTTTCGTAACTTATATTTCTTTTGTTAGTTTCGATAGGAATATGTACTGCGGAGTTGGCAAGGTTGCGTGACAGATAATTTCGCGGTAAATTCAAACCATCGGTTTACATTATGTTTCTCTTAAATAAATCTTGTTGAACTTCTCGTGATGTCAAACACCTTAAATGACAGCATTGGAGCTTCCTTTTTCAATAAAACTTCAATGTCTATAGTTATTTTATAATTGAAATAGGAGTATTACTTTTGAAAATGCCTACATAGAATTGTAATTATAATCTGTTAGGTATCGAAAATATTAATTTCCGTCGGATATTTAACGTGGAATTTCTCTTATAGCTTCATTAGTCGTGTGTCGTATGCGCTCGGATCTATATTGTGAATGATATTTTCGACAAAGAGAAAGTCGGCGCGCCATAGACTCTCCTCTTCGCGGCTGGCATTTACCGTTAGCTTTCCATTGCCTTTTAGCGCGTTGCATCTACTATATAAAACATACTTTGTGGCTCGTGCATCCGAAAGCTTGGCTATTTTCCTGGCAACATTTAGAAAGAAAAAGAAAAACGAGCTCGTTGACCGCTACACGTCACGGCCAATTCGAGACTTTGACGCCTCGTATTACCCGCAGTAGATTAAAAGCTAAAAACGACCGGGGTGCTCACGAAATAATATAATAAAGAAAACATGGAAAAATAGACACCTTGTAAACCGTACTCGCCAAGCGGATAACAAACGCTGTCGGAGAAACCTGTGCAATTCACGCATGCGTCCGTATAAGATGCACACGCGAAAAAATATAGGCAACCGTAGGTGTTTTTTTTTTCTCGCGTGTCACGCCTCGTAATTATCATGATTTGAAGCCTTTTTACTCGTAATTATAGTGTGGATTTCCATACAGAATTACTAAAAGTGTCCTTTCGCCAGTGTAATTATTCGAGAGACACGCATCTTTCTAGTTCATCGCACGAGACATACAGTAAAAGTTGTCGAGCTACTGCTTCAAACCTCATTGCGGTAATTTCTGTAAATATGTCGACTACTGTTCGGTATTATCAAACATACTTTTATAATTATAGAAAAAAATTATTGTAATAGACGGAAGAGCAAAGTCGTTTGTAACAATTGTTCTGTTGGAAGATTTTTTGAAAATTGAAATAGCGACACCGTATAGCTGAGTAATTAGGTTGGCACGACAGCGATAATTCTTGAAACTGTTTGCTATTTAGTTTGAGGTAATTACAACTTTAATGGATTAATATATATGTCCGACAATATTGCAAGGAAAATTATTTATGTATTCGGTTTACAAACGCTGTAATCAACAGTAGATGTTAACCTCTTTGTTATAACACAATATCTTATATGAAGGCATTGATTTTCCCTTATTTTTATTAAATTTAATCAAATATTTTTTCGCGTGTGTAATAAAAAGAAAGTACGTGTTTTATCGTCATGAAAGTTAATAGTCCAAAGTCCAAAGATTAGTTTACGCATGGTGGGCGAAAATATATCAGATATTAAAACAAACTTAATTCAATGTAACTTTTATTTTAAATACTAATAAAAATTTTTTTATTCCCTAAATAATTACTAAATGACGAAAATTTTTAGGTAAAAAATGAACTTTTCTTTTAAAAACTACTTATGACTCGATGTACATTTTCCATACGTATGAAAGAATTTAAAAAAAATCGGAAAGAATTTACTGAACCTATGCACCGAGTGATTAAACTACATAAGAATGTTCGCGTTGAGTCTGATTAACAAGTAGGGTTTCATAAGAATGATGTCTGATCGTTTACCCCGATTGTCTTATCAACTGCTGCTCTAGGTCTTTCGCGTGTTCATCGTTTTCATCGAATAAATTAATTTTTTTACGTAGCCTCTCCCGGATAGGTAATTACGTAGGATTGTAATGCCAATTATCTTCGTTGCACATGCTCATCAGTAGAAAAAGATAATTGCATCAAAATCATCCCGTAAATATCGAATATCCTTCGAAAAAGAAAGAACACATCCGCAATTAAGCATCCATTCGCGTAGCAGTCAATAAAACCTCATCACATCAGCCTCCAGATGGGAACGATGGGAGCAGAGCGCTGTGGCTGGTTTCAGTCGCGCGGCGACTTTCGAATGCCGCGGAGCTACTCGAATGCCTTTGCCGTGAGGAGAAGCGTTCCAGCGATGCTCCTGCAAATCGCCCTCGGCTCCACCATCATAGGTATCGTCGGGCTCACCCTCGTCAAGAGCAAAGCAGCGAAATGGGCCTTCAATTGGTTCTTCATGCAGATCAAGTACAACGCGGTGGCTTTGCGGGGCATCGCCGACGACTATCTGCAAGCCAGGAATAACAAGACAGGTTGGTGAAATTATTCCGCGAGCGCCGTCCTGTCCTGAAGGCGCACGACGCCAATCCTCATCCGTCGAGTCGCGCGTCCTACCGGCAACGTTTTCCGCGTTGGCGTCGCATTGGCGCGTCGGGAAAGGCCGTCTGTCCTTCTCACTTTTCGGGAAAAGTTATTTGGCCGCTTATCGTTATGAGCGCGACGCGTCTCTCGGGCAACTCTCAGTTTTCAACGTGGACAGAGATCGAGCCAGCTTCTTTCGGTCCGACGAGAGCTGAGCTCGCGAGGCAGAGAAGAAACCGTTACCCTGCGAATGGATTTTGAGCGAGAAGCTGCGCTTTCGTGTAAGCAGTTTTCAAGCTTAAAATCGAGCCGAACTTAACGGTTTCTTTCTTCCTATCTCGAAATACGGGAGACTGGAGCCGATGGAGTTACGCCGAGCGAACGATCGTTTGATTTCTGTCAAATCAGAAAGTCGTTCGTTAGGCTGCTCAAAAGCATAAAAACACACGACAAAAGAAAATCGTATCGTCGTTTCCTCGCACAGAGCGCACAGCAAGAGATGCCACTTTCCTTTCGAGGACGAAATATTTGCCGAGCAAGCGACAGCGTGTCGAAATGTTCTTTTCTTAATATTTCTGAGTGAACACACTCGGGCCGTTTCACAAGTCTTCGTAATCAGCACTTTCTTCGCGGTTCGAGCGTTGTAAATGAGTGTGCGTATACCTTGGAGCACGTGGTCAGCACCGACTGATTCCGATAATGCTAGAGAAGATGGGGTGATGCAACAGCTCGCTGCGATGTGGAAGAGCAAACAAGCGTTTCGGAAGTTGACTTTTCGTGGACCGAAAACCGACGAATCTTGTGTATTTTCAGACGGATAGGCTTCATTTGCATTGAGATGTCCTATCTCCAAGCGTTTCGTTCAAAAAACATTTCAAGAGTTCCGAGTTTACGAAGATCAACCGATGCGAATGAAATTTTTCATTAGTAGATTTCGATGCTATGAAGCGAATTAATTGCATTCGTTTCTCCTGCGATTAACTACGTTTCTATTGTACCAGTTACTAAGCTGCGCAAAAATATGCATCAAAGTATCGAAGACGTTGCGTCCTCTGCCCTTCGGGTCATTCTCGAGTAATACTGCAACGAAAGCGAATTATAAACGTTGATTGTGTATTCGATTCATCAGATTGCTACTAACCTACTTTTCTTTACTTTTATAGCTGTTCGTAATTAATGAAAAGAAGTTTCTCGTGAAATTTATAACGACAGCTGAGCTTTTCAATATTATTTCAGACTTGCCGCATATGCCAAATCGAGTGGCAATCGTCACGGGAGGTTCTCGAGGAATTGGTTTGGAAATTGTGAAAATGCTTCTGAAATGTGACATGCACGTGATAATCGGTAAGCAATCCCGACAATAGATGAAAAACATCAGGACAACAATGCACTATTCATTAAAATTCCATTTCGCTTTCTACAGCATGCCGAAGGCCTGAGGCAGGTGAGAAAGCGATAAGGGCGATAAGAGAATCAGGTATTACGACCGGCGCACCTGAAGTCATGGAGCTCGACAACGCCAGCTTGGAGTCGGTCAAACGATTCGTCAACGAGTTCAAAAACAATTACCAGCAACTTGATATTCTCGTCAACAACGGTCGGTTCTTAAAAATAAATAAATCAAATAATGCAAAATTAAAAAGAACTTTTCATGTGAGAAATCAACATTTTTCACCATTACAGCTGGTATAATGTTCACACCTTACGCCGAGACAAAAGAAGGCTTCGAGGAGCAGTACGGTGTGAACTACCTGTCGCATTTCTACCTTACGATCCTTCTGACGCCACTTCTGCGTAAAGCAGGCACAGCCGAACATTGTTCTCGAGTCGTCAACGTATCGTCCCTTGCTCACCTGCTCGGTGACATTCGCTTCGACGATATTAATCATAGAGACAATTTCCTCACTTACGAGGCGTACGCACAAAGCAAACTCGCGCAGGTACTGTCGACAAAGAGCCTCGCTAAGAATTTCGACAAGGAGCATTGGCCGATTCGCATCAACGCTGTGCACCCGGGACTCGTTAGTACCGATCTCTTCGATCACTCGTACCTCAGATACTTTAAATTCATCGCTAATGTTCTCTTTAAGGTAAGTTTTTCAAAGAAGATTGACGATGATCAACAAGATTGCGCTTATACGTATTATTGCTTTAGACGCCAGCACAAGGAGCAACGTCGATAGTATTCGCGGCAGTTGATCCGCGGATGGAGCAAAATTCTGGCCAATATACCAGCAATTGCCGTGAAGTTGCTGTCAATCCATTAGTCAATAATGAAGCCCTGCAGGATCGACTCTTTCAATTTTCTCTCAAACAAGTTGGCTTGCACACGATACCCACGTAGGTAGCGTGCTCCCAAAGTATTTCTCTTTTATATAAATAACTCGACTAGTAGTATTTATAACTATGTTTATTTATTGTTGTAACGTTAGCTATAAATGAGTTGATCATTTATCTCGTTAAAAGAAACTTATTGTTAGAGAGAATGATTTTCTTTTTGTATATTACGAAGAAATTTTTTGTAAAAAATTGCGTTTGTAACTATAGCAAATCGTATGACGAGGAGAATTATGTGTGGAGCGATATAAGTGAATAAAATCAAATACTCTAGCAATTGTGCTTTACAAGATTTTTTTTTATTTGTTTAATATGTAGTTTTGTTCTTTTTGTTTTTTAACGAATTCCTTACTGAGTAAGTGCATCATTTGTTATATAAAAAAGATCAATATTAAAAAGCATCTCTCTCTCTCTCTCTCTCTCTCTCTCTCTCTCTCTCTCTCTCTCTCTCTCTCTCTCTCTCTCTCTCTCTCTCTCTCTCGCTTTCTCTCTCGCTCTCTCTCTCTCGCTCTCTCTCGCTCTCTCTCTCACTCACTCACTCTCTCTCTTTCTCTCTTTTTCTCTTTGCAATGCTAAAATTATAATCTTAAAAATATGCGTTGAAAAAGAATTCAAGGCAAAGACAAGTCTTTACACGTATAGGTACACATTATTTCATTTAATGCTTATGCTGATTGGTAATTTTATAGTAAAAATTGTGGAAAGTACTTCGCAATGATTTGATATGTTAGTTCGTTTTTCGGTTCTATGAAAAATTCGTTTTTATTATTTTAGTTATGTTATAAAACGATGAAAATACTAATTTTTTCTTTTTAATCGCAGTATTGTTGGATGCTTCCTTAAGTCAAAACACTTATAACTAAACAACTTTCTCTTTGTACATAATACACATGGTAAATACCCTAATATTACATAAAACTTCATCAAAGCAACGCAGTACCTTTAAAAAAATAATATTAATTAACTCTTTTTTTATCAACATAATTAAGCAAATTAGCGTTTCACAACTGGAAATGAATTAACATTAAGAATAATTTTTTATAACGAAAATCGATGTTTAAAGTGCTACATTTAAAAGCCAACACCACAATGCAAGCAATTGCAGATAAAATCTGCCATTATAATCATTGTATATAGACTAGAGTGATTTTATAACCGAAATAAGGTCTTAAACAGTACAAAATACATAATTGACTCCTATAATAAATTAATACTATTTAAATCACTAACAATATTACGAATTTAAGATTATAACATACCAGATAATGTTAAAGATTTTTTTCTAGAAATCAAAACTTCATATTCATTAATTGACTACATATTGAGTATCAATTGGATAATCAAAATCAATATCAACACTTCAAATAAAAAATGCTTTTCTGCGATAAAATACACCAAAAAACTAATTGTTCTCTAAAAATATAAATGTCAACATAAAAATCAATGTTATTTCTAAAAAAATAGAAGTGGTCAAATGTTTACTTAAATTATCTAGCAACCCATTATAAAAATGCAATGCATTTAAAGATCACATAGTGAAACGATTTACGAGTCTTTTCCTCCATTTATATATCCATATTTCTATTTGATTGAAGAGTATTTTAAATAATTCGTCGTATGATTTCTTTTTCTTGCTAATCGTAAAAAATGGAGGAATTCTTATTTAGGAAAGCCGACTGCAGCCACAGTTAGTTGCATCACCTATAGTTGTTGTTTTGCCATTAATGGAGGTTGTATTCTGTTCATATCTTGGCAATTCTTTGCATCGTGCTTGCTGTAAATTTACAATTCATATTAAGTTTTCAATTCAACTTGTACAATTTAAGTTACAGTGCTCTGTTTAAGTTATTCAAGTATACTAACCTCCATAAGTTCAGCTGCAATCTCCATAAATAATCGTTCTACATTCTCAGCTTCCTTGGCTGATGTTTCTAAAAAATACATACCATGTCGTTGTGCAAAATCTTCACCAACATGAGTAGGAATTTCTCTGTCCTCTCTATCAATTTTATTCCCAACTAATATCCTTAGCACCTTATTACTAGCGTACTCCTCAATTTCTCTCAACCAATCTGGTAGGCAATCAAATGTTGGTTGACACGAAATGTCATATACAAGAATGAGTGCATGAGCTGAGCGATAATAGCTTTGGGTTATTGAGCGAAACCTTTCTTGTCCAGCTGTATCCCAAATCTGTAACTGTGACATTGAAATATAAATGAATACTGGAACATTCAATAAAAGTAACATTAATGCTGAAAGTTTGTTACCTTAACTTTCTCATTTTCTACTTCCACAGTTTTAATCATGAAATCCACACCAATAGTGGCTCCTTGGCCTGGTGGAAATAGACCCTGAAAATAATTATTAATTTAAAAGTTTGAAAACATTAATTATATTTTCACACAAAACCTGAGGTATAATACACCATCATTGTAGTGTATCTTATTTTATTATGGTCTGTGCCCATAAGAGGACTAAATTTACAGTTAGTAAATTGCTAGTGGAATCATTTATTAGATAGTGCACAAAAAAACATATTCCTTCGCACCAAACAATGGAGCAGCTTTGCACTCGTTGTTATTACATTATGCAATAAAATGAAATGAAAAGAGATTCATAAATGACAAATCATCACCTGAGTGAACCGCCTGACAAGGCAGGTTTTGCCAACCCCAGCGTTGCCGACGAGGACGACTTTGAAGAGAAATTTATAGTCCTCCATGGCCCGTTTCTCTACGCTTCGGAGGATCCCGATCCTTTCATGGAAAATCCTCCGTTATAATTTATATTTCGAGAACGGTAACAACTTTCACTTCGCTTTCAACTCCTCCCTAGTTCAAGTATTTTTTTTTTAAGTCTGTCACACTCACGAACCTTAATTCTTTCGCATTTTCAACGACGAAATTTTCGTATCACGAAACTATTGCGCTAAGTCTAGCTGTCATCACGCAGTTTTTTTCTCGCAGCAGCCACCGTCTCGCTCGAGCAATCTTTCGCACGCATATACAGGCGCGAGAACTAAACACCAAGCGTTAATCATCACCTACTGTAGCTATAAGTCACGAAAATCCGTCTGCTGGAAAGGCGAGTTTACATAGTGGACGATATTGGTTTTTCTTACGAAAATGGAGTGAAAAACACGTTGTAAAGTTTAAATTTTCATCGGACAACTGACATTCCAATATATCAAATACAGTGTTGGTGTTAATAATGCAAGTAAATTTTTAATATTCACGAAATTCATTATAATTCATTATTTTATATTCACAACAAATATTAGGTACGATAAAATATTTCCATGTAGTCTTTTGTTTTTTCATGTACGACTACTGTGTATTTTTCAATTTAATATGGTTTCTACATGAATTAGTGAATAACGTTGGTCAGTTATTGACCCATAATTAGGTTTGAAATAACGTTTATGAGAAGGTGGCAGCAATATTTGACATTATCCTGTCATTTACGTATGTACTATTTATATTTGTGACTTGTAACTTTGAATACATTTTTCAAACCATACGGTCACTCAAAATATATATGTATACATATATATGTATATCAACATAATTTTTGATTCAACCATGCGAATGCGCCCTTTCATATATTTTAACATTTGTTTCTGCTCTGAAATGGAAACAGATCGTCTGCAATGTCAATAAAGTCAAGTTGGACGCATGGTTTTGCAAGTGTTGAAGCTACTGAATCCTGTAAACAGTGATTATTGAATAATATGTATGATTTGTGTTCGCCAGTCAATTATGAATCATCAAAAACACAAAATCTGGTAAGTCTATATTTCAATTGTGCCAACATAACCTGAAGTAATAATACAATATTTTTTTAAATTATAGTATGATCTCAGACTTCTTTTATCCAAACATGGGAGGTGTAGAGGAGCATATCTTCAATTTATCACAATGTTTACTAGATAGAGGACATAAAGTTATAGTACTCACTCATTCCTATGGTGATAGAGTTGGAGTGAGATACATGACTAATGGCTTAAAAGTCTATTATTTACCAATCAAAGTCTTCTATAATCAGTGTGTTCTGCCAACCATGATTTGTTCCATTCCACTAATCAGATACATTTTTATAAGAGAGCAGATTGAGATAATTCATGGTCATTCAGCCTTCTCTGCCTTAGCGCATGAAGGAATATTGATTGGCAGTTCAATGGGTTTAAAGGTAATTTTATTATTAATGAGACAAATGTCAAAGTAAATGATATTTATAATCTCTTTTTTTCTGTAGACTGTTTTTACGGATCATTCATTATTTGGCTTTGCTGATGCTTCAGCTGTAGTAACAAATAAATGTTTAGAAATATCTCTAGCTAATTGCAATCATTGGATATGTGTATCACATACAGGTAAAGAAAATACAGTATTAAGGGCAAAAGTACGCAAAGAAAAAGTTTCAGTGATACCTAATGCAGTAGATGCTGTCTTATTTACTCCTGATATTAGTAAAAGGAGTAAAAATTATAGTAAGTTCTGATTTTTAATTAGCTTATATTCTATTACTTATAATTGCCAATCATACTCATATAGTTCTTGTTTTATTCAGTTACTATTGTTGTTGTATCTCGACTAGTTTATCGTAAAGGTGTCGATTTTTTAGCAAATATTATACCAGAGCTTTGTGCTCGTCATGAAAATGTACAGTTTTTGATAGGAGGAGACGGTCCAAAAAGATGGTTAATTGAAGAGATAAGAGAAAGAAATCTACTACAACATAGGGTAACACTATTAGGAAGTTTGGAGCACTCTCAAGTAAAACATGTATTGAATAAAGGTCACATATTTCTGAATACTAGTCTCACTGAAGCTTATTGTATGGCCATTGTTGAAGCAGCCTCTTGCGGGTAATTTTTTTTCCCCTTACTTTTTTTTTATGTAATTGGAACAATAGTAATAATATATTATACTTTTATAAGGTTGCAAGTTGTTTCAACCAAAGTTGGTGGCATTCCTGAAGTATTACCGCCTGATTTAATTTATTTAGTTGAACCAAATGTACCCGCATTGATAGAAGGTTTAGAGCAAGCTATTAAAGATTATAAAGATGGCAATTATATTTGTCCAATGGAAGTGCACAAAAGAATTGGTACTTATTACAATTGGCATAATGTAACTAAAAGGACAGAAATAGTTTATAATAGTGTCCAAAAAGAAAAAAAGCAAAACCTTGGCATGCAATTAGCTAATTACCTCAAAAGTGGAGTACTGCCATATCTATTGGTAGTGTCCTGGTGCTATATTGTACTTCAATTGTTGGAGTACTTTGTGCCACGAAAGGTATTGTATATTTGATGAAATCTTTTAATTTAATTAAAAACTTACTTATTTTATTAATTTATACAATTACATTTTAGTACATTGACATAGCAAAAGACTACCAAAAGCCAAATAATTTAGGAACAAATAAGAAATCAGAATTGATAAAAAAACACTAAAAATATACTATTTTTAAATACATTCCATTTGCAAAGAAAGTGTCTATTGTAAATTAATGTTTAGTGAAATTATTGATATTGTAAAATAATTTCCACTGCAATAACAAATATTGATGTTTTTCAAAACTATTCTAGTCCTAGTACAATCTTGCACAACACCAAATAGTTTATAAAAGTACAAAACCCTGTACGGAATACATGTAAGAACAAAATGAACCAATGAAACAAATAGTTTTGTAATCACTATATTTTTTTTAACAAATGCTGTATTTAGTTGACAATCTATACTACTAAGAAATTGGTATTTTTACGAAATAATTTTCAGTACAATGCAAATGAATGTGAAGTTGCAATGTGAATAAATAATAAAAATAGCAAGGAAGGCGCCATAATCGAATAGTCGCGATTAATACATTTACAATAAATCTTTACATTATATTACAAAGACGTATGCTTCAAATCAGCATTATAATTATATCATTACATCACCTGCGAAGACTCAAGTATGAGATTTTTCACATGATAGATTTTCGTAATAATCGTTTTATTTACCAATTAATTACATTCAAAGTAGAAATCAAAGCTTAAGCTTTATGTAAATCATGTAAAAAACATTAGTGGATGTACACATTTTCATTCTAGTTCATGTTTTCAAACATGATATTTACAGATTATTGTTGAGAAATCACGATCATAAGCGACAATAAAAATATTTCTATTTTGTATAAATGTATAATGCCTACAAACTTCACCTGTATGATTAATACTTTGTTGTGTTTCAATGTTGATAACTATAGCGAGTATATAATGAAAAGTGAAATCAGATACATTAAAATTTTGTACAAATAAAATAAAAAATAAAAAATTAAACAAACAAAATTAAAAAGAGCCAAATCGAAAATATAATGTTTATTCTGCCATGTTGTAAGTTACATTCAGTAATAATATTTATTTAAAATAATAAAGATAATATTGATACAATATCAATCATTATTCATTCTTGTCGGTTTCATCACTGTATTATTGTACATTTGTTTTTTATACATAAATATTCTTTAGCTAAAGATCATTGATTTTTCCTAATAAAATGCTCCAAGAAAAATCAATAATCTTTGGTTTAACAAACTTTACAACATTACAAGCGAACGGGATCATTACGAAAGTCGATGTTGGATAATTTTGTAATCCACCATAAATCATCGGGTTTCGTTTGAAGCTCGCTTTAAACTTCTCTTTCACTTACCATAAAAACTGATTTGGTCGACTTATTAATAGGTCGAATTTTAACTTATCGGCATATTTACAAGTCACAGTGATAAAAAATTAATTTACGCAGAATGATTTATCCATCGCATTCACGCTAGTAAACGGCATCTTACAGCTCATGTACACGTAATGATCGTAGCAAATAAGATTTTATAGGGACATGCACATGACCATGTTTCATTTGTCAAAAAATGAAATAGCGTTTAATAATTTGATGTGTTAATGTGGATATTAATACTATGAAAGAGCGATTTAATTCAATTTACGTATTTGCAGTGAGAGCAAAGTGACAATTGTTACTTGTAATATCAATTATCAAGTAACAAAATGCAATTAGTCTATGCAAAATTTAAAGATTGTATATAATCGATAAGAATCTTACAAGATAGAAATTGATCATATAGGTATGAATATGAAAGGGTTTGGTACTCAAGATTAGGAGCACTTTACTCTTGAAATTTTATCAAAATGCTCTTTCAAAAACATCTTTCAAAGCGGTAATACAACTTACTTCATTAATTGTATAGACTTTTATCGACTTACGTTAAATTAAGTTAAATCTAGATCAAAATGCCCATTTTCTTTAACAGAAATATGAGCTTGAATTATTCTTAGAAATTGTTTTATAGTTTTTGACACTTTGAGAAATGTTTCTATTCAATTTATAAGTTTAAGAGGATGTCGGATCAAAGTCACTCATCGTAGAAACCACTATACATCAATAATTTGCAGTTTATACAATTATAGAAGTTATCTAACTTCAAGAATGTATTTTAAAACATGATGTGAAATTCAATGTAAACTTCAAATTAATTGATTCTACGAAATTTACAGGTCAGGATATAATACAACATCCTTTTAATGGTCAAGGATACTAAAAAAGCCATTCTATTTTAGTATTCGAAGTGAATTTTTACAGTAACTATTGTTTGTGTAAGTTTCTGCTGTTGAATTTGTTATTATAGTAATTGGAATACTTTGAAAGTACGTTTATAGAACTTATTTTAGTTCAAGTACTTCCGCGAGATGCATGGAAAATAATTTACAGAAATTTTATTTTTTACAAAGAATTAGGAAAATAGTTTTATATATCCACTAGAAATATACTTTCTTTCATCGACGCTCTTTCACATGGTCAATAGTTAATCAATGTGCATATGCATGTACCTTCACTTTGTTTTTCTCATTTCGTCTGAAAAGAAAGAATCAAAAAGTCCACAGTGTTCGCAAAGTCCTCGACATTTCATAGTAAATCCAACAATAGATTTGGGAGTCTCCGTACAATATTTTCATAGAAAATCTTTATGGTGACGGGAGTATCCTTGTCGAGAAACTTACTAAATTTTATCTTAGTTTTAGGACTTGAGAAAAATAAAAAGCATATAAAAATTTTCTTTTTTTTAGGACAAAATGATAATCATGAAGGGGAGCCTTTCATTGAAATTAATATTTGAGATCTAATTATGTACTCATTTACACGCCTTCCACATAATCACGATCTCCAACGTTTATGCGATCCGGAGCCGACATAACGCTGAAACCAAGCATCTTGCTGTCGACTTTGGACATTTTTCCCTTCTTCGGTTTCTTGGATTTGTTCTGTAAAAATATCATTGGCAATATTAAAATTATCATTACTTTCAAACCACTTCTAAAGCAAAATTTTTCACTGACCTTGACTTCTTGAAACTCGGTAGAAGTATTAGGATTGACAGCAGGAGCAGGTATACACAGATCATCTGCCTCATGTTGTGGACGCTGAGCAGATCTCCATTTACTTCGCTTTTCTAAAAATTGCTTTGCAAATTCAGAGCATTGTTTGCCATCACCCAGGTACATACGAACGTATTCCTTAACTTCGTATGCCGCTTCAATATCACGTAAGAAACCAATGAATGTAGGTACTAAAAATGAAATAATTAAACTTTAGCAAAAAGTATAACTTATTCCTTGTAATCGAAATTAATTATATAAAATGTTAAAAATAAATACTATATTCTATAATATTACTAATTGAAAAAATTAAAAAAAGATTTTATCTAATACTAACTATCTACTGAGACTTGAAGACCAGTTAAAGCCTTGTTACACCATTGGGTAAAATCATCAGTCTTGGCAGTGTTCTGTTCAAAAAGCTTCTTCACCAACTCCTCTTCCTTCTTATTTTTGTTCTTTGTCATTTTGTTATTCTGTTGCTGCTGCTGTTGCTGCTGCTGTTGTTGCTGCAATAGATGTTGCTGCTGTTGCTGGACAATTATTCTTGGTACTGGTGCAGCTTGTGGCTTCGAAACAGGTTTCGAAACAGGAGCAAATTTGGGAACGCCAGGATTAACTTTCGGAGTTAAGTCATCCCAAAATCCAGCTGCGCTCTTGCTAGAAGTACTCGTCCAACTTAGACTCTGCGACGCTGCTCCCCAAATGCTGATGTTTTGCACAGGCACAGCAGCTTCTTTTTGGATTGCTTTTTCTTTCTCTTGCTTTTCTCTTTCTTGTTGCTATATAATTCACAGAGAAAACATATAAACTTATTAAAGGAATTCTGCAAATATAAAATATATAAAAACAAAACTTACTTTGAGTTTAGCAACGCGTTCTTGTTCCTCAGCTTGAATTTGAGCAAGGCTTTTCACTTGGTTGACTGCGTTGACCGGTGCAACTTTTTCAGCCCATTTGAATTGCAGACGTTTAGCTGAGTCAGTCAGTGCCTCCTGTGCTGCTTCCGCTGCTTTCTGTTGAGCTAATTGTTGTTGCTGGAGCAACTGTTGAAGCCGCAGCTCCTCCTATATTCAAATTCATTATTACTTTGTTTTTTTCTTTATTAGCATGCTTGAATGAAAGATCGTTTTTATCAACTTACAGCCTTTTTTTCTCTTTCAAGCCTTTGAATTTCAGCAAGAGATGCTTGGGCAGTTGGAGGAGCAGGAGGTGGCGCTTGAGCCCATGGAGCTTTACTACGCTCTTGCAGCTTTCGAAGAGCTTCCGCTTCTCGCCGTCTCTGCTCAGCTTTTTTCGCTTGCTCTTCAGCTTCGGCTTTTTTTCGTGCCTCTTCCTCTTTTCTAAAAGTCGACAATAAAAACAAAATATTAAAAGGATGACTAAGCAAATAACTTACAGTTTACATGAAATGTCTCAGTTATTATGCATTCTTTACATTATGAATTATCTGGGAAGACTTTCAATAATGGTAAAAACGACAATTGAGTAAGAATAACGAAATCTACAATATGCCTTTGTGAGAGAATTTATACTCTATAATATTTTGTAATATTCACTTTTGATAAATTATCAAAGACATTCCGTCTGAACAATAATCTAAAGAATAATGGAAAACTATAATATTCTATGAAAACTTGAAATTTATCGAGAATGATTGTCTCTATAAAATTATAAATAGGTTATCCTTCGCCTTCTTTTGTTTTGTTTTTATATATTTCACGTATACAGAATTTTAAGCATTGTACTTTAAATAAAATGTGCGATATGGATATTATTGACGGATAAAGAAACATATTTTCAAGTATTATTTGGTAATATTTAAATAGGGATCAAATTTACCTAAGTCGTTCTTCTTCCTGTCTTCTGTGTTCTTCTTCCACCTTTCTACGCTTCTCCTCTTCCTTTCTAAGCTTTTCTTCTTGTCTTTTCAACTCATCACGTTTCTTCTTTTCCTCCTCTTGTTTCTTCCTGTTCATCTCTTCATCGTGCTTTCTCTTCTCCTCGCGTCTCTTTTCCTCTTCCTTACGACGTTTTTCTTCAATTTTCCTCTGTTCTTCTTCTTGCTTGAGCTTTTCTTCTTCTCGACGTCTCTTCTCTTCCTCGCGCTTTTTTCGTTCAATTTCTTCGCGCTTGTTTATCTCCTCAGCTTTTAGTCTCGCCAATTCCTCCTCTTGCAGTCGTTTAGCACGTTCCTGCTCGACTTGCTGTCGTTCCAGTTCTTCTTTTTTGCGTAACTCTTCTTTCTTTTTTTCTTCTAGCATCTTCATATTTTGCTCTTCCTGTGATGAAGTAACGTTGAATTAATAGATACAAATACACTAGACTAGATACCTTTCATTAATAAAAGTTACAGCATAAACCTATTATAATTTTGAAAAAAAATCTATTTATTTTCAAAATGCTGATGAAAATTTTATATAATAAAACTAAAATGCCTCGTACATTATCAAAACTGCATGAAGCAAATACCGAGTTTCATATATGAATAAAAAAATAACAATTATGATTACCAATATTTGTTGCTCAGTCTTCATCTCTTTATGTATATCCCATAGTGAGCCGGGTATCTGTCCGGGAGGCATGGTAGGCTGAATAACACCGACCTATTGATAATATCCAAATAAATATTATTGTATTTTAGATAATCAACAAACAGCTAAATAGCATTCAGAAAATCTTGACAATAATATCAAACCTGCGACATCCAGTTCTGAGCGTTGAAAGCAGACAAATGTGGCGGCGGTGGTTGTTGGTGCCAAACTGATTCCATTTGCGGCTGTGGTGTCGGTGGCTGAGGTGGCACGTGACCATTGGTATTTACACCCATCTGTCTCAGCCACGACTTTATCGGATTGTCCTCCTGGGGTGGTTGGGGAATACTTGGCTGAGGCATTGGTGGCAAATTCCTCATACCGCTCATTTGATGCATAAGCTGTTGGATGGATTCAATCGGTGCTACAGTCTCGGCTTGAGTCTTGGGAATCTGCTGGTGCAGTTGAGGGAACAATTGTAGAACAGAACTGGACGGTGGAGCAGGTGGGGGTGGTGGTGGTGGTTGCTGGGGCAACGTTGGTATGAATGACATCGCTGGAGGATGAGGTACATCGGTGAAATCGGGATCAATGGAGCGCATGTGGTGTTGAATCAATTGGTTTTGTTCCATCTGCGTCAACGAGGTCCATTGTTCCGACTGCGAAAGTTTCGCAATCGCGTTAGCTCGCAACTGTTTGGCGTACATCTGATTCTGAATCATTCTGTACTGATACTGATAAAGCAGGTCTTCCATGCCCGGCTTCGGCAGACCTGGATTAACGGGTGGTAAGCCTGCTGGCACTGCGCCCGGTATCACCGAGGCTAGAGGCGTGTCTGTCAGCTGCAAGCATAAAGTGACGATTTTGTTAATTTTAAGATATTATTTTCGATGAAAATGTCTTTGTTGTGAGTTCACTGAATATTTTAATATTAACGAAAATTCTTGAGACTATTCTTACAATCAAATTTATAAGCAGTAATTTCAAGAAACGTTTTTTAAATAGAAAATAACAAAATTAATAATTTAAAAATTGCAAAAAATGAAATGCCCTACAACATATATTAATCGTACAAACATTATCGAAAATAATAGACACCAACAAAATGTAAGTACCTTCAGTGGTGGGAAGTTGGTACCAGGCTTGAAAGGCACAGTACCACACAGAGCGACCAGGTCACCAAGCGTAGTATATCTTTCGTCGCAAGTCCTCCTGACGAGCAAATTCGGCGCAAAGTAACCTTGTTTGTGCCATTCAGCCATCTCGCTCGCTAAGAAAGGACCCTGCACCTCGCCTTGAGGATCTCGATAAAACCACTTTTCCTCTATAATTGCTGACGATTGAGTAACCGATACGATCGCCGGATCATTCACCGCAGTAGCCACCGACGACATCACACTTGACGGAGGTTTCTCATCCTTTAAATCGATTAACTTGGCTACCTCCTCCTCAAGTCTATCCAAATTATCTGTTTGCTTGTCGTCGTCCAACATGTTTGACGATGCCATTGTATTCATTGGAACTGGTTGCCGAGATGGTGGCGCGAGTTGAGGAGATTGAATTGGAATTGGTGTTGGCGTTTTCGATTGTTCCGTCTGCTGCTGCTGCTGCTGCTGCTGCTGTTGCTGTTGCTGTTGCTGCTGCTGCTGCTGTTGCTGTTGCTGTTGCTGCTGCTGCTGCTGCTGATGATGATGATGATGCTGCTGCTGCTGCTGCTGCTGTTGTTGCTGCTGTTGCTGCTGCTGATGCTGCTGCTGCTGCTGCTGCTGCTGAGTGACTCTTTCCTCATCCGATTTTCCAACGAGCTTGCTGCTGTTACGCTGCTGCTGCTGCTGCTCTGCTGTTTTAGATTTCGTTTCTTCGAATTTCTTTAAGCTATCGTCAGCTTTTGGTTTAAGCTTCGAAGCTGAAAATTAAAAATGAAATTTATATAAAACTGCAACGCTCAAAACGCTTAGTTTGACGAGTTAACGTAGGAAGGAATATTGACACGTCAACCTTTTGGTGTAGACTGCGAAAGTATACAGCAAACGTTCTTATCAATTTTACAATATAGTTCAATATTTAATTCTCCAATAGCCATCACTTTTACTACACTGCGACATTTTTCAAATGTCCTTATACATAACATTTAAAAAATGTACATCATTTGCATCTCAATATTTGTTAGATCATAACTTCTCCATCTATTATTAGTTAATTCGAATAATATCATCTTCTATAAATAAAGTAACATACCTATCATCACAAGCTAACCATTTTTTTTAACACAATCAATTATCCTATGAGAATACGTAAAACAAATAAAGAAAGTACCAGTAGCGCCAGCCAACGCAATGGTTTCTTTAAGCTTCTCCAGCTTCTTCTCCTTCTCTTTCTTCTTGGCATCGGCATTAACTAGCTGCTGCGAAACAATCTGTGCATTAGTAGGCGGTTTCTTGCTGGCAGGGCTACTGGGAATTGGAGGTGAACTGATTGGCGACAAACTACGTCTTCGATCATTGTCCACCATCTGTTGATTCTTGACCTCGTGCATGGACTTTGGTCGCTCTCCATTTAAAGGTCTTTCAATTTTGCGTATATTCGCCGACGTCTTTAGACCACCAGGTTTATTCGAATTGGGTGCGTTACCTTCGGATACCCGACGCACTCGCCTTCTTGCAATAGGTGGTCTTTCACCGTGTTCATCTTCGTCATCCGAATGTAAACCATGAAACGCACCCGATGCGTCGAAACTGCCACCGATTTCATTCATACTGTCCATTGCCCTGACAAAAAAAGCAAATAGTTTAGAGATCATCAAGTGTGAATAAATGTAATGTGGATGAAAACATGTTGGAAGCTATCTCAGTTTTTGATGAATTGTGTTATCGCTCTCGGGTAAGAGTTATCAACACGCTCAAGGCTGCCGTAGAGGGTTGACTCGATACGACTGCCGAGTGCTCAAATTTAGCTAATTTTCTTCATAGATTAGAACAAGTCGCTGCTATTTGTAGTAACGTAGCAGAGTCTTACATGTACTTAAGTCAAAATGAAAAAAAATGTTTATATTAACGAAGGTTGCTTTTTTAATGATCTCGTATCCTATTTTTTATCAAAAAAATGTACAGCTTCTTCTGTATAATCTGAATACTAAGTCAATGAAATAATTTAAAATTTGTTCTTCAAATGGATGAAAAATTAAGCAAAACCAGCGTCTCTTGTAATAACGCCAATAAAACAGTACAAGTACACGTCAACAAATGAATCTACGCTTTAAAATATTTATAATACGTCCATTGCGATGTTGTATTATTATATTAATTGATAAGGATTTGTAACTCACCATTCTGGTAAATTGTCATGATTATCATGATGGTTTGAACGGCTTCGCCGCAGTGGAGGTGGATGTGGGTCGAATGCTCTATTACTGCCTTTATGATCCCATCGTTCGACCCGTTTAACATCCTCATCTATATCGCCACGCTCCCTGTCTTTATCACTGTCGCGCCAACTGCCTTTAACTATAAATACAATATTGAAATGAGAAACGATTAAAGATAAAATTACATTTTTACGCATCGTTGAATGCAATAAGTGTGATGTACCCCATTTTTCGCCTTTGACATTCGTTCTCCAACCGTCGTCTTCCTCTCCACCAGTCCGATGACGTCTCCAATTGCTTTCCATAAAAGCACCACCGCTAGCGCTTCTACTTAATTCTTTTCTGGGACTAGTGGAGCCATTCCATTCTGCTGAATCTACCACCCCATTACGCTCTGACCAACCCCGCTCAGTTTGAGGTCTATCAAATGCTCTAGTACGCATCTGAATTTGGTAAAATTTACAATTTAGACTTATAATGAGTGAATTTTCAGTTATATTGTAACGACATTTACAGGAAATGGTTGTGTTTCCACTCGTGGTCCATCTCCTATGTCATCAAATCCACCCCGATAATGGGCTCCTGGTCTTGCACCTCTTGTTCGCCCTCCTCGATCAACACTGCCACCCCTGCCACGACTAACGCTTGCTGTCACTCCACCACTCCATAAACGCTAGTTCAATATATTATATTGTTAATAAAAATCAGATCATATGAAGATCTCAAAAAGATAAAGCAGTGACTAACTGTCTCATCTTCTGTCATGTTTATAAGTGCCAAAGGTAACTGAGTTTTTGGGACATACAGCCCTGTAAAACTTGTCAATGGGTCTGGGGCTTTAAAATTACGGTCAAATAGAGCAAGCATCTCTTCTCGACCGTATCTATGTTCGGCTAGCTGATACCGAGGAGTTGTGAGACTACCACCACCTCCTCCACCAACATTGCAGCCATCTCCTGCTAAATTGCGTAACCTGTAAACAATGATGTTTATGGTCATTTCACAATATCCACCCACATTTTCATTAAAATATTAACTCTAGAAGATTTATTACATACCATTCTGGACCAAATTTCAGAGAATCCGTCATGTTGTTAGATGCCTGCAAAAAGTAATACAGTAATTAATATTTTTTTTCACACAGTATTTATCAAAATTCATACATAGAAAACTAGCTATGTTTAGCATAACTCACAATTAACGACTCGACACTCGAAAACAATTCTCGTGCAGTTCCAAAATATACGACACGAAGATTCTAAAACCCTCTTTAAAAATAGAAAAACGCAGCAGCAGCGCAGAAACTGTACATTGTTGAGACCTTATTAAATCCGATACGCCAGAGACGTGCGTAAATTCACTTGGGAGCATCGACCGAACAAAGAAAGTACCTTTGTCAAATCGACCTAGTCGTACGTAAAGTTCACGAGTTGCACTGCGAAAAGCGGAAAATCATCGAAAATAACTGAACAGTCGAGTACGTCGATCTGCGAGATACAGCTAAAGACGCAACAGACGGTACGATAATATAAGTCGGCCTCGAACACCCGGACACGAAAGAATCACCCAGCCAGAAATTTATCCGAGCCAGAGACCCTAAACCTTAGATGTCATGTAAAACTAAGGAAACAAGCCCCAAAAGATTAATTTGTCGAAGGCAATATGAACAAAGAGAAATTAAAGATCTCAGACGCGTGTCTTTTCGCCGCTGAGATTCGCCAAGGTGGCAGCTTTAACCAAACTTTTTCCACGCTTCGCCAAGCGCGACATCATCTCGGTTGCGAGTACCTGTTGTATTATGATCGCCGTTGATTCGGGATGACTATAAGTCAATGCTTTGACAATTGAAGAGCAGGAGAGATACCTTTTTCTCACTTCGAAAATCACCGAGCAAATGATACAACACACCAATATGGCCGATACGAGCTTTTTGGAATAAAACCGTGCTGCTCGTGAACTGAACCCACTAGGCATTAGAAGCGCCTGCGCAGTATCAGCACCAACGAGAGATGGCACTATACGTGATTTCGACACCTTTGGCTGCCGTTAGCCTCAAAAGCTATATGCAGGCTGGTTCCTGCGGTCATCGGCTTTGTTTTGATGATTACCTTTTGTTCATGTCAAAGTATGTTTCTTTTAGAACAAGGATCAAAGACATTTCTTCAAAAATAAATGGGTTTTTTTATTCGTGCAGAGACATTAGAAAATAAATATAAAATGCATTAAATAATTGTTACTTTGAAAATTGACACAAAACATATTAGTAAATGATTTTTTTGTCAGTCTATAAGATATAAAATACGATTGTCAGGATACAACCATAGACTCTAATTGTTGTTAATTCACTTCTTTTACAAGTGAAACAGTGATCTTTCTTTCTAAGTATACACAGTATTTTTTGAGCAATCATTGTGAAGATAGATTAAACAAAATAATGAGGCTTCTTAACAACAATTCCATATTCAGCAACTGCTGGTGTTAAATCTTCCATTGTTAATGTATACCGCCGATCTTTACCCTTGACTTTTGTATTTTGATTTGCTCCCCTTGTTTTACAATGCTGCAAAGCATCATTAGCTATTTCTGAGATAAACTTTTGAGCAGCTAACGAGACTAGTCTTACTCTGCAACGCATATTATTTTGTTTTAAGATATATTCTTTTTTATAAAATGCAATGAATGAATAATTAATGAGCATACGTACATTCTAGGATCTGTTGTGTTAAAGCCAGCTGTGTGTAAATAATGCTCGCTGATAGCATCAGGAACCTAACATAACATGCTTAAGTTATCATGATTATATAATGAAATGTATTTATTATAAGTAAAAACCATTCTTACCGTAGGTGTATAATCCTCCAGTTGAAGTAAAAATTCAGACAAAGGTTGACCTGCAGTCTTAACATCCTCTGTTACAGACTGGTCTTCACTCATATCTGTATCATTATTTTCTGCCATATCTACGCTTTTAACTGAAAATTGAATAAATTTTTTAGATAAAAAATTGTTAAGTATATGAATCAACGTTAACAATGCACGTACGATTATTTAATGTTTAAATAACTTAATATTCAAAGGCATTGCAAAATTACTAACCTTAAATACAACCAACTACGATGATGAAAGTCAGCTAACTGAAAAATGTACACACGGCATCCGCCACACGGACTAGGAGTACTAGGACTAGGACTACCTCACTGTAGGCAAAGTAGAGATTATGTCGGCAGAGTATATACGCGAACCAGCGGTTTCCATATGATGATCTCTAGTAAAATCGAGTCTATTGACAAATTTTCTTAGTTCAAACTTTTATTTGCACTGTCAAAAACATTTTTACTTTTATGACATTGTGTGTAATTATGTATTTATTTTACTGAAATAGATAAATTTTGTGTATATTTACTTTCAAGTTATGTTAATATGTTTGTGAAAATGAGGAGCTGCACGACTCTTCAGTTTTACGTCTGCAAGCTCAACGAGGAGTTCGATTTTACGTTGCTCTGCATTTTGTCGATGTTAAAGTGGCATGGATTGACATTAATTTTTGAAGATTTTATTTAAATAAATTGAATTTTAGAATATTTGATAGCAGTTGTATTTTAAAGTTTGAAAAGAGCGTGAAATCAAGAGAAAATGAAACAAATCCTATGCGGAAAATTTGGGTGAGCTTTTCTTTTTCATTTACCGGTGTTGTATTTATAATTACTTGATATATTTTTACAATATTTCGCAAAATTTTGAATTATTTTTTATTGAAATGAACATTTTACAGTACATTTTTTTTTATTTAGCTCATACGTTTCAACGACAAATGTTTTACATGCTACTCATTTTAGGTTATGTCTGTCATTTTTATTACTCGTTGAATGTGTTTTAATTAACTTCTTCGTCAAATATTTATGAAATTAGAGAATGATTTTAATTCACCAACTTTTTTAAAGAGTGCAGCTACCATACTGCATATAATTATTGATTATGCAACTTATGTTTATATGTTTAAAATGTGTTACTGTTCCCTTTCAGATATAATATTATGCTGGTATCAAAAACATCTCGTTATCCGTTTTCCATAGTGGGTACAAGAAATTTGACATCTGGAAAATTTCGTTATGTTAAGCCACTATTAGCTTCTCCACAAACACGCATCTTAGTCAATTCTCAAAGAAAATATGTTATGTTTGCTGGTAGAATTTTAAGAGGAGTACTAAAAATAAGATACCTGTTACTTGGTGGAGCAGTTACAGGAGGTGTTACTTTACAAAAAGTGAGTTTCTGTTTAAAAAAGTTATTATCTATGAAAGCATAGTTCTCATATTCTTAATATATTGCATTTTAGAAATATGAACAGTGGAAAGAAGGACTACCAGATTTGTCTTGGATCGATAAGCTTATGCCAACTGATGATCAGTGGAGAGATTTTAGAGGAGCCTTGATGACTATGAAAACTACACTGGCTGATAAAATTGAAATAGGTTTGTTGAAGCATCAATTACTTTTCGAACTTTTGATGGTCACATTTATTAAAAGCAACATGCCAAAAATTGTTAATAGATCCACATTTCAAAGAACTTGGTGAAGCAAAGTATAAAGAGTACACAATTTGGTTTAATCAAAGACTAGATGATGCCATAAAAGCTGCTGAAACTAACAAAGACAACAATAATCAAAATAATAATAAACCATCAAACCGTGAGTCACAATTAAAATGTTCTTTTGCAGAAATTTCAAGACCTACTTACGTTCCTGACCAGTCCAGTAAATGCTTTTGATCCTATTAAGTTCATTTCCTTTTATTCTAATTAAACGTGTCCAATATTAGTTATTTACAACTGCATTAAAAACTTTGTTACTGCGTACTGTTGTAATACAGTTTTATTAAATCACTTACCTTTGCAACATAATTATACATTTGTGACAATTGTTACTGCATCTCTTAGTTAGCCTAACAGTTATTCATTTATAATTTTCACAGTTTTTCCAAAACTAAAATGAATTGTTTTTTTTTTGGGGAAATTTTTGTTTATAATTTGGTCTGTTCTGTTCAGGTGAAATGGAAATGATCACAGCCTTTGCAAACCAAATTTATTCAGGTGTGTAAGAATATGAAAAGAGCATAACATTTAGTCTGTCCATTCAGCGTTATGCACTTTACTAACATCTTTTTTTTATATATTCGCAATTTCAAAAATGTTATTACTGAATGGGACAGACCCTTTTATGCTTTGCACAATTCAATAAATCATATTACTACTTAATAGTTATCTTTCATACATCTCAAATATTTTGTATGCATTGTATTGCTGAATTGAAACATACCACTTGATGTTAAATACTATAAATTTACAATTTTAGATGTCAAAGACGGAATTGTAACGAGTGCCACGGCATTTGCTCTTGAAGAAGACCGTAAAAAAACTCGTAAGTAGTATAATTTTTTAACGTATGTTTACGATCATTTTTCCACCTCCTCTTCATACTATCAATTTTACTTCTAGAATCATCACAGCAAAGGTTAGATGCGATGCACGATGAAGTAATGCAGATTCAATTGAAATATCAGCGAGAACTAGAGAGACTTGAGCGTGAAAATAAAGAATTGAGAAAGCAAATGCTGCTTCGAGGAAACTTGAAACAACCCAATAGAAAAATAAAAGTAATAATTATCGCAAGTAAAAAACACTTTTGTCAATGTGCTATTATCAATAATTTATTTTTGTTTTAGAAATCTCTTATAGATATGTACAGTGACGTTCTAGATGAGCTTAATGACTATGACAGTGCATATTCAACTGCCGATCATTTACCTCGAGTCGTAGTCGTTGGAGATCAAAGTTCAGGAAAAACATCGGTGTTGGAAATGATTGCTCAAGCTCGAATATTTCCGAGGTAATGAGAAAAGCAACTGAAATAAAAAAGGAGATTTATAAATGAAATAACTTTTATAGGGGTGGTGGAGAGATGATGACAAGAGCTCCAGTAAAAGTAACTTTAAGCGAAGGTCCTTATCACATTGCCAAGTTTAAAGACAGCACGAGAGAATTCGATTTGACCAAGGAATCTGAATTAGCTGAGCTTCGACGTGAAGTCGAATTACGAATGAAAAATAGTGTAAAAAATGGAAAAACTGTCAGTCAAGACGTTATATCGATGACGGTGAAGGGTCCCGGCTTACCCCGTATGGTTTTAGTCGATTTGCCAGGAATAATCAGCGTAAGTCGATCGTCAACGCAATTTATTGATCAACTCGATTTTTAGATTTAATAGATATATTTATTTAATTGACAGACTGTAACTGTTGATATGGCAGAAGACACTCGTGATGCTATCCGTCAAATGACTCAACAGTACATGAGCAATCCTAATGCCATTATTCTTTGTATTCAAGACGGTTCCGTCGATGCCGAAAGGAGTAATGTTACGGATTTAGTTGCTCAGATGGATCCTAGCGGCAAGCGTACTATTTTTGTTTTGACTAAAGTGAGTATTTTATTTTATATTTGTATTAAACATATATATGAAATATTGTATGTTTAACGCTTAACTGTAGGTTGACATGGCTGAGGAAAATTTAGCAAATCCTGAGAGACTGAAGAAGATTTTATCTGGTAAACTGTTTCCAATGAAAGCGCTAGGCTACTTCGCCGTTGTTACCGGCCGTGGTAGGCAAGATGATAGTATCCAGACAATAAAAGATTACGAAGAAAAATTCTTCAGAAATTCAAAATTATTCAAGTATGTTATTAAAAGAACATTTCAATGATAAATTTTAATTAAGGAGTTATCGAAATATGGCGTGATATTTCAGAGATGGATTAGCGATGTCTGGACAAGTAACTACTAGAAATTTGAGCTTAGCTGTAGCTGACTGCTTTTGGAAAATGGTTCGAGAAACTGTTGAACAACAAGCGGATGCCTTTAAAGCTACAAGATTTAATTTAGAAACAGAATGGAAAAATAATTTTCCAAGGTAAGTTTGATACATAATTTTGTTATTTTCATATGGTGATTAAATTATGTATTTATTTCCATAGATTACGTGAATTAGATAGAGATGAACTTTTTGAAAAAGCTAGAGGAGAAATTTTAGATGAAATCGTTAATCTTTCACAAGTTTCACCAAAACACTGGGAAGAGGTTTTAGCAAATCGCTTATGGGATAAAGTTAGTATGCATGTATTTGAAAATGTTTACTTACCTGCTGCTCAAACTGGAAATGCAGGTAAATTTCGTAATAAAAAAGAATTTCCACATTTTTAGCGCTAAGTTATAAAGGAATCATTTTGTAGGAAACTTCAATACAACTGTTGATATTAAACTAAAACAATGGACCGAGCAACAGTTACCGACAAAGAGTGTCGAGACCGGCTGGGAATGTCTGCAACAAGAGTTCCTAAACTTCATGCTGCAAGCTCGACTCAGTCCCGACCACGACGATATTTTCGATAATTTGAAAAATTCAGTAGTTCAAGCAGCCATCAAAAGGCATACTTGGGAAGATAAGGTAAGTTACAATATTATTTTATATAAAATGTAAACGATATTTAAAACTTATTTCTTTACAGGCATCAGATATGTTACGGGTAATTCAGTTGAATACTCTTGAAGACAGGAGCGTCAATGATAAGCGCGACTGGGATCAAGCGGTACATTTTCTCGAATCGTCGGTCAAAGAGAAACTCCAAGGTACCGAGCAAGTACTACGCGACATGCTTGGACCAGGACGCAGCGAAAGATGGTTGTATTGGAAATATCAGACTGAAGAGCAGCAGAAGCGCAATAACGTTAAGAATGAGTTGGACAAAATTCTGTACTCTGATAAGGTACGATAATATCTTTATGATCGTCACTTTGTCAAATTTGTCAAAATTAATAAGGATAAATTGTTTTTTTGGCTCAGAAACATTCTCCAACTTTGACGCAAGATGAATTGACAACTGTGAGGAAAAATTTGCAGCGAAACGGACTCGAAGTAGATAACGAATTTGTCCGTGAGACCTGGCATCCAGTCTACCGAAGATTTTTCCTGCAACAAAGTTTGTCGAGAGCATACGATTGCAGGAAAGGATATTATCTTTATCATACTGGTCACGATGCAGAAGTACGTAAAGAAAATTTTTTTTAATTTTCGATGATCTTCTCGCACTGCATTATTTCAAATATACGTTTAGATGGAGTGTAACGATGTTGTGCTATTTTGGAGAATTCAGCAAATGCTGAAAGTAACGGCAAACGCCCTACGCCAACAAATTATGAATAGAGAAGCACGTAGGCTTGATAAAGAAATTAAAGAAGTATTGGAAGATTATAGCCAAGACAATGATGTTAAGAAACTACTACTTACTGGTAGAAGAGTTACACTGGCAGAAGAATTGAGTAAGCAGATTTAATTTAAAAATTTTAATTGTTTAGAATAATTTGAGAAGTTGTTCATTCATGATTATTATATTTTTTTAGAACGCGTGAGACAGATACAAGAGAAGCTTGAAGAATTCATCCAAGCATTGAACAAGGAAAAGTGAACAACAGGATGATAGTGCGATTTTTAAATAAGAAACAAATTCATATTGACAAGTCAATGTTGTCGATGAAAAAAAAAAGAAAAGAAAGGGACTCGAGAGTAAACCGAATTACTCGCGTCGAGTGCTGTGAAATATAAGTGCCACTTGTTGAACAAGTGTAAAAAAGCAACGTAGTTTATTATAATTATAATTTTTTTCTTTCGAACATCAAACAAAAAAGTTACAAAATCGAAAGCGATACGCGTGCGGCAGAAAAATTTATCAACATTTTGAAAAATGTATTGCATTGTTACGATTGTACATTATATATAATACTTGTAATTAAATTTCTTCATTGATTTCATATTATTGAAAAGAAGCAGTTTGCAAATGATTGAATGTACATCCCAAGATTTGTTGATTTTTGATGATTGATTGAGTGATTTGTATTTAAGTTAAAACATAAAATCCACTATCATCGGTTTTGGCAGTATGTTATTGCAAGAAAAGGCGCATTATTGTGTTGATGTAAATAATCTAATAAAGATATAATCGAAACAAGCTCGTATCTCATGATTAAAATTAAGAAATTTCGAAAACCCTCTGAAGGAAAAGTACCCCATCTACCGTCTCCTAAAAACAACAATAAATGAATAAACACAAAAAAGAAAGAAAAGAGATAGAAAGAAAGGAGTGAAATCCGCCACTATATATTCCGAAACGCGAAACCGCCAGCTACTTACCGAAAAAAAGCCCTCGCATACGCTCGCGCGCGCTCGCAAATGGAATAGCCACAAGCTCTGCCGCCGCGTGCAGCGCGGCGTAATTGCCGAAGCCCCGCGCGAGCGCGAAGCGTCCGGCGGCGGTGGCGGCGGCGGCACTTGCGATGCAAATTGAATTTCGAGCTCGCGTCCTCTCCCACCCTAATTTCGCCGATTCTTTTTTCCGCGCTCGCCTCGCCTCGCGCGCGGATGATTATATCGATCCGTCGCTCGCATCAAAAAGTCAGCGCGCTCCAATTTCCAGCGATTACGTAGCGAGCCCGCAAAACGGCCGTCTATATGTGTACGTAACGTTGTTCGAGAACTGCCGGACTGACAGGTTTGATTTCGAGCTGCCCAGTATAGGGTATTTTTGGCCAAACGCGCGTCCTTTCGCCGGCTTATATGTATATAGAGAGAAAGAGAATATATATATTTATACATATATATATATATATATATATATATATATATCACGTTGCTCATCTTATCAACAACGATGAATCAACTTGCAAGCTCCGAGCCGAAATATTACTTATCGCTTTTATGCAATCGTCGACTTCCTCGCGAGTAGCAACGAAAAATGAAAAAATCGTCGACGCCAACTCTCCTCTCTCAACGACTCGCTCCCCCCGAAAAAAAAGAAACGAAAAGAAAAAAAATTGCTCTCCGCTCGCAATTAGCTCCTCTAAAAAGCGTCGCTTCGCTCGCCAACAAAAAGAAGAGCGCGGCGCGCGCGCGTCAGCGAGGGAAAAGCGCGCGGGGCGAGAGAGCGCCGCTGGGAAATAGAGGGAGAGAGGAAGAGCTTTCGCGCTCGATCGGTGGCAGGCAGGCAGCGGCGGCGCTTCGCCAATTTCGAGAGCGAGCCGAGCGTGAAGCGCATTCCGCCAGCTTAAAGCCGAGTGCTTCCACTACTGGGTTCTGGCGCACGTGCTGCTGCTGCTGCCGCCGCCACCGTCGCTGCTGTGGGTGGTATGAGGTGGACGCTGTTTATGGCTGGATGAGTTTTCTCGCTGCGGAGCTTTTTTTCGTCGAGGAGGATTGAGATATTTCTCTCTTTTTTTGCGTTGTTACGCGCACGTTGAAAAGTTTGATTTTTTGTACGGAAAGCTTTTTTTGGTCAAAAATTTTCAATTGCAAATGCTGTAGTTCGAGTTTGTACAATTAATTCTTATGATACTTGGAGAGTTACGGTTAATAATTACAATACTTGGTTTTTGAAATTTCAATAAATCTTCGGGGGATTTCTTGGGAACTGCCAATTTGACGAGCTTGCAAATAACACACACAGCGTAGGATCCTGATATTCAGTCGTAGAAAGATACAACAATTCATTGCAAAGAATTCAGTAACTAATAACCTGCTAGAATCAAGTTCGGAACATCTTGGAATAAACCATAAACGACATAGTTATAGATATGAAAATTTGCAGTAGATCTTAAAATAGATCAGCTACGTTTGAATTTTCTAGTTCAACAGTTCCTCGTGTTTAGTTTGGATAAAGATTCCGCGTATAACAATGGAAATAGTAAGCATTACCTAACCAAGGACGCGAGGCAAGTACTGGATGTGTAGTCGCCAGCTGATCGATCGTAGAATCAAAACGTAAGGTAAGCAACATAAGCTTCCACGGTCGAACGGAAAATGAATACACGTGTGACTTTTGCAGGTGTTGTTGGAAGCTGACGACGTAGAGCCGCTCGTAGTCGACATGCCGAGACTCATGTCGAATCTGTTCGAAAGTAGTATCGACTATGCGATACCGCCTGAACGACTTCACGGTATATCACGCAGGTGAAGTTATGGGCGGTACGAGTGCTATCAACGGCATGATGTACACGCGCGGAAGTAAAGCCGAGTACGGCGATTGGGTAAGGCAGTGACAACGAAGGCTGGAGTTAGAACGACGTATTGCCTTACTTAAAAAAGTCGAAGAACGCAAGGGAGCCCGAGGTAACAGTTCGTTTAATCATCCGTTCGACTACATTCGCGGATATTCAACTTTTCACGCGGACACACTTGATGGATTATCGCCGAGTATTTGCAGTATCACGGCGCTGGTGATTTTCTAACTGGACAAAATGCAGCGACGTTCACATAGATGCTTACAAAGAGCTGGCACTTGGCGAGACTCTCGACTACAACGCAGGTGATCAAGTCGGCGTGACTCGCTATCAGTACACAAACATCCACGGAACGCGCGTGAGCTTTAACGGAACTTTTGTCCGATCTCGTTATTAGGCCATACGCTCGCATCCTGAAAATTCTCACATAGACAAACGTTGGCGTCCAAAGAAGTCATCGTCTCGGCCGATTTTGCGAAGGCGACCGAACTGCTGATATTATCGCAAATCGATCCGAGGAAAGATCTGCGCAACGATCCAACATAACGGTCATCGAGGACCTACCGGTGGACCTCAACTAATCAAGTGATCACTGTTTCCTAGGTCAGCTGATAGTGTCGAACAATTTCAAATCGAGCGCTATCGACGAGGCGACGAAGAGTCAGCTATTCCGGGTGGCTCAACACCCACGAGAGTCCGCAGTCGGGACAGATTGGAGAAATGGCCGGGAGCCGCCGACGTCGAGTGCGAATTTGGCGACGTTGCCGTGCAGTCCGACGGAACGCCGGGCAACCTCACCGTCGCCACGATACTTGTCGCACCGCAAAGTCGAGGCTCCGTCAAGCTGAGCAGAACGCGGCCCTTGAATTCCCAGCTCGGCATTTCGGTTCAATTATCCGGCCGACTCGCGCGACCTAGAGGTCCTGGTGAAAGGACTGAATTTCGCTCGCAAAGTGGCCAACAACGAGTCCCTGAAGAACGCCGGCTTGAAACTCTCTCGAGGCGCAGCTGCCGGATACAAACATTTGGGTTTCGACAGCAACGATTACTTGAGGTGCTCACGGTTAGGGAAACGGTATGCCGTTCACATCGCGTACGGGATTGCACTACTCGCAAGATGGGGCGAGGAGGTGACAAAGCTGCAGTGGTGGACCCTCAACTGAAAGTGCCTAGTATTCGTGAATCGAGAGTCGTCGATGTATTGGTCATACCTCGAGTGACTGGAGTAAACGCCAACCCACCGACAATTATGATCGGCGAAGATGGAAGTGATATGATTAACAAGCAATAGCTGTAGCGAGGATCGAATGTGCCTGTCGATTTTCATTTCATTCGTCAACTTCCGCACGACTAAAATATCAGTGTTTTGCAGTTCCGCGATTGATTTTTGCATAGCTTATTATGTTGAAACCCGCTACGTTATGCAGTCATTCGAGTTGGCACTGTGCGAATTCTCGATCGAATTTTGAATCCCTTCGAGAGCAAATATTAACGACGTGCTTCCCCATAAATAAATGTTCTGCTCGCGTCAACTATTTCCGACCCTCAAAAAATAAAAAACCACCCCCTCCCCTCCCTTACGAGCACATCGTAATCCAATATAGTTCAAGCCCTTCGAAGCCCTCATACATTCGTATGCAGACGGTAGAGAATAAAGCGACAGCGGCTTGCCCGAGGAGAGAGAAAAAGCAGATTCCCTTGAGAAGAGCCAGGCAGCAGCGGCAGCCCCTCTGCGCTGCAACCCTTTACTAATTGAAGCTCTGCAACGCTTTTCTTCTTCTCTGCGAGGCTACACTGCACAAGTGTAATATATCGGTGGTCGGCGACGAAATTACCGATTGGAAAAATACGCGTCGAGAATGATTAACGCGAATGGATGGGCAACGAATTAACAAATTACATTTGCTATCAGTACGCGAGCCCGAGGATACAGATTGGAATAATTTTACAATTATGGCCACTCGCCGTCTTGTACCTGCTTCGAAATAAAGCTAGGAATAAGATGAATTTCGCTAAGCAACCGAACGTTTCATTCTGCTGACGAGGCAGCTCATCTCGCGGCAGCAGCTGCGCGCGTTAATTTTCAAAGCTACGATTGCGATAATCAAATGTCTTCCAGCAAGATTGTCGCGTATCCATGAGCTGATATGTAACGATGGAACAATAAGTCCCGAGCGCCTCGGAAAATCGGGAAAAAATTACGTCCCTACGGAGTGAGCGTGCGAGGCTTACGGCAGGCAAATCCCACCGTCTGAAGGTAAGATGCTTCGAGAGAGATTGGCAAGCTGAAAAGCACGAGAGTCCTCTTGCCGCCAAACTCTCCGTTTTCGACGCGCGCGAACTTGTCGCAATAAGCGCGCGGACAAGGGTTGCTCAGGGGAACGCGCAACAACACGCCCACGTCAAGCCTCGACGGATATATTTTTCGGCTGGCGCTTCTTCTTCCGATATACTCTCGTATCCTTTGCACGGCAATCCGTCGGAATATGGCAACGCCCAAGGTATTTTTTACTTTTCGAGCTGCGTCCCTCCAGAAATTATCGTGCTTTTAGCAGTCCGCAATGGAGGGAGAATTTTTCGCGGATTTGCATATAACCGAGGGCGCAAATCCCGCTCACTGCTGACCCGTCGCACACGCCATTTCCCCCGATACTCTCGCTCGCACTGGCTTTATACGGGCGAACCCGGGGGCGGCGAGCGAGCGCGTTTCATTCGCGACACGTTCGCCTCTCTCGCCGCGTTATTTTTTTTTCCCCCCGCCGCCCGCGGAGATTATCAACGCGAATCGTAGGAGAACTTTTTCGGGAACGAGGCGCCCGAGAGATGTGTATGATTGAAGACAGGCTTGATCGACGCGATCGACGCACCGAAAAAGGAAAAAACATATAACCGACGCCGTTCGGCCGAACTCGTTGACATTAACGCGTGCAGTATGGCGACAATTCC